TAGAATAGTTTTTACGATTTTCTTCGAAGCCTTTTCACGTAATTTCCACGAATGGATGAAATCTATAATCATTTCGACAAATTATGCCTATTGCTATTAATTGTGAATAATTATTTATTATTGCTTTAATTTGTGATGTAGGTGAAATTATTAATAGACGGTTAGTTTATTGGCGATATAATTACACTCTGATGATAGTTGATAGAAAAATTCTATTCAATTATATCAAGAGCAACTGCAATATGTTATATCGATTATTTTTTTCAATTGTCAAAATGTGACGTTTCCGTTGTTTCAGCCAATAGCAATGCGTTATTCTAGTCAATCATTCTGTATATTATACTGACAATTCAATTCATGTATGAAAAATCCCACAAGCCGCGTGTCATTATGACAGCGAAAAAAGTTTGCCCTAACTTTTCCAGCAGCAATAACTGAACCCAACTTTTGAAAGCATGACAACTAGCCATAAACAAATGTTCGATGAATTGAATTATCTTACCGAATCAGTGTCCGCCATCTTATTGTTTTTTTCGATCTATCTTATGTTGTAAGTAACAATAAAATCAATTATCCATTCTCCGAGAAAACAAAACGTAACTTCTTAATCGTCTTTCGATGCAATAACACAAATAATGATTCATTTCTTTCGAAGATTATATTATACGCTATATACAGGGTGGCTGGAATTCGGGATCTCGTAAACAGTAAGAGATACAGGGTCGGTTAAATTATGGCAAAGTTGCGCAATTTTATGCTGATCAAAATGTCGCCTCAAAAGTTTGGAAATTCCGAATACTTCCGAAGATATTTGAAAAAACCGAATATCCGCGATTTCGTTTTTATTTTTTTGTGACCAAATATACTTCATTTTAGCATTGCCACTTTTTCTGCTCTATCCAATGGCATTAATAGATTCGTGTTCCGACGTTTCGCATTCGAGGAGCCATCATCAACTTTTTTTTTTTAAATGGTCGAAAATAATTTTTTTTACTAAAAAACTCGAATTCCAATTCTGAATCCAACGACATATAACACTTTTCAATTATCTTTCGTTTCGCACCAAATAATCATTATCAGTGTTATTTGATGGTGGTTACGAAGGAAACGAAACGTCGGATCAAAAATCTAATGATGGCAACTTGTAGAAAAGCAAAAATGGCTAGAAAAATGTCGAATTCATTTTGGTCTATCTCTTGAAGTGAAATCAGAAAAAGATCATTTCTTAGAATTATAAACTTGGAGAATAACTTTATATTGAAAACTAAAATAGAGATAGACCGAGAGATAGACCAGAAAGAAATTGACATTTTCGCAGTCATTTTTCCTTCTCTACAAGGGCCCGTCATCAGATTTTTGTTCCGACGTTTCATTTCCCCATAACCATCATCAATAAATAACAATGATAATGATTTTTCAGTCCAAAACGTAGGATAATTGCAAAGTCTTATATGTCTTTTGATTCAGGAATGGAATTAGAGTTTTTTAGGGACGAACAATTTTTTTCGACCATTTGAAAAAGCAAATTTGATGATGGCTCCTCGAAGACGAGACGTCGGATCATGAATCTATTAATGCCATTGAATAGAGCAAAAAAAGTGGCAACGCTAATATGATTTTCATTTTGACATATCACTCCAGATAAAGTCAGAAAAAAATAAAAACGAAACCGCGGATATTCGGTTTTTTTTCAAATATCTTCGGAAGTATTCGGAATTTCCAAACTTTTGAGGCGGCGTTTTTATCAGCATCAAACTGCGCAACTTTGTTGTTCTTTGCCATGATTTAACGGACCCTGTATCTCTAATACGGTTTACGAGATCCCAATCATGAACCTCGAATTCCAGCTAATCTGTACATAATAATAAGAGGACGTAGCAGTACCTATTAATTTGCTAGTGTCTTTTGATCAAATTGGTAAAGAAAAAAAAATCTTCCCAAATAAAACTCGTCCCTCAAATTTTACAGGATAATTTTTTATGTTCATCATTCAAACTATTTTATTTGAGTAAAAATCATTCAAACAAACCGAATTAGATGAAATCACCCGTCCAACGGACTCGTGATTTTATCAATCTTTTTTTTTATATATTATTGCCAAATAGAAAAGCATTCATTGACAATTAAAAAAACTATCGATAAAATTTGATGGACTCGTGGTGTTACCTTCGATAATAGTTTGCTCATGAAGTCGTACACATCAATTCAGAATTCAGGAAAATGTTCGAAAAGCACTTTCACTTCACCTATAGGTACAGGCTGAATCAATAAATAATGGAATGCCCAATTCTTCATCCATTAATTCAATTTAGTATACCTACTTGGAATGCTCGAAAAAGTAGATTGATAGATAGATTTATTGCATAAAAATAATTACAATTGTTATTACAAGTGTTGGGTAATCTGTAATGAATGAATACATAAGAAGTAATGGCTAAAACGAAAATCCAATGAAGGCAGTGATATGCAAATTACTCATTCACAACAAAATATCTAAGCTTCAACAAATTGATCAGAACCTGTATGAGAAGTTCCAAGTCAGCTAATTCACATATAATTCAGAAGATATATCAAAAATCATCTAGAGATTCAATGTCTTGAAATAATCGAAAATCTCTGATACCAGCATAAACTGGACATTCAAAGAGAATGTGTTCCTAAGATTCCGGTCTGTGGAGATTGCAAACAGTACATTCTTATTCTTCAGTACTTTTTATACACTATTCGATTGAAGGTAATTCTAAAGAACGACTTACTGAATGTCTTTAGTTGAGCGATAACTCTAGTTATACAGGGTGTTAACAAATAAGTGTCACAACAGAAAACTGTAGATTCTTCAAAATTAGAGAAACAGGGCGTCAAAAAATGAAAAATGTTCAGTTTTATTAAACACACTCTACAACACTTAATGAACTTGACAATTTGAAAACCAGCATCGAGACCAGCAAAGTCAAGAACCTGACATCTGATTGAACATATTAATTAAACAGTTCTGAGGTGTTTATTTCCAGTGGATTTTTAGACGAATTTCGGCGATACCATCAGGATTTTGTATGTTCTCATTCATAAAGAGCCATTTTTAGCGGAAACTGTTCACTTTAGAGCATTGAGACAAGAGGGCGTTTTTTGTGTAAGAGATATTGGCGCTTCAGAATCTACTTTGAAAATTACAATTCCTCCAGTGGCATAATTTTTTGGGGGGTGTAACCCTTACGATACTTTGAATTCTCCTTCACTGAAATGTCCAAGGAAATTGATCAAGAAAAAGTAGTCATTATTGATGATGAAGTGTGTACGAATAAGGCTCAACTCCGTAGCTCAAACGGTAGGTACCTAAGATAGTAGCAAAAAACATATTTTTTTGTATTTTTTTGACGCCCTGTATCTTGAAAACGGAAGCCCGGAGACAAATTTCGAAAAAGAAAAATATGTTTCTTTTTCATGAGCCATTCGCCTGATGGGTGACGCCAAACTCAGTCACTCTTTGACATCATTGGAACACCGAAGAAAGGTCGGCGACCTTCCACTTTTCTATCGATACTTCCACGGAAAATTTTCTTCGGAAATCTCTGCCATCATCCCTTCACTAGCAATACCTGTTACAGATCATGGAACCATATTCACGCTGTATCTAGTTGAATTTTTATTTACTCTGTATGTTTCTAGTTTGATGTGTATTGTCAAGTTTGTCATTGAAAAATTCTATGAAAAGTCATATCTGATTGAGCTTCATTTTCTGATTATACCACGATACATTAGTATTTTCACTATTCTGACCCATATTTCATCCTTCATACGAAGTATTCAATCACCGGGTAGGTGAATTACGAATATTTAACGATACCAATCAGACGAACTAGACAAGCCCAGTCAGCACATCCTTTCGTTGTCAACCTCGAAAGATGTCGAACAGCACTTTATCAAGACTCCTTCATCCATAGGTCGCGTGCACGAAGACCGACCCTGGAGGCAAAATCTTGAAACACAACCTCACTTTTTTATTTGGTTACAGAGGAATCAAAAGGTTGAAATAGTTTTTCACAATATTTTGATATACGAATCGTGTTTCTTGCGTTATTCATTAATTCAAGCATACCTTCGCATTGTGCTGTTGTACTATGCACAAAAAATGCAGCAAGAGACTAGGGAATATGATTTTTCAGGTAAATAGTAATCTCACATAGTTAGCATTATGAAATGTTGTCATTCCTTATTAAAATTCCTTCTGCCTTCTGCCACTTATTCTGCAATACAAGCTAATGCTGCTAATAGATTGAAAATGTGTACAACACACACGATCGTCAGCATGTCAGACCAGTCCTACCGATTGATTGCATGAGTCCAATCTTCTTGGATTATTCTAGAAATTTCAGGTATATTTCTATTAGCTGATCCTATTGCAGAAGGAATTCCGATGAGAAATCAGAGAAATAACCAAATTTCAAAAATGGAAACTATGTGAGTGACTATAGTAGGTACTTACTTTTGAATCATAATGTACCATCTGGATTTCTTCATCTTCCGCTGCAGTTTTTGTGCATTTTACAACAGCAAAATGTGATGGCATTAGCGAATTGATGAAAAGCGGAAAAATACGATTCATATGCCAAAATAATTGTGGAAATCTATTTCGATCACTTGTAAACAAATATGTTTTGCCTCCAGGGTCGGTCATCTGACAGTTCTTGCACGCGACCTATAGAACGGCTAGGCTCTGGAATTCATTGCCTGTGGAAGTATTCCCAACAACATATAATCTCCAGAAGTTCAAAAAAAATTCCAATACCTACCTCCTGTCCCTATCCTCTCTAGGAACGCACGATGTTCTACGAACATAATAGGAATTTCCTTTCGTGGGCTTCAAGAGATAACATAAAAAGTAGCTACTAAACGCGAGTAGAAAGTTATACTTATTCTATGACGATCACAAAAATTGTAAGAAATTTTTCCAATGCGAAAAAATCCTATCCTGATATAAAATGAGAACAATTTTTTTTCAGTTATTCCTTCCGTGAAAGAACCTGTTCCAGGATGGGTCGACAGTTTGAATGGCCCTATAGGGCTCATAGCAGGTGCAGGAAAAGGAGTAATACGTTCTATGCATTGCAGAGGTGAAAATAAAGGACAATTCATACCTGTGGATTATGCCATCAATGCTGGCATCTGCATAGCATACTTAGTAGGAACCAAACAAACCAAGTAAGTATAATATCGTATTCAACATATTTATCTTAAGAGCATTATAATTCATACTGTGTTTTGGAAGTTTGGTTTTGAAAAAAATTTCTATAAACTTCCTACCATCAATGGGCGAGTAACACTGATAATGAATTATTGGCATTCAATGGGCACACCTCAGTAAGACTTTTAACTCAAACCATGTTTGAAATGATCCTTTTATACATAAATAATAATTAACGACATAATTCGATCGAAAAATTAACTGGAATGTTTTATTTTTGGACATAAACAATGGTACCTTCTGAAAACGGACCCTCTTCTATTTTTTTTCTTCGTTTCGTATCACTGCTGTGAAAGGAATTTTTCTTAAATTTGTGTTTAAATGAATTCAATGATAGGGAGAAATTCGGCATATCCAAAGAAGGACTCACAGTCGCAATCTGATAGGAAAAAGATGACTTATAAATTTCTTTATTATGCGAAGGTATGTTGATACCATGCTTTCTTCTCAGGTTTAAATTGTGAATATCAGTCCTATACGTGATTTTTCTGAAGATATACTCTGGCTGTTTAGTTTTCAGTACTTTATAAAAAAGGCAATACGAATGAAGTCTGCGACGATTGTACATACTCAACCAACTCATTTCCTTGAGTTTATGAGATATACGATCTCTTTTTCTCATTCCATGGATTAAACGAAGACATGAATTTTGAACTTTCTGTATGCGATATGCATCTGATTTGCGTAAAAAAGGTCCATATACTGTATCACAATGATTGAAATGAGACAATACCAAAGAATCGCATTACATTTTCTTTGTAAGTGGATTCATGTTATGTCTATGAGGATGCAAAAGTTTAAGAGGAGCATAAGCTGTTCTAATTTTCATTGTAACATGTTTCTCAAACCTTGACTTTGAGTCTAAATTCAGACCAAGTTTTTTGACTTGTTCACTGAAGTCCAGTTGGTCATTTCCAATGAAAATTTGCAACTGGCTCTTTGCCGCTATTTTCTGACTCTCACTACCAAACAAAACAGCACAGGACTTTGAGGAATTTATATTCAAGAGATGTTTCACAGATAATGATCCAAGTTCTGATAGATCATGATTGATCCTGAAATTTGCATTCTGGATATCTTTCAAATTGAAAGAAAAATAAACCTGCGTATCATCGGCATATAAATGGTAGTTACAATAATAAAAATTACAATTGAAGTTAGATGTATGAAGAGTATATAAAAGAGGGCCCAAAATACTACCTTGTGGTACTTTATCAATGTATCAATATTTTATCAATTTATAATTTCAAAGTGCATTTATTGATGATGAGAATATTTTTCTACCATTTGAATAGCACGGAAGGAAATTCCTATAAATACAGGTTATGTCACGACGAACTTATACTATCTCTATATCGGGAATCAGTCCGGAGAAATCCATGAAAATATGCATGCTAATATTTTAGAATACGCTCTCTGCATTCAACATATTTTCAGCAATGCAGTGTTGCCGCTTCTATCAAAAAGTACCAACAACTTTGTTATTACAAATAGAATACCCTGTATTTGATTGCACTTTTAGATTTGCCCTGAAGAGCTGATTCCATCGATACATCACACTTGGGGTCTGTCGGAAATGATTACAGAGATATAGGGCATTCAAAATGGAGATTTTACAACTTTAGGCAGTAAATAGTGAATCAAAAATTGAGATAGGGACATGTGAGCCGTTTTGACCAATAATGAATAGTTTCGACACTAAAATTAAAAAATCTCGATTTTGAACACCCTATATCTCTGTAATCATTTCCGATAGACCCCAAGTGTGGTATATCGATGAAATCAGCTCTTCAGGGAGAACCTAAAAATGTAATCAAATACAGGGTGTTCCATTTGAAATATCAATGTTGCTCCTACTTTCTAGTAGAAGCGGCAACACTGAATTGTCGAAAATATTTTGAATGATGAGAGCGTATTCTAAAATATAGGCATGCACATTTTCATGGATTTCTCCTGACTGATTCACGATATAAAGATAGTGTAAGCTACTGTTAAAGATACTGTTAAAAACTTAAAATTTCACGTCGATAATTTTCAAATTTCAAAATAATGTAATATCTTCTCAATATTAATTCGTCCTTTCTTCTGTCACAGAAAAAAATAGTGATTATACACGGGAAAAATATTAGAATTTAGCTCACGGTATTTTTTCTCCCTCCGCTACGCGTCGGGAGACAACACAACCTGGAGCTAAAATCTACTACTTTTTTCCCTTGTATAATAAATAACTATTTTAAGTGGTGAGAAATGCAATGAACTGAAATATCTTCCTATTTTCGACAGTGACATAATGTTTTTGTTTAAGGCAAGATGAGGTCCCAGTGTACAACCTGACAACAGACGCCAAAATATCTATAACCTATCGAGAGATCCTAGATGAGGGAAGGAAAATCATCTACGACTACCCCTTCGAAATGCAAGTCTGGTACCCAGATGGGGACATAAGATCGTCCAAGTTCATACACAATTTGTTCAGTATATTTTTTCATTGGATACCAGCCATATTGATAGATATGATAATGCTAATTTGTGGACAAAAAACATTGTGAGTATGGAAAAATAGTTCGAAAGATCAAGAAGTGAGTCGATAAATTCAATCTCGATTCAAATTCAACTGTATAAAAATCACTGGTGTGGAATTTTCACCAAATGATTCACAATTTATAGAACATAAATTCTTGAGAAATCTCTAGTACCTACCAACTGTTGATACAAGGACTTTTTTCAGTATGCTGAGAATACAGAAAAAAATCTATGACGGCCTAAATCTCCTGCAATTCTTCTCTGTTCGCGATTGGGTATTCAGAAGCGAAAATTTCTTAGACTTACCCAACCACCTGACTGAAGCTGACATAAAGAAATTCCCCATACTGGAGATGGCATCCGTACAAGATTACATGTTGGCGGCTCTGTTAGGAGCTAGGCAATACACTCTCAAAGAAGATTTATCCTCGTTGCCTAGATGCAGGAGGAAGCAGAAGGTGTAAGTATGATACCGATTTGTTGATAACAGCGATGTTCTCCTCTACCTGGTGCCCGATTTTCGAATCCGTTGGAATTCGTTCCCATGGGAAAAACTCAATGTTTCCTATGGAAATTTGAGATGATGTATTCTTGAACTATTGCATAGATTAACGACTCCCCTAGATATACACCGCCCATGCATTCAGACGGTAACGCTTGTTTGGGATTTAGTTGGGACCCCGAATTTTTACCATCTATCGCCGCTATTGCGAATTACCGCGCGTGGTCGCAAATTCGATTTTTTACAGATTTCTGTATCATGGCATTCAGCGTATAGAAGCGGAGTTGTCAAATGTTAGTTTTTGTTGGATTTCTAATATATTGGTAGGTACATGTAGATTATTATTAATCTACGATACTGCAACCACAATTATTTTTAGTATAAGACTTCCTTGGTATGTATAAGAGATTTCAATCTTTAATCTATGAATCTATGGTATTATGTTATTTTATTAGTTTTCCATTGTGCTCGAATTATGATTACTCATGATGTGTTATTGTGCCTACCTATGTGAAGCTGGAAAATTCAAGAACGTGAGTTGACAATAAATAAATGGACATGAGTGTGAGAAAGTAGAAATTTTGGAAATTCAATTGATCGAGAACTCCAGAGTTTAGAAGCTGAAGATGCATTTGGATATGGGGCACTGTTTTTAGGGTAAACAATCGATGAATTCAGATTGTTTAGAATGTTTAGATCTGTCTATCTACAAGGAAGTCCAAATTCGTGATAGTTACACCATTTTTAATTCAACAACGGCTGGAACAATTTTCATGATATTTGATTTTTTATTGTATTCATCTGAAATATGGGATAATAAGTTCAAAAATTCTTCAAAATTAGGAAATTCGAGATGGCGAACCCAATATGACGAGTTCTGTGATTATGATCAGATTCTATTCAAGATTGGTATCTGGGGGTTTACATGGTCGGAGATTATGATTCCTTCGTCAAAAATTCTATATGGTGGATCCAATATGGCGGACGAGTTTTGTAATTTATAATCGGATTATATTCAAAATTGGTATCTGGGAGTTTTCGAGGTTAAAGATTAATGGACAAAATTATAGAAAATTCGAGATAGTGGATTCAATATGGCGGAAGAGCTTTGTAATGAATAGTAAAGTTTTTGATAAATAGTATTCACGAAACGAGATTCAATAGATTATTTCACTTTACAAAACAGTCGTGAGGCAAAATAATTATTTTTGTATCTAGAGCGCGAAATGCTACTTTGGTGATCGAGATCTGATTTTTTCAAAGAGGCGAAGCCGAGTTAAAAAATAGTCGAGATGACCAAAGTATTTCGCGCTCGAGTTGCAAACAACATTTTTTCTACGAACGTCAAAAAATATAGTTCTAATGTAAAAATATGCTTAGCTTGACATAAAAAATAGTGTTGGACTGGCTTAAAAGGCCTTCCCCTTTCCCTAGTTACGCACGATGTTCCACGAGCATACCAAATAGGAATTTCCTTTCGTGCGTTTCAAGAGATAGAACAAAGTTATTGTTGAACATCCAGAAATAAATGATTTCGTGGATGTTTGCTCGATTGAGGACTATGAGGTTGAAATATAAATATCTCATATATTTTACGTAACAATGCGCGAAGTAGGTACTTCGCGCACTGTTTTACTTCGCGCATTGTTTTGTGCAAGGTATCATGGTAACGTAGGAAACTGAAAAAAGTGTCACTTCGCAATTTGTTATCAATGCGCGAACCTTGTCATTTTTTGACGTTTGTAGAAAAAATATATTTTATATATCATTCTTATGAGAGAACAATCATATCATCAAAGGCCATTCTTCAAAAATACCTATATTCCATTTTTCTATTATCTGTCCTTGAATATTTCAAAAGCTTTCATTTAACTTGCATTGTATGTTTGTATGGATGTATATGTATGTATGTTCGGGTGGAATCTTTGAACTCAATTTTGAAGTAGAAATCTTCAACCGATTGAGCTGAAATTTTGTATGCACGTTCAGTTTGGATTACAATGCACGATAAGTTGTGTCACGTTATTCTAAATCCAATATGGCGGACTATCCAAGATGGCGGAACAGCTATTTTTGATATACTTTCACAATATGGGTATCAAATGAAGAGGCTCGTTGAGAGTAACTCGAAAAATAATGTGACGTCATTCTAAATCGAGTATGGCGGACCATCCAAGATGGCGGAATGGTCATTTTTAGTCTACTTCTACAATATGTGTATCAAATAAAAGGGCTAGTTGAGAGTAATTCGCAAAATGATGTGACGTTATTCTTAATCCAATATGGCGGACCATCAAAGATGGCGGAATAGCTATTTTTGATATACTTTCACAATATGGGTATCAAATGAAAAAGCTCGTTGAGAGTAACTCGAAAAATGATGTGACGTCATTCTAAATCGAATATGGCGGACCATCCAAGATGGCGGAATGGTCATTTTTAATCTACTTCTACAAAATGGGTATCAAATAAAAGGGCTCGTTGATAGTACTTAATTCGAGAAAGAATGTGACGTTATTCTAAATTCAATATGGCGAACCATCCAAGATGGCGGAATAGCTATTTTCAATATACTTCTACACTATGAGTATCAAATGAAAAGGCTCGTTGAGAGTAAATCGAAAAATCCAGCTAGCGATAATCAAAAATTAAAAAATAAATTGAGAATAATAATAATTTCCCTGGTGGCATTTATATATCTATATTCTATTCAGATATGCAATTTGAAAAAAAAAATCGAATCAGAAATGCTCGGTCAGCATACTCTAATATAGGTCAGCAAATTATACGGCCCCTGCGTCATTGTTGAAAATATTTCAAAATCGCAATACTCCCACTGTGCACAAATCATGAATTCTTTTCCATTGGCAGCAAACAGCGTACTACTTATTTTTTATAAAAGGTCGTAAATCATGCGGCGAGGGTCAGAAGATGCGTGTCAAACCGCAGCGCTAATGAATCGTCGTGAAAAAAACTTTGATACCGATAAAAAAGCGCATCCTTTTTTATTGCGATAACAATTTTTTTGATATGCCTAGAACTGGATGGCAGTAGATTTTCTATCGTTTCCACAATAATTGTTTCTGATTCGACCGTCATTATTCCGAGGTAATCCTAATTCAAATTATACACGTAAATAAACGTTGATAACGTTATATTTTTCAAAATAGGTAATAATTAGGTTTTCCATGTTTCGAGAACCCAAGAAATATGATCGTTAATTGTGAGAGCCTCACCGTAATAACATTGCCGTATATTCTTGAATTTCTATAGGTATTTTAAAGCAGTCTGAAATGATATGAAATAATGATAATTTGATATCCCACTGAAATTATGAAATTTGTATTTTCTACACATGCCAGACCCTCGTAAACATTGCAAATGAGAAATGTATATATACCATCTCCATTCATAAATGTTAATTCCTATCAATTCTGAGAGCGGCGCCACTCTCTGGATACAAATTGTTGCCATGCAAGGGTTTCGTAGTCCCTAACTTTTTAGGTTAATTTTTCATTTTGAGTGGTTGAAAAAATTAGTACATATTTGTGAAGATCTAATCTATGTTCCTGTCGTCTCACTTTTTCGAAATTTGATTCAGGTTTTTCTAAAAAAATCGCTAAATAACGTGTTTTTGGATGATTTTCCAATATTTTTTTCGGCGGAACCGAATCGAATTTCGAAAAAGTAAGACGACAGGAACATAGATAATATCTTCACGAGTATGTACAATTTTTTTCATATACTCAAAATGAAAACTGACCCTGAAAAGTTAGGGACTACGAAACCCTTGCATTATTGCTTTATATCATAGTACAACTTCCTCTTCATCAAATAATATTGTTAAGAAATTGAAAATGAAGCTTAAAAATATATCGGAGCATAATATGATATCATCAATGTTAACAGATGACTGCATGATACATTTTGAATTCCTCATCAATCATTTGATTGTAGTAAAATTATATAAAGAGTGCAAATGGATGTCGACGTCTGAAAAATATTCGATTAAGAAGAAGAGTAGGAAATGTATCAAATCAAAACTTGATATTTTACGTAGTGTATAGATCATCGGGAGTCGTTATTCTATGAAATGTGTAATGTATTTTGAGTAATATATAAAACTTTCATGTGATTTTTTTGTCTTTTCTCTAAAATTCAAATTTCAATTAATTCAACTGTTCTGTTCTCGGTTCTGTTCATAAATTCATAAATTGAGTACCTATTCAATTATACAACAAATTTTTAGAACTTTAAAACCTCAACTCTTATACACTTCAGATTTTCAATTCCTCTAACCTGTTTGTAGTTCAGTTTCCAACAATTACAACTTTTAATAACTTTCACTTTCGAACCATCAAATAGACATTCCAATTATGCAACTTGTCACCATGTACGCATACATGATATATCAATCCATTACATTTTTTATCCTCAAAATCGGATTTTCAACTTTTCTGTCTTTCAAAATTGAATTTTGTCTCAAATTCTCATTATCCTCAACATCTCAGATTTTCTGTACTTCAATTTTTCAACTCTACGACCTGTTTGTTGTTCAGCTTTCTGACTTTTCATCATTTTCACTTTCACATTGTTGAATATTTCAATTCTCACTTTATACAATTTCATCCCGATTTCAATCCATTTCTCTGTAATTTTCAACTTCCAAAACCATTCATACTCATACATTTCAACTTTTCAATTCTTCAACCTGTTTGTTGTTCATTTCATTATCCACTATTTCAACCCTTTATCTCTCTCCAATTATTAAGTACCTATTATGTTTTTCTACAAATTTTCAAGTTTTCAGGTTTGTAACGCACACGACTTCACTGCTGTCTTTCAACATTTTCGATTTCTCAAAATTTTCAATTTCTCAACTTTTCAACCTTTTGGTCTTGCTAAATCACATTTTGCCTCAAATTCCCAATATCTCAAAGCTCATATTTTTCAGCTTTTCTGAACATGAACATCTCATACTTTTTCTTATTCAAGTTTTCCAATTTTCTCCATAAGAATTAATGTACTACTTCTCAACTTTTCAACATATCATATTTCAACTCATGCTTTTATCATATCTCAAGTGTTTTTGTATAACAGATTCATGATATAGGTAATATTATTATGATGCGCGATTATGGGCGCGTTGGTTCGTCATCAACTAAAATAAATTTAAAGGAAAGACATTACACAAATATTCAATTTATTTTGAGTCATCAAATCATCGAAATCGGTCGTGCCGTTAACGATTATATAACGGACATATAGACAAACATGGGAACATAATCACAAAACCCGTCCGCCATATTGGATGCGCCATTTTGAATTTTCTTATTTTGACGACGAAATCATTATCTCCGACCCCAAAAACCCTCAGATACCAATTTTGAATAGAATCGGTCCATAATTACAAAACTCGTCCGCCATATTGGATTCGTCATCTTGAATTTCCTAATTTTGACGAAAGAATCATAATCTCCGACCCTGAAAACCCCTAGGTACCAATTTTCAATTGAATCTACTCATAATTAAAAAACTCGTCTGCCATAAGGGATCCGCCATTTTGAATTTCCTAATTTTAACGACGGAATCATAATCTCCGACTCCAAAAACCCCTAGATACAAATTTTTAATAGAATCGGTCAATAATCACAAAACTCGTCCGCCATATTGAATCCGCCATTTTGACTTTCCTAATTTGACGAAAGAATCATAATCTCCGACCCCGAAAACCCCCAGCTACCAATTTTGAATAAAATCGGTCCATAATTACAAAACTCGTCTGCCATATTTGATTTTTTCAATTTTTGCCATATTTGATTTTCTCATTTTTTTTTACCTATACCATCCTATACCATCCCTGAACTATAACGGAATAAACAAAAAAAAATTATCCAAATCAGTCGAGCAGTTTACGATTTTATCGAGGACATACAGACAGACAGACAAACATTCATTTTTATAGAGAAGATGCAGAATAATTATTTTTATTCTAATCTGATTTTTTATCCAAGAATGGTAATAAGAGTGTATGCCACATTCTGGCAACGCTGTCACGCGTAGCCGGTTTCGAGGGTGCACGGCGCTATAAATAGACCACAGACTGCCTGGACCTCGGATGAATTATTCGCACCAAGGATACTGGAGACATCTGTGTATGTTCTGTTTCACTAATTTCAGTGTTGACCAAATCCCCATTCACGGTGTATATCTAGGGGAGTCGTTAATCTATGACTATTGTATTCGCGGGAATCAATGTTACCAGGTGGCGCTCGGTTTTCATCGTACCATGTCAAAGCCACGTCAAAACTGGGGGAAAACAAACTCAATCCTCACTCAATACCATTAGTGCCATTAGCTTGTGTACTGTGTACTGATAAGAGTGATAAGTTTCAAAATTTCTTGACATTAATTGTCGATATTCGATCGAAAACGCTAATAATGCCTGTTGTAGATGTTCTTTTGGCAGATATTTTGCTCTATTTAGACGAAGAAAGCCGACCAGTAGTGGAAGGAGCAGCAGTTCTCCGTGCTAATCATGTGATTTTGTCTGAGGCAGAAGACTTCAACAAACGGCACATTTGGGCACTTTGTCTCCAAATTTCGGCGATGAATTCTTCCCCACATGAAGTAAAATTGAGGTTGATGGGGTCCAGAGGAACTCCTGTAGAACAATGGATTTGTATTTGTTCATGCAAAGTAGGACGATCTGGGTATTGTAAACATGTTGTAGCTGTTCTTTTATATGTCAATTGATTTGCTCCGTCATAATTAGTTTGAATTGTTTGAACTATCTCCAATTCTTCACCCGTTCACTGTTCACTAAACTAATAAAAATGTAATAATGCACAAAAATTAACCAACTCAACCATCATCACTATACCAACAGTGCCAACACTTTATGTCATTGACAAGTTTGACTACAGCTACTGCAAGCTGAATGCAATGTAGTCTATGCACTTTATCCATAGACAATAACAGTTTGTTTTCCCCCAGTTTGAAGTTCATAATATGTAACCTAGATGTCGACCACTTCGTGAATCTCGCGAATGGGAAACTATTCCTACATATTTCATTCCTTTTATACATAAATAATGATTGACGACATTATTCGATCGAAAAATTAACTGGAATGTTTCATTTTTGGACATAAATAATAGTACCTTCTGAAAACAGACCCTCTTATGACGTAGAAACCTCATCTCGCCATAGTTAAAAGAAAATACCAAAAACGCCCGACGGAGACTGAGGAAACTGAAATATTAATTCTTTCACATGTGATCTCGCGCTAATTCACTCAGTCAGAAATCATGTATCATTCATCTCTGTCTGGGAAAGTCTTGTTTCAGTATTAGGGTTTTGACGTCACATCATCGCCTCGTTTTCAGAGGTCCGAAAAATCGGGGAATTCAATATTTTTTTCATAAAACGTAGGGAGCTCACGGCAAGAAACGGTTTGCGGTGGTGAGCTAGTTTCGGGAGTTCTATCGAATTATGAAATGAAATTTTTCTGCGATATTAGCCCATTATGTGAAATAAAATAATAGGAAAATAATGCTCGTTTAGCTTGTTGTTTTAATTTTTTACTATTTGTGATTTGTGACTGAAAGGGGGCCCCCTTATGTATTTTGCGTTGGGGCCAAAAAATTCTAGTTACGCCACTGCCTGACATACCCTGTATAATATTTGTATTATCCAAAAGAAAATGAATTATTATTATTATTATTATTATCGTTGATATATTTTGGTTTTTTGTTTTAGGTTGTATGTCATCCACAAGCTTTGTGTGTACGGTTTCTATTTCTACATCTTCTATCTATTGAGTTGCTACTTTTCCTGGGTCAAGATAATATATGATTTGATGAAAACTTCCCTTGGCTACATACCACTAGTAGGTAGTCTGATAACGGTCTCGCAGGAATGAAAAACAACGATTACGAACAGTATGATCTAGCCCAGAAAAAATGGTGCATGGCCAAATGGGATCCACGTAAATCACCCTGTATATATTTAGTTATTAAAAATTTGTTTTTTTATGTGTACCGGGGAATTCACCATGAATGTCCACCCTTCTAGCTCAGATGTTTTTGAACCGATTTCAATATTACAAAAATCATCTGCAATGATTTTTCATAATTTTTTTCTCGCTAGGACCAGAAAATACAGGGGACTCGAAACCAACGATCTACAGGAAACTAGTTAATTTTTTTAAATAATGGAAATCCCTGTATTTCATTCCACAATCAGTTCAATATTTCGAAAATAAATCCAACAAAATCGGATATGATTGGGATAGGTCAAATGACTACGACGAAGATATAGCCGGTTTTTATGTTATACAGGGTGGGGCATTAGTGTGTCGATTGCTCGAGTTCTATGATAGCTAGAAACTTGATTCAAAAAAGAATGTCAATGACACAACAAGGTTTGTTACAAGAAATTATTGCCGCATATACAGGGAGCACCGGAAATCTAGAGGATCAGGATCACTTTTTTTAAATGGAATGCCCTATATATTAGCACATTTTTTGAAGCATCCCTGTGACCTCCATCCACTCCTATAATATTGTTGACTATATCTCAATCATTTCGAAGTTATAAATTTTTTTGTCGAAATAATGTCATCTGCAGATCCATGCCGAAAAATTTCCTGTAGTCACAATTATTAAACTTGAGAAAGAATAAACATAATATCATATGCTGGAAAGATGCGTGATATTTCTATAGAATTTTCATGCCCCAAATTATACAGGGTGGCTAAAAATGATTTTTCAATTCGGAACTTCTGTAAGTTATTTTTCTCGAATTTTTCAAATGGAACACCCCATATACTCTTAGGCCATTTGGTGTAAAATCGAAACACGAACATATTTTATCTCAACATCCATATTGATTTTCATAACCATTGTTGAATTACTGAACTTTTGAAATTCCAGGTTGGCCATTTTCATCGAAAGTCCAATTAATAACTCAGTTAACAAATTTTTTTTTATTGAAAGAATTGAATCCGGAATTGTAGTAAACATTAGAAATAGAGTTCATATGCTAGTAATCTACAAACTAAAAAAAGGACAAATTTCCATTTTCAAAGTATTCCATAAATTCATATAACATTAAAAACAAAATCAGGATAGTAATTTAGGTACAACTAAAAAATCTTCCTAGTCGTTTGACATAACCCCATCATACCCTTTATTGTTGGAGTCCCGTTTGAAAAAATCAACTAGTACCCTGTAGATCGCTTGTTCCGAGCACCCTGTATTTTCTGATGTAGCGAACAAAAATTGATTTTTCAAATTTTGAAATATTGGTTCAAAAATAACTGAACAAGAGAGGGGCTATTTATGGTGAATCATCCTGTACTGTACAATGATTTTGACATCTTCTAATTTCAATTTCGAATCGGAAGTAGCTCAAAAATGTTATTAATTGAAGTATTATAATATTAATTTGATATGTATTGAGTTTACATACCCATTGCAGTTATTTTGGAAGTAGGTGCATTGAATATATTATAGAAAGAATAAGGTGAATTTATAATCTCTTGCGAAATTCGATCTGGAATATATTTTCCAATAATAATTACTGAAAACAGGTCAATGATAGTATATTGATTGACCAACATCATAATATAAGTTTTGATAAGTATTAATTTATGTCATGCTTATTGATTGGGTCTTGATGACCCTGAATAAATATCACCTGTTTTATTTGCTCAACTTGTCAGTTTATTGATTGTTTCACAATGTACAAATTTTAATAAAACCATTTTATTATATGATGACTATCATTTTGATTCCTCATTTTTTTGTAATTAGAAATACAATGATACTTTCTATGCGCATTTGAATAATTGATGAGCAAAAAAAATGTGAACATCGACAATTTATTTCAAGACCATACCAAATTCATGAAATTATATCATATATCTCATTGTCAGTTTTTATCTTTTATAAAATACAGGGTGTTCCGGTGATCATGTTACAAACTTCTAGGGTAGATAAAACACACGAAAATAAAAAAAAAAGTTCATGTGAACATGGGTCCGGAAACGCTTCTTCAGGGAGCTAGGGCCCTTCGAAGATGACCTTCAAAAACTACTTTTCGTTTTATAGCTTCGGTACTACTGCAGCTATCGCAACCAATTTTGGGACATGAAATCTAGTTCGTAGGTTCATCAATTTGAGCCTTCCGGATTCTGTCACCTTCAACCAGGGGCGTACAAACCAGGGGGGTATTTGGGTAAATTTGACCCTACTCCTCTTAGGCTTTAATTTCTTACCATTTTTATATCTGATTATGATTTTCCAATGCCTTTTACATAAAAAAGGTACTCTTGTGAAAATCGCTATCACCGTTTCCTCCGAAAATGGCTAGATCCAATTATTACGTTGAAATATGAAAATGAGGTTCAGTACCCAGCGAGCACAAAAACATCTCAGATATGTTAAAAGTACGAGATTTCGAGACATTGAACCTCCACTGCGATGTTCTGTTCACACATGAATAGAACTATTATAGAACAGCCAATGTCCGCCGCAGGCGGCAATTATCGAGATGTCCTTGATATGTCACAAAACTACCTTCTCCCTAGTTCTTTTTAAAGCCTTTTCATGGACACAACAAAACATTTTCAACGCGTCTTGCGCACATTAAATCGCTGTAAAAAAACCATTTTCGAGGTACTTTTCTGAAGCCTTTTGTCAAAATGAACTTTTGCATTAGGATTCCATTTCCCTTGAATGAAAAAATGCATTGAAAATAGATTGAACATAAAAATATTTTCTTGATATGAAATTACCTTCTTTATTGGTTTCTGAGTAGTGCTTACTACACACAGACATATAATTGGAAATAGGTTTCCCAATATTTGAAATGTTCTCCACAATGCATGATTTTGCAACTGCGGAGAAGCTGTCTATTGATAAATTCGTACTTTTAAATATTGATTACACTGAGGCACCGAACAACACATCTTGCATCTGATGGTCATTATTACAAACTAAATAAGTCTTCTAACACAATAAACTTCACCAAATTCCTTTCTGTTCGTTAGCAGCGTGATGTAAGCGTGACACGCTGCAAACGCGAATGCCAATTGCGAACAAGAAGAACAAAATCGAAAACAAATCAGAATTCATCGTATTGTGACGTAAGCATGAGATGTTGTGGTGGGGCATACAAAGAAAGGGCACAAAAGAACAAAAACAACACTTTCAATATGCTTCTAAGACCTCTTTAGGAAGTGCATATTACGCCTCAAAAAAACATCCTCATGCCTACATTTCTAAAACATCCCAAAACATCCCAGAGGGATACCTCTCAGTAGGCAAACAAAGAAATGCCACAGAAGAACAAAAACAATACTTCAATATCCTTCAAAGACCTCTTTGGTCAGTGCATATTACGTCTCAAAATAACATCTTCATGCCAACATTTTCGAAACATCCCAAAACATCCCAGGGATGTTTGTGCTCGCTGGGTACAGATAGTGAGCATTATTAGTTAGTCAAATCTTCTTCTTTAATTGATGAATCTACGAACTAGATTTCATGTCCCAAAATTGGTTGCGATAGCTGCAGTAGTACCGAAGCTATAAAACGAAAAGTAGTTTTTGAAGGTCATCTTCGAAGGGCCCTAGCTCCCTGAAGAAGCGTTTCCGGACCCATGTTCACATGAACTTTTTTTCTTATTTTCGTGTGTTTTATCTACCCTAGAAGTTTGTAACATGATCACCGGAACACCCTGTATATGTTTCAGAATAAAAAGACTTCCAGTGACAAACGAGTGGAAAATTATATATTACATCATTTACTCTATGTTATATTTATTCAAACTTATCAATTATATCGACACAGTATGGAATTGTTTTCGAATTGGATAAACAGAATACAAACAGACAATCACATTCCACTGAACCAAAAGGAATGAATAACAATCTCAAGCAGTCTCAAGTAACAGTCACAACAAAAGGTTGTGCCCTTCCAACGTTCCTAATTATTTGTTTGGTTGCTATTGTTGCTAAGAGGAATGTTAATAAAACACTGATAAATAAACAAGAGATAAGCGACACGTGGTTTGGATATGTAGCCAGAACATCATGATCTCGAATTGTGAATTGTGTTCATACAACAAAAAAACAGGAAATCATAATAATGGGCTACAGAAGTGAAAGAAATTACTCCAAGAGCTGCGTGGAATATTCTGAGAATGAGGTACTTCTGTTAATAATAAGTTATTTGTTTCATTACCAATATCGAAGGATATATATTTTAAACGGTCCAATAATAACTCTATTATGAAAATACTCGTAAAAATAATAGGTGATAGAATATAGTCCACATAGATCTGATCGGAAATATCAATTAGATACCTAAATTTGTGATACTCTTCAGGTTCTTATAGATGCACCACGAAATGAGGAATTCACAGAAGTTAGAGTAAAAGGATTAGGTATAGTTTCTGCAACGCTCTTCATTATAGGAGAAATGGCAGGTAGTGGTGTCTTAGCTTTACCAAGAGCTTTAGTAAATACAGGTAAAAAATTTGAAGTTTTAAATTTTTATATGTTTCAAGGAAGAAATTAAAAATATCATATTTGAAGAAAGATAAGACATATCAATTCAAGGAAATATTTGCTTAAACTATATTCGTTTAATTTCATAATTATACAGGGTGTTTCAGACTTAAATGTACATACGATACCTGTAGAGTGTAGATAGAGGACACTTCGGTGGTTCCAAATCACCCCCCCTATTGATGTGTCTACCGTCTTTTATAACTGAGATACAGGACGTTATCTTGATTTTGGCAAAATCTTCATCTGGTTATAACTTTTGAACCACCTTGTATAATTTATCCATACTTGGTAGAAATATTCCACTTATATTACTCATCAAAACCAAATAAAAATCCGTATCAGAATCCAGGTCCGTCTTGGGGAAAACCAGAAAACTTCTTGTATGGCAAAATTTTGTAGGTCTGTTTCGGTATTTGGAAAAAGCGGAAAAAAATGAAATAAGTGACCTACTTTTTACGAGTGCGCATCTAATTTGACAGATGGTTTATTATCATGTTTTGAAATATTCAGCTCCATTTCGAGGCATTTTTATTGAACTTATAATTCAAAATTCTATTTTAATACAAAAAAATAATAGTCTTCAAAGTTCAACATCATTAGAGTCAAATTAGGTGAACTATCGATAGATTTGTTGTGACAGAATCACTTGTCTATGGTATCATACATTTTTGAGGGCTCATTTTATTTTCCACTATTAATTCACGAGCTACGGTTAAGTAGGCTGTGCAAAAAAAATCTGATATTCTGACAGGTCATAATCACTAGTGTGATATTATTGGTAATGTTAAGATAATTATTTCTGGTGCTTGTATTGGGTTGTTACATTTCAAAGTGTTCATAATTGTGCCTACAATAACTTTACCAATAATATCGCAACTATAGTGAATATGAACTGTCAAAATTTTCATTTTGCCTTCACAGCCTACTTTACCGCAGCTTATGAATAAATAGTGAAGTATAAAATGAGTCCTCGAAAATTTTTAAAATCATCGACAAATTATTCTGTCAAACAAACAAATTTATCGATAGTTCACCTAATTTGACTCTAATGATGTTGAACTTTGGAGACTGTTATTTTTCTTTATAATAATTTGGTTTTGAATTATGAGTTCAATAAAAATGCATCGTAATGGAGCTGAATATTTCAAAACATGATGATAAACCATCTTTCAAATTGGATGCGCACTCGTAAAAAGTAGGTCACTCCATTCATTTTTTTCCGCTCTTTCCAAATATCAAAACCGATCAATAAAATTTTGCCATACAGAGTGTTGTTTTTGAGATAAAAGAAGATTTCTGTTTTTCCTCAAGACGGACCTGGATTCTGATCCGGATTTTCATTTGGTTTTGATGGGTAATATAAGTGAAATATTTCTACCAAGTATGGATAGATTATACAAAGTGGTTCAGAAGTTATAACCAGATGAAGATTTTGCCAATATCAAGATAACGTCCTGTATCTCAGTTTCGTCTCAGTTATCAAAGACGGTAGACATATCGATGGGGGGTGAGTTGGAACCACCGAAGTGTCCTCTAACTACAGGTATCATTTTTTCTTTCGATCACCTACTGTTCAGTGGGCAAAGAAAACAAGAATTTCACGAAATAATTGCTTGACCAATTAACTCTTGAAGAAAGTTTTTATGAACACCAGAAAAAAAATTGAAATGTGAAGTGACTATAGGGAAGCTCATTTATATTCATGAATAAAATAGTATGATTTTTAGTATGTTTGTAGGTAACATTGGAATCGTACTTTTGATAGTATTTTGTTTGAATGCAGCCTATGGTGGTATTCGATTAGGCAATTGTTGGAACATGGTGGAACAGAGGTTTCCAGAACATAGAAAAGCTACTAGAAATCCATATGCAATTGTAGCTGAAAAGGCTATAGGAAAATTTGGTAGGTAAGTTTTAGCACTTCTATTAAAACAAGATAAATCAAACATTTTTAGACGTGCAAAATGATAAAAATTGATGGTTCAATCAACGAATAGTTTCTAGACAGACGTTTTGAAATTCAATGCTTGATTTTTGGGACAGCCATCTTTAGTTTCTTTACGAATATCTCGTATTAAGTGAGAAATAGCTCATAAAATTTAGTACCAAAAGGCTTCTATTGATTTTTTCCGCAATTCTTAGAGTTTTTGAGCAATAGGCCTATCGAAATAATATTTATATAAAAAAATATCAATTACAATACGGTGACATTGAGATAAGTGCAAATATTTCAAACCCTGAGAAAGCTTGACGTATACTATCGAATGGCACCAATAAAAAATACAGTGTGTCCCACTCACCATGCTCACCATGGGTATCTTTTTAACGGTGAGAGATACGAGGTCGGTTAAATGACACCAAATGTGGAGTTTGTCAAGGCCAACTGTAATGTGAAAAAATATTTCGATAAAATCTATTCGTTTTTGTTTTATACGCAAAAAACAGATTTTGATCATTTTCATGTCTCCTCCGTAACTTCTTTATTCATGAAAATATTCAAATAGGAATTTTACATTCTCAAGGCAGTTTTTCAAAGTGATTTCGAAAAAATATGAAATTTATACCAACTCTTCTAGAATTTGAGATATCAGCACCAACTTTAGTTTTTCAAATGTAGGTCATAGCTCACTATGACTTAGTTACAAATAACTTTTTTTTCTCTTACAGATGATATGTCGCAGTAATAGTTTTGTGTTGATAACAACGGAGTTATCGTCATTTAAACAAAAACAAAATATTATTCGGAAGCCGCCATCTTGAATTTATACATTTCAACAAAAAAATCATGATCTCCGACCTCAAAAACCCCCACTTACCAATTTTGAATGGAATCGGACCAAATCTTGTCCGCCATCTTGGAGCAGCCATTGTTTTTTATTTCAACAAAAATTCCATAATTCCGATTAACTTGAAATTTGGCAGGTGTTCATAATTTCGGTGACAATACATCATGGAATTTTTGTGGAAATAAAAAAAAATGGCTGCTCCAAGATGGCGGACAAGATTTGGTCCGATTCCATTCAAAATTGGTAAGTGGGGGTTTTTGAGGTCGGAGATCATGATTTTTTTGTTGAAATGTATAAATTCAAGATGGCGGCTTCCAAATAATATTTTGTTTTTGTTTAAATGACGATAACTCCGTTGTTTTCAACACAAAATTATTACTGCGACATATCATCTGTAAGAGAAAAAAAAGTTATTTGTAACTAAGTCATAGTGAGCTATGACCTACATTTGAAAAACTAAAGTTGGTGCTGATATCTCAAATTCTAGAAGAGTTGGTATAAATTTCATATTTTTATCGAAATCATTTTGAAAAACTGCTACGAGAATGTGAAATTCCTATTTGAATATTTTCATAAATAAAGAAGTTACGGAGGAGACATGAAAATGATCAAAATCAGTTTTTTGCGTATAAAACAAAAACGAATAGATTTTATCGAAATATTTCTTCACATTATAGTTGGCCTTGACAAACTCCACATTTGGTGTCATTTAACCGACCTCGTATCTCTCACCGTTAAGAAGATACCCATGGTGAGCATGGTAAGTGGGACACACTGTATAGGGATCAAAATGAAAATTTGGGGTTAAACCCCTTTTTCCACCCAAAGTTCTACACTTTGGAAATTCTGATGTCACCTCTGTTCAAATGTCCACGCAGAAGGCACAATCATGGGCTATTCTTTTTTTTATATAGAAATTTTTCACAACCTAATGTTGCTTATACCCTCAAATCCCTGAAGTCGAAAAACTACTTCATACGGTCTGTCTAAGACCCGCCATTCTTGAGCGTTCGTTAAGAACTTTAGGAAACAATCTAATGACGATGAATCAATATTTTTCATTTTCAGTCATGTTGTATCTAATGACAATGAATCAATATTTTTTATTTTCAGTCATGTTGTATCAATATGTATTCGAATAACACTCTTCGGTGCTGGAACCGTATATCTATTACTTGCTTCACAAATTATACAGGAACTTCTGAGGGCAGTCGTACCTGAACTTAGTACGTGTTTATACTTTTTACTGATATCAATCCTGATCACGCCAGTACTCTGGCTGAGCTCACCGAAAGACTTCAGGTTAGTTAAAATGGATAATAAGATGATTTGTAGGTACTTACATACTTCAAATAAATGTTGATACTTCAGTGGTGATGAGCGGGGTCTAAGACCGACCAGATATTGTTATTAATTCAGGAGCATTCGCTAGACATGTCATCTGATGCTGCCCTCTAGCTCATTATTCGTACGTTTATTCCAGTATGACAATTATCCGTATTTTCTTGTACAATATTCTGTTTAAGAATCGAAAGAATAAATATCGGAACTACCACTGACATCAGTCAGGGACGGCAGGGTTGGCCGGGCCGTACCAGCTGATTTAGGAAAAAAAGATGAACTTTTTGATGAATACATTCATTTTTCGAAAATGTTTTCAATATTCATCGTTCATTTTGCTACGTTTATGACAGTTTCAATTGAATTTTGTGCACTCAAACCTTTGGGTAAGTCATCCGAATATACACCGAGAATGACGAACTAATTCAGGACCTACGAAATATGCTTTTCCCGTTTTCCCATCGTCAAAACGTCACTTCAAGTTGGAACGCTCGCGTAGCTCATTAAACTACTGCAGTCGGCTAGCCGATCGGTGGATCCCAGCCTCTCGACGTATCGCCTTAGTTCAGTCATTTGGTGCTAAAAAAGGGGGTTACCTGAATAGTTTTCCGGGAGTTTTGAAAATTGGAATTTTAATAATTTTGACGTGCTATTTTCGAATTTTTACTTTGCCACCTCGTATCTTTGCCGCCCGCGCCGCCATATTGAAAAAATGGCGCCCAAAAACAGTTTTTCGACGATATCTCCTACTCATTTTATGATGAAAATAGTTATGTGATAAATTAAACTAGTGCTCCGTTATTTGCACGAATTGCAATGGTACATGTGAGAATTTGCAATTTTCATGCAAGATAGCGATGATGAAGAAGAAGAAACGGAGACTGTTCTCGAGCGAACCCGTGACGAAATCGAGGAAGAAGTTGATAACTTCGGAGCTGATAACCCTATCACAGATAACGTGGAATAAATTTCTGTCTGTGGCGTTTTGCTTGGGTCTGAAGACGATGAACTCGCAAAACCTGGCCCATCAGGGATGACAAAGCGAAGGAGAATGCACTAAATGTCATCATTAGTAAAATACATGTGGATTAGGCCCACTGAGGATACCACAAAAAAAAACGCGCCACTTACTCTACCCATAGATTTTAATCCATGCTCTACCTCATGGTGGTGTGCAAATGAGTTTTTTCGATGATACGCGTGTTGTATTAGACTTCGCGGCGCTAGTACGCTAAAACTATCAATTTTACAAAAAAAAAGGAACGACCACATAAATTGTAGAAGATTTTCTCTAGTTTAATTTATCACATAATTATTTTCATCATAAAATAAGTAAGAAAGGATATCGTGAAAAAACTGTTTTTGGGCGCCATTTTACCAATATGACGGCGCGAGCGGCAAATATACGAGGTGGCAAAGTGAAAATAACACGTCGAAATCTATGAAAACACCAATTTTCAAAACTCCCAGAAAACTTTCGAAGTAGAACTACCAAATGACTGAACTATACAGATTTTCCGGTTCAAGTTGACATACTCGCGTATCGGCATACCCCATCATACCCTGGGTACGGCACGGCCAAGCTCTGCTGGCCGAACAACGTACCAGCCGTAGTGTGCTGCGCCCCGTATACCGACCTAACTATATGATCCTCAGAAAAATTCGATTCATATTCAAATCAACAGAAAGAAGAATCTGGCATGAGTAATGCAGAACAGCAAAATAAAAATCCATATTCTTTGGAGGCTGTAAAAATCACTTGAAATGTCGTGTGAAAACTGAAAAGTAGTTCCTATTACAGACTTGTTCTTCAACAGGAAAAAAAAAAGATTCGATTGATAGTAAAAAAACTGACATGGGTATAATAACTGTTTGGTTTTTGCATAAAAATTCACTACGATTTCCTAGATACCACGAACTAAAGAGAATACCTGAAACAACCAATCACTAGTTAAGGGTTAATAACTATCCCTAAGTTAACGACCTCGAGCGACCGCCGCCCTTGCCGCCATTTTGGAAAAATGGCACCCGGTTTCATTGTTTGAGGTATGACTCCAATCCTGTTGGTTTCAGAAGGACAGTTTCTGACTATTATCGTTTTTATTGAATTAGCGAAATAATTTTAAAGAATTGACTGTTTTTATTATTGAAATAACAGTACTGTTCCGAAAACAAAGATGTCTCTTAGGCTGACAGAAAATCATACTATGTTGAAAAACCACATCACCACTGAAATGTCGATAAATCTGTAATTCTCTTGCTGGCATTTTTCCAAAATAAATGTACACAATTACAATGTGAGAATACGTCAAGGATCCGAAATGTTAAAGGATATAAACCATCTGTGCCTATAAAGACAAAAATTTACCGATTATTCTTTCGATTTTTTTCTATATTGAATGTTTTCTTTTGCGTTTCAGTCTTGTAGGCGTAGGAGCAGTGCTGACCATTGTCTGTTCCTGCATTTTATTCAATATTCAAATATTTTCTGATGCAAAAACCATTCCAACTGCTCCCCGACAAGTACATGGATTCCATGATTTTTTCATTTCCTCTGGAATGATATTATTTTCTTTTGGAGGTGCATCTACATTCCCTACCATTCAGAATGATATGAAGAATCGAAAGGATTTTTCAATGAGTGTTGCAATAGCATTCATTAGTAAGTATTCAACACTATACAATGCACAATATCAAGAGGAACTATATAATTATAATAATGAATAATAAATAAATGGTAGTCTATAGTTAGAAGCACTGAATTGTGGATATTTGGAAAACATCTGGAAAATGAGTTGAGTGAGTGAATGTAAGATACATGTTTTGCCATTCTTTAATCAAACACATTATATGTAACCACAAACACCGAAACACCCTGTAAAATTTCGACTGGTTCCATATATTACCACTTTATCCCAACTTGGTAATAGGTGCATCACCTACTCTGTATGATTTGAATAATTCATCACACAATTATTTGTTTTTCAGTTATAATGCTCCTGTATTTTCCAATTACAATTGGAGGATTCCTGGTTTATGGAGAGGGAGTAAACATAAATCTAACATTATCCATGACAAAGAATTTGATGGTAGATCTGGGAAATATTTTGATTGCCATCCATTTGATTTTTGCATTTCTTATTGTTCTTAATCCAGTTTTTCAAGATGTTGAGGAATCTTTCCAATTACCAAAAAGTGAGTTTCAATATAATAGGTTATTATAAGGTGCTTACCGAGATGCCTATACTATACTTATATATAATTAATTACATTAACTACAAAAGCCCAAACAAAAGTTCTATGAATTTCATTGGTTTTCAGGGTTTCATTGGAAGAGATGTGTTTTTAGATCCCTGGTTATGGTATTTGTTATATTTGTGGGAGAAAGTGTACCTCAATTTGGCAAAATCTTGGCTCTTATTGGCGGTTCCACCATTACAATGACTACATTCGTATTTCCTCCATTATTTTACATGAAGTTGTGTGATCAGGAGAATCCAAATTGGCCAAAGAAGTATGTGTTCAAGTGTTATTATTATATTATGAAAGTGCATAACTAGTAGAGATACTTTGTATTTCAGAGTGATTCCATTGCATGAAAGGGTCTACATCTGGGAACTGATTGTAATAGGTTTAATTGGTGGTTGTGCTTCTACATATAGTGCAATTATATCAATATTTGGGGCTTATTCCTTTACTAGGCCTTGCTATTAGTGATAGTGACATTCAATATTTGAACTTCTTAGAGAAGATATAGACATTGTTCACTTAGTCAAAATACTTGGAATCTTTTGGAAGGTGAATTTATGCAAGATCAAATGGTTCTCTTTGGAAAATAATTTACCTGGAATTTTTGTATAGTACGTTAATGAGAATGTCAACTTGCATGAACCCACTTTATCATCAGAAATTAGAATAATAAATATACTTACAAAACGAAAAACAGTTTTTCTTCAGATTATATTAATGGTACCTACTAAACCTACTTACTTTGTTTGAAAAACTATGTAAAATCACTAAAATCAGCTCTCTCCAACACCATCACTTCCATCATCCCTGAAACATTCTGCTCCAAACCCCAAACATGTCAAATCATCACAAATTCTATTTCTGATAAATCATTTTTAGAAGTTTTAGAACTACTATGACTTTTGAACTACTAGTTTCAAATATTATTTTCTGGCTGTGGGTCCTGCATGGTAACGGCTGCTACGAAATGAGAACTGAGAAATGAAATGACTAAAGGCAACGACAAGAATGCAAGAAGAAGAAGAAGAAGAATGAGAGATGAATGACGTCAATGTCACAAGTGCACTTAGTGTGGATCCCAAGCCACACTGGAATCCCCGGAAACGAAAGAGCAGATTCATTGGCCAAATCAGGATGCAAGCTACATCAGGAGCAGCGGGCATTTACCTGGTACCAAGATATTCAAGTGATATTGAAAGAGCAAATCTGGAACAAGTGGGTCAACACCTACCGTGGGCTAAGTGGAATCAAAGGAAGAAGTTACACTCCTTCGGTGAACACCCCCCTGAAAGTGCCCTGGTTCAAGGCATGCCCTGCCCTAACAAGGAGCGAGATAACTACTTTAAACCGTATGAGAAGTGGTCACTGCCTCACTAACACTCATCTGCATAGGATCAAAATTAAAGATTCTCCGTTATGTGAATGTGGTTTCCCTCAGGACCTCGACCATATACTCTTCAGCTGCCCAAACAATCAATTCAATATTAATGTGTTACAGAATAGATTGACAACCAAGAGCAATAATAGGGCGAGTCACTTTCCCCTCTCACGACACAACATCCTCTTTGAAGACATAAGTGCTGAAAAGTGTCAATTGTTACACCAGTTTCTGAGCTCTTCTGGATACAAACTTTGACAGTGCACAGACAGAAACTCTTTTGTTATTATTTTATTTCAAGTGATAAGTAGTAGCTTTGGTCATCGCTTTGAAAGACTAAGTAGTTGCCTGCTAATGTGATGCTTTTGTTTGCTTTAGCTAGTATATATAATGCTTTGCAGTATCATTTCCCTTGCTGCATGTGGTGCATGTAGAGGTGAAGTGCGAAAAACTATTAGAACTGTTTAATTCCTATAGGAACCTCTACGGGGCATGGGATTCCCCCAGACCTGCCACACGGTGGACCCCAGTAGAAAAGATTAAAATTGATGCGTTTACTTGACCAGATAGCCCAGGTAGCTAAGGCCATACAAATCGAAAGGAAGAAGAAGAAGAAGAAGACGTCAATGTCAATTTTTCAACGTCAAGTTGTCAGTAGTGGTGGGTCGTGGTGGGTCACTCAGGTTCAAGGTCACACTTGTCAGCGTCAGCTGATGTCGAAAAAAATATAGAAAAAATAATAACAAAATAAAATAAACAAGAAGATCTGTGGTGGTAGATAATTCTGTTTGCTCGAAAATATGTGATTTTGGGTAGAAAACCTGATAAGTTTGGTACTTCTAGAAGGATAGTTGAAGAAATATTTGTTTCCAGCAGTCAGCAATGTCTGATCATCAGTTGGAAGTGTTAACTCAGGAAACAGGTTGAACAACTTATTAACATTGTTTTACAATTATTTTGTAGACTATAACTGTTTGAATTATTTTTTCAGATCTACTATCTAATGATTCTGATCATGAGTGCTCTCAAAGTGTTTGTTCAGATACTCATAGTGACAACACATCAGCCTCTGGTCTTACAGAGAAAAGCACTGTTTCAGAATCGACAATACACGCTTTGTCAGGGGGTAGTGAAGGTGAATTTTCTGGTAGTCATTCTGCAACCTCTCCAGGTACATATCTGCTCTTCTTTAACAGACAATATAATGATTCTCATTTTGTCCCACACATAGAGAATAAATCAACATTGATGTGATTCTTAGTATGATTTCTCAACACATTTTAGTATTACATCCAACAATATATTTCAGGACTTGAACCAAAATCAAATTTCACTTCTATAGCTAATAGAGGCATAGTATTGCCATGGGGGGCTCAAAAAGAGAGGATATCATACTCTGGACAATACATGGAGTTAGATATGAGACCAGGAGAATTCGTTATGAGGAATCTCTTTGCTGATTTCACAGTTTTGGCTGAGAAAAAAATTGAATCTGTTATGACAGAACCTCAGGTAATGGAGAAACCTTTGTCAAAAAGCTTGCAGAGAGGTGAAGATGCACAATTTGATCAATTACTCAGTGCATTTGGGTCAGTAGCAGAACATTGCTTGCCATCTCTTCTGAGAGCTCTCTTTTCATGGTATGAACGCCAAATGTCTGAGGTTTCTAATCCTGAACAGAAGAAGTCAGATATTAAACAAAAGAGGTAACTACATAATTCCAGATGAATTACAATAATCCAGTTTTTGGTATTGTGCCTTAATAACAATTGATTTGATTTATATCTCATTTTACTAGAAGATCTAGTTTCTAATGTTCCATATTGTAACATTCACTAATTACTTCAAAAAAATAACTTAAGCACCCTGGGTTCAGAATCCACCAAACATTTGGTGTAATAAGGTGAAGAAATCATTTTAAATCATTGAATTAGTGAATATTTCAAGGAATTTCATCAATTCAAAATCTCATGTTTTTTGTATACTCTTATAGTATTTATTTATATTATTTTGTGGAAACATAATTGAATCTGCAATAATATACTTTTTTTTCAGTATTATCAACATTGTAGCTGGTAACACTACAGAGACTATTGAAAGATCTGAAGCAGATATTCAGAAAGAGAAAAGAGATTTGGCAGTAGAGTTTATTTTTTGTCTGGTACTGATTGAAGTATTGAAGCAAATGGGGCTCCACCCAGGTCATGAAGATTTGGTTCAGTACATTGAAAATTTGGCTCTCAAACATTTCAAATACCATGAAGGGTATGAGCACATTATTTTATATTTAATTTTAATCATCATTGTGTGACCCACTTCAAGCAGAGTTAACCCTGTAAATTCTCAATTTTTCAACTCATTTTAACATCTTTTCTTCAATAAAGCAGATAATTAGAGTTATACTGAAACAAAAGTTTCAACGCCTGGAAATTCATTTTCAAAGCACATAATGATTGTTTCACCACAAAAAAATAGATGAATCATATCGAATTTTTTTGGAAATAATTACTACAATGATTCTTTTTCAACACTTGTGCTTTTCAGAATACTAGAAGTCTTGTATTGTTTAGCCAATGATGAACTGTCTTCAAGAGACTGATCAAATACTGGTTTTGAAATATCCCCCCACATATCATTATGGTTTTCAGCATAACATTTGGTGTACTTATTCATTGAATTGTTCAAATTGATGTCCAGTTTACCTAACACATAATTGAGACAGTTTCTCAATATTTCTTAATTCAGGTATAAGAGGCACAACAATCTTGAAGAACTTTATGCAACAACAGGTAGTTTTCCAAGAAATACAAAGACATCCTTTAATGATTTTGAATGCATTGAGACATATTGAGAAAGTGTTTCAGGGAAAATGGACATCAAATTGAACAGTTCATTGAATACCTAAATGAATAATTTCAAAACTCAATTGCTTTAGTAAACATTTAATCATGTGCTTATTTCACATTATGAACTTTTTATTACCATTTTATTTCTTGCTATCAGGTACCTAAGTTTTGTGTTTTGTTAGTTAATCAGTGTTGGTATTGTTTTTGTCCTTTTCATAAGAAAATCAAAAAAAGTATTCCTTCAAGGAACTTTTTTTATATGAAAAATCCATAGCCCAGTATTAAAATTCAATGTTTTAGTGATTTTGGAGCATTTTAGATAATTTTATATCCATACATTACGTATCAAGATAATTTTATATCCATACATTACGTATCATTTTGAAGCAAAAAATAAGGAATTTAATGAGCTAATGAAACACAAGGTGTTCAATTTAAAAAATCCTAAGTTTGAGTAGTATCTCCAAAACCATACCCCAAAAAAAATTGCGTGCGCCACTGGATCCTGCGTAAAGTTCTCTATGGGCATCTATGGGGTAAGATTTCAATTTTACATTTTCGCCAAGAAACTTCCTAGATATAGAGGGGGTCCAAAAAGTATAATTTTTTAAAATCGCCCTGTATCCCATAAACGGAAACAGTTAGGCCATCTTTAGTTTCACAAAAAAAGTGGTACAGGACTGTGAAAACCATAAGGTTCTATCTTCAACAACAACCGAGATACCTGGCTGTTTCACCTAGAATGGGATGCAATGTACAATAACATTTTAATTTCTATAGACACTGTTACCAATCTATCGAAGTTGTTTCAAATTTTCATGAAACATAATATCTATTAGTGAATTTTAAAGCACAGTGACACAGAGACAAGGAGAGAAACCCACAAATATTCAGAGAAATAAATAAGAATAGTTATTTGTTTTTCTAGGCAGAAATGCACAACATTTAATGCTGCAGCTGGCGTTTCATAGCGTAGCCTTTGTGGCCATGTGAAACATAATTTTTTCTCCAAATTCATTTTAATTTCATAAAAAGTCTGAATAATCCATCATTTTGGGTTCATTCAAAGTCATTGTCAATTTTGATTACCAATTCGATTCAAATTACTTGGAACGTTGTAAAGTACCCCTTTTCTGTCTGTTAAGAATCATCAAGAAGCAAAAAAAAATGATTAAAACAATTTCCCAGACAATTTCACTATTTTCATGTAATTTATCATACCATAATTTGAAAATTGATTTCAAGTCATAAAACTTTGTGTTAAATTAGAGTTAATTTTTTATACAAAAATTGTAGAAATTTTCAAGGGTGATCTCAATGTGCTTATACAATTTCCCATAGCTGTACCTTCATGTTGTTCAAAAAATTCTTGTTTATATTGAAAAATATTTTGGCTCATGCAGAGGTTAGTGAGATCAACCAATTCTTTAATATTATCTGGATCTAGATTGTTATATTCGAGTAATTCCTTTAAATATTCCAAAGTTGTTGGTATGGGTACACTTGAGACATAAATTTAAGTTAACACTTCGATATTCTACGACTTTTCAAGCAAAAGAACTCTAGAAGAATCCCAATCCCCTACAATCCCAAGTATACGAAGGGACTTGATAAGGTTTTCAATGACTTAGGTTTTGAAAGCGTTTATCAGTCTGGGTCAAAATTAGGCAATTTATTAGGCAATCCGAAAGATAAAGTGGACACACGTGAAAAGTCGGGAATATACGAAATAAGTTGTAATGATTGTGATAAAACATATATAGGCCAAACCAGGCGACCCATAAAAACAAGGTTCAAAGAACACATAGACCATTTAAAATATGGCAGGTTAGATAAATCTTGTGTAGCCAAACATATGTTCAATCACAATCATAACACACATATTACTAACCTCAAATTAGTTAAGCAAGTTAATAACATTAGAAAACTAGACGCATATGAAAGCTTAGAGATATTTAAGAATAGTAATAGAGTAATGAATAAGGATAATGGACCTATTCCATATAGCCCTCTATATAGTTTAGTAAAATAAAAATTAAGATTAACATGTGAACTCAACCATGACAAACATTAACTTGACGGTTAGTATTTTTCACAGTTGGGTGAACATATACCTAGTATATAAGCAGCACACTAGAATAGGATATTTAGTTTTAATCTTCTCCTGAAGATGCTAACATAGTTAGCGAAACACGTGTCGAGGCGTTAAAAAATCGGTTTGGTTAGTGGTAAAACAGTGTAGTGTATGTATAAGGAAATTGATCAAGAGCCTTAGAAGTAGTCATTATCAATGATGAACTGTGTACAAAGGCTCAGCTCCGTAGCTCGAATGGTTCCTGAGATAGGAGCAAACAATTTATTTTCTTTGACGCTCTGTATATTGAAAACGGAAGCCCGGAGAAAAATTTCGTGAATGAAAAAGAATTCCCTTTCTTCATGAGGAATCCAGAGTTTTCCGTTGTGACACTTGTTTGTTAACACCCTGTATTGTGTTTCAGTATTCAGAATAGTCCAAACAGTGCAAACATACACATGATTTCTGACTTATATGCAGAAGTAATCGGGGTTTTGGCCCAATCCCGATTCATGTCAGTCAGAACCAGATTCATGGCAGAACTGAAAGAACTAAGGTCGAAAGAAACGAACCCAAATACAACCCAAAGCATTATAAGCTTATTGATGGGAATGAAGTTCTTTCGCGTCAAGATGGTACCAATAGAAGAATTTGAAGCATCTTTCCAGTTCATGCAGGAGTGTGCACAGTATTTTCTCGAGGTCAAAGATAAGGATATCAAGCATGCTTTGGCCGGGCTATTTGTTGAAATATTGGTGCCAGTGGCAGCTGTACGTACTTTTTCAACTTGGGAAATGCTGGCAAATCTTTCTTCAATGCATTTTATTTTTTCTAGGCTGTTAAGAATGAGGTGAATGTACCTTGTTTGAAGAATTTCGTGGAAATGCTATATTCTCAAACATTAGATGCTAGTACAAAGTCTAAGCATCGTTTAGCACTATTTCCATTAGTGACATGTCTGCTTTGTGTTAGCCAGAAGCAGTTTTTCCTACAGAACTGGCACTACTTCCTAGCAATGTGCTTGTCCCATTTGAAAAACCGAGATCCAAAAATGTGCAGAGTTGCTTTAGGTACAATTTTTTTTTAACAATCTATACTAATATTATAAAGATGAAATATTTGATTGTTTGATTGATTGATTGATTGAATGATTGATTGATTGTATTGAATAGGCTCCGAAACTAATGGATCGATTTGGCTGATAATTGGTGGGGAGGTAGCTTAGAACCAGAAAAAGGTTAAATGGCATTTTTATCCCGGTAACATTAGGAAATTCAAGATGGCGGATCTGATATATCGGACGAGTTTTGTAATTATGATCCGATTCTATTCAAAATTGGTATCTGGGAGTTTTCGGGGTCGGAAAGTATGATTCTTTCGTAAGAATTTAAAAATTCGGGTGGAATTTGAAAATTCAAGATGGTGGAATCAATATGGCCGACGAGTTTTGTGATTATATGATCCGATTCGTTTCATAATTGGTACCTAGGGGTTTTCGTGATCGGGATTATGATTCCTTCATCAAAATTAAGAAATTCAAGATGACGGATTTTGTAATTAGGATCCGATTTTATTCAAATTTGGTATCTGGTGGTTCTCGGGGTCGGAGATTATGATTCTTTCGTTAAAATTGGGAAATTCAAGATGGCGGACGAGTCTTGTAATTATGCTCCGACTCTCTTCAAAATTGTTATCTGGGTGTTTTCAGGGTCGGAGATTATGATTCTTTTGTCAAAATTTGGAAAGGGCGGGATTTGGAAATTCAAGGCGGTGGAACCAATACACCGGACGAGTTTTGTAATTATATAGGTACTGATTATATTCAAAATTTGTAAGTGGGCGTTTTTGGGATAAAAAATTATGATTCCTTCGTCAAAATTAGGGAATTCAAGATGGTAGATCCAATATTGCGGACGAATTTTGTAATAATGTTCCGATTCTATTCAAAATTTTCATCTGGAGTTTTAGGAGTCGGATATTATGATTCTTCTTGGGATAATAATGAGTTTAAAAAATATAGATGATGTAGACATAAAAATTGATAGGGCAGTGACAAAAGCCATATAATTTATACACCAATTAATTCCATTTAACTCATATTGCCAGTGAGTCCTTGTTTTTGTTGAATTGAATTGTAACAAAATGTTCCATATACAATATATTGTTTCAGCCTTGAAGGAGAAAATGAAATTTTTCGACAGCTTGGCATAGCAATAAAGTAGTTTTTTGTGACGGAAAAAAAAGTTTGGCATTTCATCTCTGTTGGCAGGTTATACAATGTCACTTTTCATAAATAACTTTTTTCCCGTGGGAAAAAAGTGAGTACTTTTTTTCCGGACATATATCACATATATATACACTGTTGATGGCATTTGTTGTGCTATAGTTCCGAACAATTAGTCAATAATACCGTCTCCGAGAAAGAACTGCCTGCCCTTTTATCTTCAATTCGACTTCGCGGTTACGTATATTACTAAACAAACACTAAATTCGCAATTTTTTGAAATCAAATCACAGAATTAGACTGACAGATATTTGATTACTTCAAAAGAATGATAAAGATGCCTACAACGCAGGTGTCCCTACTGTTAAGAACTTGAAATTTCACGTCGATAATTTTCAGATTTCAAAATAATGTATGTAATACATATCTTCTCAATATTGATTCGTCCCTTCTTCTATCACAGAGAAAAATAGGGTATCATACACGGGAAAAATACAAGATTTTTGCTCACGGTACTACTTTTTTCCCTTGTATATAATAAATAACTATTGCTTGTAGCCCGATTGACTGAACTCCCCGATATTTCCTATTATATCATAATATAATACAGTCGATAAACTATTCAATAGGCAGCTATAATTATCAATGTTTCATCTGGTCTTAGAATCCCTCTACCGCCTCCTCTGGGTCTACATGATCCGTATAAAATGTGAAAGCAACTCCGCCACGCAATCCCGACTACAGAGCATCGTCAACTCCCTCTTCCCCAAGGGCTCCAAGGGCGTGGTGCCCCGCGACACCCCCCTGAACATTTTCGTGAAGATCATCCAGTTCATAGCCCAGGAACGCCTGGACTTCGCCATGCGCGAGATCGTGTTCGACTTGCTGTCGGTGGCCAGGCCCTTCAAGATGATCCTGACCCCCGAGCGCATGAGCATTGGGCTGAGGGCTTTCCTGGTCGTCGCAGATTCGCTGCAGCAGAAGGAGGGGGACCCGCCGATGCCCAGGTCAGTGGGGTTCAGACCTCAGACTGAATAACAATAACAATAGATAGAACAACAATGGTAGATTTCGGGAGAAAAACAACTACTTCCCTGGCTAATGCCACGCCCCAGGCAACGAGATGACGAACGATCACGTAGCAACCAATTTATGATGTCACTATGACGTACTTTCTGTGATGTGATAATCACGTCATCATCTTGACGTCGAGTGAACGTCACTTGAAAGGGTAAAATAAGTCGGCAGTTTCATAACGTTGCAGGGACGTCCTGTCGACGTCCATGTTTCATAGACCATCTCTAATTAATGTATACTCACATTATCATGTGAAACCGTTAGGTTTGTGACGTACCTATATATACAAAATGGGCATTTGCAGTGTCGAAAAGTTTTCTGAAAAAAATCATTAATTTTACACACATATATAGAAACATATATATATGCTTCTAACGTCAATAGAAGTATAACTCATTATAACAAATCAACATACAATTTTTTTTGGAATTATATATATACTCAAAAAGTAAAAGACAACTTTTTTAAAACTTTGACAACCTGTATACCTCGGAAACCAATCATGCAATATATGTATATATACAAATGATGATATCTATATAATATATCAATTGAAACCATCCCTTTTATGACGTTGCAGTGAAGTATCTATAACGTCTAAAAATCACTTCGGTGTGACGTACCAATTTGGTGAGCTTCGTCATCCAGAACATTTTTGCAATAATTTGCTATTTAGATTTTTGTAGCGTGACAAATAATGCATGAATATACGTTACTCAACAAAGTGAAGCTAAATTCGCACACATCATTTTCATTGTTATCAAACTATTCTTGGTTTGCTTTCATCTCGCTGACACAAACTACATAATTGTTGATACAAATACGAGTAACTGATTTCATTCTGATGGAGATGCGTACTGAGGAATAGCGCTGCTGAATAGACGATTGAATGGACATGACACCGGAGGGACCACACCACCAAGCAGGCTCAACAATGCATAATCAATATTATATGTCATCAGAGGTCAGTGGCGATTATCACATCATGTTCGAGGAAACTTTTGTACCTGTCATCATCAAATTTGAACGTCAATTTGACCAGTTTGACGTCATTTCGGTGTCTGTCCGACGTCACAGTTTGATGAGTGAATGACGTCAATAAACGTGAGTAATATGACGTCATTGGGCTGTGACTTATTCACGTCATTTATCACGTCATACGACGTCGACTCCTGACGTCACCTTGGTCATTCAACTGACGTAAAAAGACGTCCTTGAAACGTCATCTGGTTGCCTGGGGCAGAACATTGAATTACATCCTCCCGAAATCTATGCATCGACTCGTATACACGAATACTGATACAAGTGAATCTTTCCTGAATGCAAATTGATTTAGATTCAGCCAATTTTGTAGTTGAAATTACGCCAGTCGGGCAACCAGCCACTCTCGTATGGGAATTTCAGTTTTGGAGTGTTTCTTTTCTAATCAGATGGCGTTGCTTTCATATTGTCGATGAAGGACGCCTCTGGGGGAGTATAATGCCTACTTGAGATTTGCTTGGCTAGGCTACGCTTAGTCGGCGGTCTTAGGACTGCTGGCTGGAGACTGCCCTGCACTGATGAGAGTCAAAGAGCTCGAATCCGGTCTGTAGGTGTCTAGCGTGGCCTGACTAAATCGAAATCAATAGGCATTCAGGAAAGAATCACTTGTATCTGTTTTCGTTTATACGAGTCGATGCATAGATTTCGGGAGGATGTAATTCAATGTTCTGCGTTGCATTAGCCAGGAAAGTAGTGCTTCTACTCCCGAAATCTACCATTGTTGTTCATTTTAATTCGCGAATGGTGGGGATAACTCTGACTAAAAGACAGTAGGTAGACACCATCCATTTGAAAAAAAAAGTTATGTCTACTTCCGATCAAACAGGTGGGTGAAAAAACTGTCATTGGGTTTAAGGGAAGCGTCATAATCGATAATACAACCCTTGTGAATTTCAAATTTTTATCACTTCAAATAACAAAACTACAGGCTGTTACATATCACCTGTGTCATCCGGTGATTCCGGTATATATACCTTAAAAAATTCTGAAATAACATCAATACATTTCGGTAAATTCCTGAACTGTATGGAATTAAAATAAATCCATAACTGATAAGTAGTGAAATTTCCCCAATCCAACAGGTCCGTGGGGGTCCTGCCCAGCGGGAACACCCTCCGAGTGCGCAAGACCTTCCTGAACAAGGTGCTGACCGAGGACACTGCGCGCAGCATAGGCATGAACGCCTACTTCTCGCACGTGCGTCGCGTGTTCGTGGACATCCTCAGAGCGCTGGACACGCAGTACGGCCGGCCGCTGATGATGACCAACACGCAGAACGTCAACAAGGAGCCCGACGAGATGATCACTGGGGAACGCAAGCCGAGGATCGAGCTTTTCAGGTAATGATTAAGTGAGATTGCAAAACAAAATCATCAGGGTATTCTGCACTATACCTTTTCAACTTCAATTTCGGAATCGGTAAGTTATATTTCGGAAAAAGTAATCTTGATTTCAGAATTGGTTAATTCGATTTCAGAAATGGTAAACTCAATTTCAGAATCGTCGAGATGAAATTCAGAAAAAGTCCATTCAATTTCAGAAATGGTAAGTTGTATTTCAGAATTGGTAGGTTCAATATCATAAAAAAAAAATCGATATTAAAATATTCAACTTTTCAAAAACAATTTAATCCACAGATGCCTTCCATCTGAATCGCTGGAAGATAGTGGCGTTGCACATGATTATAAGAATGCAAATACATTTGAGGTGTTATCATGTTCATTGAATGATCATCAGTCTGAATTCTATCTGGTTGAGCAATCTGTTCGGATCTCCAGCTATGACCCTTTGGCGATGCTCTTGCAAGAAGCTCTTCACTTCTGACTTGAAGGCACCCCATATATTATGTTCAATCTGATTCAACATAGGGCTCTCAAACACCGTTCCATCCACTGTAAACAGTCTTCTCTTTTGCAATTAAAAACATTTCAAACATATAAAAGGATTGCATCTTCTGAAATTGAACCTACCAATAATAATTCTGAAATACAACTTACCATTTCTGAAATTGAATGGACTTTTTCTGAAATTCATCTCACCGATTCTGAAATTGAGTTTACCATTTCTGAAATCGAACTAACCAAAGGTAAAGAGTCACTGGATGGTTTATTTAGATAAGAGTTCCGACATAGAAATAACAACTGTTAGTGTTTTTGAATGTTTAGATTTATTACATCATAGTCGTTCTGCTCCTTTTCATCCAAAATTGTTTCAATTTGACAATAAATGTATGAACGTCAGCATTGAAATATAATTTCATAAACTATTAGGCATTCCAGAACACGTGACTTTTTACATGTTTCTAATGGCCGCCTGTAGGTACACAAGTATTTTTTGTTGATTTACGTAGCAGCAGTATAATCTTTGGTAGATATATCAAATAATGATAATGGCTGTTTTGAATGAAAGTGAATATTTATTACCCTTGGACCTCAATAACTAAGATATTGCGACACGAAAGTATGTGTGCCTACAGTCGGCTATATTGATTTAGATGGTTTGACAGCATCTTGGATGTGTCAATTGTCAATTGAGAAAAAAGCATAAATGAAAATAATGTCCTGCTGTGTAATGAATTGCGGGAATCCTGAAGGAAATGGAGATTTCATTTCTTTAATTTTCCAAAGGAAATACCAACCATTCCCTTATGAAAGGAATGTATGAAACGGTCTGGATGGAAAATTAATTTGAAGACTATTTTTTAGGCCCAGTTTCAAACAGAAGGGTTATAAGATCCGTTGAGATAATCTGCTGTTAAATTGATTTACCAGACTATTGAAAAAAAATCCAATATTATCACCACACGAATTGCAAAACAAAATACAACATAGAAAGAGGAATTTATTGCAAAACTATGCAATAAAATTGAAAATTCGAGATCAAATTCAAGTAAATTGCAATGCGATCATTCAATGGCATCTGCAATACCGACCAAATTCAAAATTTATCAGTGAAAAGTGGATGCAGCAGAAGGTTTCAAACTTTATCACTCGGGTACAGTTTTACATACAATAAGGAACTAGCTATAAGTATATCCATCCATATGTGTCTATTTTGTCATATTAAAATGTTACATGAATTCTTTTCATTTTTATAACAATTATTCTGCGAAAAGTGTATTGCTATCCTTCTACAACAATGATTGATTTGACAGAAAATATAACCTCTAAAATCGTATCTGATAGTCAGGCGCTACTAGGAAAATAAAAAGACAAGGAGCAGAATATATGTCTTTCTTTTATTCACTCAAACCATTGCAATATAGAAAATAGAAAAGGACAGAAGTTCAGCTGTGTCCGAACTCTCATATAACTAATACCATCCAGGCACTCTAATCTGCACTAGATTGTTGATATCCCATATTCGCGAGAATCAATGTCACCAGGTGGCGCTCGGTTTTCATCGTTCCATGTCAAAGCCACGTCAAAACTGGGGGAAAACAAACTAAATCCTCACTCAATCCCATTAGTGCCATTAGCTTGTGTACTGTGTACTGATAAGAGTGATAAGTTTTTGAATTTCTTGACATTAATTGTCAATATTCGATCGAAAACGCTAATAATGCCTGTTGTAGATGTTCTTTTGGCAGATATCTTGCTCTATTTAGACGAAAAAAGCCGACCAGTAGTGGAAGGATAAGCAGTTCTCCGTGCTAATAATGTGATTTTGTGTGAGCCAGAAGACTTCAACAAAAAGCACATTTTTACACTTTGTCTACAAACTTCGGCGATGAAATCTTCCCCACATGAAGACAAATTGAAGTTGGTTTCCAGAGGAACTCTTGTAGAACAATGGATTTGTATTTGTTCATGCAAAGCAGGACAATCTGGGCATTGTAAACATGTAGCTGTTCTTTTAATATGTCAATTGATCTGCTCGTCATAATTAGTTTGAATTATTTGAACTATCTCCAATTCTTTACCCGTCCACTGTTCACTAAACTAATGAAAATGTAATAATGTGAAAAAATTAACCAACTCAACCATCATCACTACCAACAGTGCCAACCTTTATGTAATTGACAAGTTTGACTACAGCTACAGCAAGCTGAATGCAATGTAGTCTATGCACTTTATCCATAGACAACAGTTTGTGTTCCCCCAGTTCGAAGTTCGTATTATGTAACTTAGATGTCGCACACTTCGTGAATCTCGCGAATAGTAGGGCAGTGCAAGTGGGGATTTTGGGATTTATTCCAGCGAGTAAGAATAACATAAGGGGGTAACCTTGTACCTTGTGAAGTATTCCCACCATACCTGGGCTCTTTATATGGTGTTGAACTACTAGAGCAGCCGATCAGATTAGTAAAAAAAAATCGATCGTTGGAAAAACTCGAGCGCCTCAGATTAAGGCAAGGTAAGTTCGAGTATTTCCAGGTCACAATTTTTTTTTCCTTTCTAAAAAATTGGTTATGACTTCTGGTCGCGTTCAAATCATCAGTCTTTTGAAAAGGAGCTAATTGAGGGTTCACTTAACGTTCCATCTCAATATCTGACCCCCACCATGCAAACCGGCAGATCAATATTTTTCGGTTATCAGAAACACCTGTGTCGAAGTATGGAAAACTTGTTCACGCTTCCTCCACCAATGAAAGGACATACCTCATGTAATCTTCTTTTCTTTTTAGCATCTTATCTTCATAACCTAATAAGTCCCCACGCCGCTCGAGTAAATCTCCATTTAGCCTCTTTGTCTCCTCTAATATTAGTATATTATGTGAGGAAAGGTCCAACTTCTCCGGCGACGACACAATAACAGCTATGTTTTTCTGTGACGGGAAAACAGTTTTACATTACATCTCTGTTGACACGTTATAAATTGCGAGACCTATGGTCTCGCAATTTTTTCATCAGTTATTCTCGTGAAATTACTGATTGGCAAATGTTTTTCGTTAGGAAGAGAAATTCGTCCGATGAAAAAAGCTCTTGTGTTTTTACTGTTGATAAATACATATTTAAGTCATTATTGTCATGACAAACGATCAAAACTGCAGTGTCAAGTATTTTAAGGAACTCTACTTCTGATATTATCAAACTGATCTTTTAAGGACCTGCGTGGCTGCTGTGCCAAGACTGATCCCGGACGGCATGACCAGCGCAGAGCTGGTCGACTTACTGAGTCGCTTGAGCGTTCACATGGACGAAGAACTGCGTGGCTTGTCCTACTGCAGCTTGCAGAGTTTGGTGGTCGATTTTCCCGATTGGAGACAGGACGTGCTGTGGGGCCTCACGCAATTCGTAGCCAAAGACGTGCTGGACACCTTCCCGCAGCTGATGGACCACGGGCTGAAGATGATCTTGACGTTGTTGTGCGCTTGGAAGTCTGCCGTTTCCAATGTTGCCTTTACTACGGCGACTTTGAGGCTCGGTAAGTTTTGATTTCAGATGATGTCAGAAAGAATGGAATAGTTATTTGTATGCCTAGGCCGCGAAATACCTTTTTAGCAAACTGAAAGAGAAATTAAAGATAATCTTGAGGTTGGCAAAGAGTTTTGCCGTCATGATATACACACTATTTTTTGTGCAATCGTACAAATTAACGAACTAGATAACTACAAATAAATGTATTAACGCTTCAAAATCAACAGAAGTTCAATTTAATTAACAAAGTCACTGTTTCACCTTCCTTTAGTTATATTTGTTAATTAAAGTTTGCTGTGTAATATCATTTACTGATGTTTTTTACGCCATATAGTTTGAACTAGAGTTCCTAAATGTATTTGAAACTGCTGTTTTGACGTTTTTTTTTATATTAGAGTACGGACACTATGACAAGCACCGACAATCAGACATAACCACAAATAAATTGGAATTTCAAAGATTTGACAAATTGAGAGAATTAGGAAAAGATGCAAGTTTGTGCAGTTTCCAACTGTGAGAACACGGGAAATCAATTCACTCTATTCGAATTTCCGTCGGAAAACGTGATTTTACAAAAATGGAAACAGAATATGATGCGGCCGGCATAGAATATACCCAGCAAACATGATTTTTGCGGCCCTCTAAAGGTACAATGAAACTTGCCGGCGAGCGGTAACAGCGGTCCTCTATTGTACAACTAAATTGGGCCGGCTAGCCCGTGTCCCGGCGGCCGACAGCCGACCGCCTCTCTAGAGCCATCAGTATGCCGCTTATTACATTGCAGGGCTTCTGGTGGGCAGAAGCAAGTACTCAAATGTACCGCATTCATGGCCTATCTTCGGCCCGATTGAGACTTTTCAGAGACTGCCATTAATTGGCCACTTGAGTATTTTTATTCCCCCGATAGAGGAGTTTTTCAGGGCCGTTGATCAACGGGGCTGAATGAATTCAATATTCATGGTATTCTGTTTTTTGATGTCCTATTTTTCAACTATGTTCGTCAAAAAATATACAGGGCAATGCAAATATCTCAGTGAAAATAGGTTTTTTGATAGGTATCCCAGTTTATATCACCACTTGGAAAGCAAAGTATCTTATTTTCACTCAGATCTTCATCACTCTCTTTATTTTCAAACTGGTTGAAAAATGTGGAACTTCAAAAAACAGAATTGTGGTCTCCGAGTTTTTTGTGAATCCTCTGGGTGGGTATAACAGAAATGTGGAATTTACTCCTTACCTGAAGTTGTTGAATAATTATATAAAAATCTCTGAGATAGCATCCTGATATCACAGTTATTTCCAGGACACTAGCAGTATAAATACCCCATACAAAAACAAGAACTGAAAATATCCATGTGTGTATATTATTGCCATGATCACAACCAATACATATCACAACTATGGAAACATCAAACATCTTAATTCTAGTTCTACGTATCACTCTGTATACTCATTATGACAAGGTACCTACAATTAACAATAATATGTATTTGTGTTTCATCATGCAAGATAGATATTTGTTTTTCCACTTGTTTCAAAAAGTTGCTAACTCTAGGTCAAAAATTACATCACCTATGTACCTAACAAATAGCTTGAAAGTTATGTAGGTAATCAGTTATTATATATTGATCAAGTTACTGTCAACAATTGAGTTCAATCCACAAGAAAACAATTCCCAGATATAAAGAACCATACTCTTCATCATATTGATATGAGTGTTGCCTGGAAGTGAGATATCATATACCATGAAGAAATTTATATTATAGTCTGAATCATTGTGTGATTTCTTCATCAATATCTGTGATTGATGGGCTTCTGATTGTTGATTTTGTAGCTGAAAGATTGAATGATTTCATTCTCTACTAATCCAAAACAAGCAACATTATACATACAATTCTTGAAATATAACTGTTTCTTCAAGTAGGTACTCTTTGATTTTCGTTTCGAAAATAGATTTATGATTCATATGTAATGAAAGCTCATGCATCTTCAAAGTCCTCAAATATTATTATATTCTTGTGTGTCCGCTGAACATGTCCAAACTATCATCGCATCTGTTTGTCCAATGGTGTTTGTGAAATTATTGTCTAAAATTGGAGAGTTATTTAGCTGTGCAAGTTTGTATATATGTTTGTTCCCTACTCACTCTGTATTTATTTCAATGCCCTTCCATTTTGTATAAAAATCCACTAGAAAACCGAACACGAACTGAACACAGTACTAAAATCTCTGTTGAGAGTGTTGAAACAACATAAACAAAGAAATTAATTTACGCCATACTGAATCATTGTTACCACTACAAAATGATCAAAATAAAAACGCACGCGAGCAAGGAATGCCAACGTTGAGTGAGTGATGATGGCACACTCCGTTGAAATTTTGATGGCCCTTGGACTTGAATACATACAGCGGAAGACTAGCGGCTGGGAAACAGAGGCCCATCATAACTATGTGTACATTCTGCCGTCGTCACATAATCCTTCGAAATTATATGGAGGGCCTTTCGAGGCATGCCGACATCGACATTTGCCCGCCGTTCTCGCCATGGGCCCGGCTTTCTACCGCCTGTCGATGTTTGCTGGGTAGGTTCAGGCCACAAAATTTGCGAGGTATTTAAATTTATTTTTATCATTTACACTTCAGAACGGGAGATTTGATGTTGAAGAATAGGATCGTATTGAGAGAAAGAGCCGAACCCACAATTTATAAACTGAGCGAGTATCGAAAAGAACCTTATTCTAATTTAGAACCAACAAGAAACGAAAAACTTGCAGATAATGAAATTCACTTCGAACATATTGTGAAAAAAAAAAAATTGAGAATAGAATTTTTAGAGCAGGAATATTCAAAAATCCTAGGTTTACGAGTGGAAGAGAGTGAGGAATTCAGGAAACAAATAGAAGAAAAAAATAGAGAGTTTGAAAATAAGTTGAAGCAAAAAGATACAAAAGTCAGAGTTAGCAAAATTCGAAACTATTACCAGGTCCTTCAGCCTCTAATCTCGTAATCAATTTATCGTACCCTTTTACCCACTCGAGGAGACGCTATGCACTCTCACAAAAATCAAAGACAGAGAAAGATATATGGATGTACTCTTCCCATGACTTGTGGAGGAAGGAAGATGCGAGGATCCTTTATCTAAGCGAAAAACATATTCTTGTTCTTGTCTGGCAAAACATATGATTTGCTTCAAAATCATTTGTGGTTATGTTTGATTGTCACTGCTTGTCTAGTGTCCGTACTCTAATATACAAAAAACGTCAAAACAGCAGGGTCAAGTACATTTAGGAACTCTAGTTTGAACAGGTAGCTCGGAGTTATTAGTAGAGAGATATAGTGACGCTTTACCCTTGTTTCGTGGCTTCAATATAAAACGAGAATCGATCACTTAGTGTGTGTGATATTGCTCCGCAACATTTCCCATTGGTGATTGGGGTACTCTGATTCCTGGTACTTGTCCATGGAAGGTGAAATCGGAATACCGGCGCCGGTAGCTAGAGTGAAATAAGCTGCAAGCAGTTATACAAGGTTGTGGCGTGAAAACTGGTGTGTATGATTTCGTTTTGATTCGTCAATCGATTAAATACAGTCCACAAATTCGAACAAAATTCGATGGTACAACAGTGACAGCGTTTGTATGGAAATGACGTGTTCAAATGCATGCCAAATATTTTGGACAGTCTTTGACCTAACGAAAATATGATCTGATTGATCTGACACTTGATAATAACCTTGCAATTGTCTTAGTTTAGAAATGTCAAATCTGGAAGTGAGATCTGTGACGGACTTCAAAATAGTTAATTTTATTTGATAGGAACTAGTCTCACAATTTCACCACCAATAGGCGTCTAGATTTCTAAAATGACGAATTAACGACCGCTTCCATCTTGCACAACTTTTCGAATGCAGTGTTTACTGAAAGATTGTTTGGGGTCCATCTACAGGCAAGGACTACAATGACTTGAGACCGGGTCCTCCAGATCCCAATCTCACGAAGCGGACAGACGTAGTCAAATCAGAACCCCTGTCTTCCGTGCTCCACTTGGTAGAAGCGCTAGCACTGGTTATGCTGTGCACTTACAGACTGACCACCAGGAGGCTGTCTGTCCTTATACTGAAAGAGGTCAAGAGTCTGCTGAAGCTTTTGAACTGTTCCGAACAGCCGCCAGTTATCGATGTCATGGACCAGTACTGTTCACAGGTATTTGAATCATGAGATATGAAATATCAGTCTATGAATATTGGTCAAAATAGACAATGGGCCTGTTTCAGGGAAAAATGTTATTTCATTATTTCGAAGTACTAACATTAACTAGTCCACTGTCGCAAACCGTTTTTTCTCCAGAGCTCTGTACATTTTTAAAATAATTTTTGAAATTCACACGATATTTTGTGACATGAAAAATGCGTGATGTAGAACAAGTGAAACCATATTTCTGATTGTCATTTCAATGAAAATATAAAAAAGTTTGCCTCCTCAGAAGGTGCTAGGGCTCTAGTGAATTTTCTGGACTGAATACTTACTGCAGATAAAGAGAACACAACACAAAACCGAAGAATCCGATAATAAGATGAATATCTTTGAATATTCACATCTTGACTAGGTGAAACAAGGATTTGAAGATGAAGGTGACGTTAGGAAGTTACGTTGACAATGTAGTTGTTCTTCTACTTCTCTTCTTGACAAAATAATTTGGGTTTGAATATAATCTCAATCATTACTAGGAATACTAGGATATTTTCATTGGTACGGAAGCATCTTGCAAGTATATAAGGTAATTACTAGTTACAAATATGGCATCGTCTGAATATGTGATCATACTTTTATGCGAAAGCCAGATAACGATGACTTTCGGTTCGGTTCATGACGTCATCGGACCTGGCTTTTTCGAGGGTGCCGAATTTTATTATTGATAAAAATATATTTGCGATGATTTCAAATAACGAAAGATTGCATCAAATACTATTTATTCACGGAATTATCAATATGAAATAGGTTTGTGGCGTTAATTCAACTAGTTTGTAAAACCCCATTTTTGTTTCTCAGTTTTCGAAACGGCACCTTGAACAAATTTTAATTTTAATTTGCCTAATTTAAAGTTAGTTGTTGGTTTGTTTTTTGTATGATTATGGTGTTCCGTTTTGCACTTCTACAAGAGGTGGATGTTTGTAAATTCTCCAACATTCCTTTCTCAACGATTGCGTGAATTTAAGGCAATTTGTAATTACTACCAACAACATCAGGTAAACGTCTTGAGTGTGAGCAGTAATGTTTCATCACAGCACTGATAAGTTTCTAGTTCCTACTCAGATTCAAATAACATTAATGAATCGGGAATTTTATCATTGTATGAACAATGGTTTCTTTCTATTCTACTTCCTGATTTGTGTAAGTACTTGAAATCTTCAAAGATGAGAAATTTTTGAACATAAAATTGACAGAAAAGTGAATCTTGACAGGAATTTGAAATTCTTGTAGGGTTAGGATAATAAATGAATAACTTTGTTCGGAGTAGAGGTCACTAGCTTTTACGGAAAATGTAGTCAATAAGGGCTATATTCGCGATTTTTTTTTCATTGTAGGTAGGTACAGACAATATATTTTTTCTACGGCTACAAGACACAATATTGCTCTTGTTTTACTGTGTTCCATACATCAATGAGGTACTTTGTATGTCATCAATTTCATTTCTGTATCTGATTGTGTTATTGTGTTATTATTTCGAAAAAATTTCATCGCTCATGGAATGCCAAATTTCAAGCAATAACAGCTCTATCTAATGGATGAAGCATTACTTGACAGGAAATCAGATGGCTACAAGACGAGGAAATCGACAATGCCGCTGTTATCTATTTTAGACGTAGAAAAATTATATTGCATAACTTGCACGGCATGCTAATTTCCTACTCGAATGATTGGTAAGGCGAATATTTCAAACTTTATTCTTGTTGGAAATCACTATCATTCCGTGCTTGTTAAACAATATACTAATACGAATAGCGAAAAATAAATTCTTAATCTGAAGGCAACTCATTCAACAGGTAGTTGAAAAATGTCTTCCACTGTTACCGCCAGCTGAGAAGAGCGCTATACAAGCTGTCGGTAATATAGATCTCCAATGGTTGGCAGATAGAAACTCGTCGGTATGGACTGCAGGACTCTTCGAAGATGGTTCGGTGAAAAACGCGGCCAGCTACAATTTTTCCGTAGCGGATCCTTGGAGTGTCTGTTACTTTGGGTTTTTGGAGAGGGACAGGATTTTGAGCTTGTGCCCCTTGATGACGGTGCATTCCTGGCCGATAGTTTTCACTAGATTGAATGCTCTATACTCAGTGGTTGATCCAACGTAAGTCAATTTGCAATTTCAGAATTATAAACAACCCTGTATGTCCGAAAATGTCTGTGTATATTTTTTTATGAAGTCTGACCTATTCTTGTTTTCAGCCCTTTGAACGATAATAGGGCTTCTCTGCTTAGAAGCGCAACTGCTGTAAAAAAACCTCCGACCGAACGTGATGCCTATATGCATTTGTGGAAAAATTACATCACTTACGCCTTTAGGGTGGCTCCGCTTATTTCCAACCCCATAGTCAGATGCGCTAGTCCAGATCTGAGTTTGAGGTACTTCAAAATACAATTCTTAACACTCCTAGTGCACAACTCTTTTTCAACAACCTGTATTTTTCGCAGGTGTTTATCGATTTTTTCCTGGCTTTTTTCATGCGTTTCTTGAAATGTTCTCCAGAAGTCGATAAAATATCACAACTGATACCGAAAACCTGAAGTGAATGGATCATTTCCTTTTGTCAAATACAGTTTGTCGAAAAGAGTTAAAAAAGTGACTAAATAATCACATGGATCATTTCAGCTCGTCACCCGATAGTCTGAACACTGAGAAAAACGATTGCAAACTTACCCCAGCTAACATTTCTCCAGTTTCTTTGTATAAACTGGTAGTGCCCCATTTGAGATGCGAAGTGACTGATATAAGAGATGCTGCTGTTTATGCCCTTGGCAATATCAACGGAACTGCTCTAAGGTAATAATAATTCGAATTGACTTGGCCGGAAAAAAAATTAAATCGGTCAACACCTTCACAAGATTAAAGACTCACTAAGATGCAAAAGCGGCATGACTGGAGGGCTACAACATATTTTATTGGAATGCCCTAACCACATATACAATTCAGATATTCTGTACAAAAAATTGATATCTTGTCACTGTACCCCAATCCTTTCCGCTTTATCAGTAGAAGACCTTCATAGGAACCCCTCTGCTTACTCCTCATTAATCGTTTCCACGTATCTGAAATCTATATGAAACTGTAATAATCCTAGCCCTATTATGTTTCATGTTAGTACAGGGAAGAAGTGATGATCACAGGATCAGCCGCATTCACGTGCAGCTTCAATTATTGATGTTCTGCCACTAACTTAGATCAGGTTGAATAGTTGCCAAATTTCATATTCGTGAAGGAAACATTATCCTCTTTTATCTGCATTTTCTTCGAACTAATTATCTCGTGACGATAGTATGTCCTGAACAACAGCAACAAAGAATATCGGTGCCGATTATTTGACTCAGATTGAGTGGTGGGGTAACTAGGGTTTTGAAATTTACCATTCAATTGGTATCGGATGTCGGAACTTTCATCTCGTTCCCTTCATTCTGCTCAGGATAGTGATTGGTGCCGTTAAAAAAAAGCCTTTATGATATATTATATCATTTCATTATCAGATGACGGTCGAAATAGGTCGATGACCGATCCTGGAGGTAAAACACAATGAACTCAATATAAAAACCTGAAAGGGATCCTCAGTGAACGACGAGTGAGGCAAAAATATTGTTCAGGAAACCCGCAGTGCTTACGGATACCTATCTCTTTCTATCTTATGTTGGCTAATGGAAAGCGCTCGCATTTATTTGAAATATTTTCTGGCTTTTTGCTTTTATTTAAGAGTATACGTGATTAAATATAAATATTCATTTAGGAGAAAGGATAATGTTGCAATCAATTATTATTAGCAAATATTTATTGAATTTTTTATTGTCTCAAAAGTGGAATTCCATTTTTATTCTTACAGGATTAGGAAGGCAAATGAATACAAAATTGAAATTATATATTCTCATTCAAATGTTACAATATATTGTTCAGGGTGAGCGAAGCTCAATGTCTCAGCACTATCAGAAGAAATAGAAAAACGATAGAAAATATTTAAGAGGTTCTCGAATGATATCGAGTACCTAAGGTCTATCTTAAGCCTAATTTTTCAAAGTACCTATTTTCCCATTCACATTTCACTATAAGAAGGTGAATGAAAGGTGAATAAAAAGTGAATAAAAGTACAATGTTAGGACGATTTTTTTCATTAAAGATGAATATCTGCGTCGCCCAGAATGTACACCTTAATTTTTCCTTTCTGGTGTAGGAGACGCTCCAAAGGCAAATTTGAAATAACAATATTATGATGTAGTTCTTGAGTTTAAGAATTTGAACTTCTAAATTTTATCTTCAGAATGTTTTTTTAGTACCTCATCAAGATTGTCATTCTCCTTTTTACTTTTGGTTTCAGTGTTTTCACTTTTCTTTCCTATAGAATTCGCGATAGAAAATAACATGTCGCCCTACCTGACGGTAACAACTTGAACACTTCTGAGCGGTTTTTTTTGATGATATGACCAATAAGCATTGACAAAAAACAACTGTGAACCAATCAAAACAAAGTAAACAGGCCGCTTTGACAGCTTTCATGAACTCCGATAGGTGGCGTAAGCTTATTTTCTATCGCGAATAGGCCTTCTCGAATGAATCAGTATGTGGGTTTCATTATCAATTAGCTTTGAAACTTACATGGGAGCTGAAAGTTGTAAGCAAATCAATGTCCATATGAAAAACATTGTCCTTAGAACCCAAGTTATGAACATCCACAGACACATCTACAGAAACATCCTGAAAATAAATTACTATAGTTTTTCTAAGAATCAACAATTTTCAACTTACCCATGGTGGACAATTCCTATTTGTCTTGCTTATTTTGTATCCAAAGGCATTGCAATATGAATAACCATTGTTTATTAATTCAAAATCACAAATCTTTTCATCAATAATCAATTCACACCAACAAATTCAGTCCTTTTGAAGAAACAAAATACGCCAAATTAAGCGATATTTCACATAACAAAAAACAATGAAGTTCTGTCTTCACTTTTTTGCCTGTTTAGATAAAAAAAAGATCTCAAGTACTCCAATCATTGGATAAGAGAAAATTTATACACCTATCCGCCAGTAAACAACATGAGTGTGAAAGAGACAGGTTACCGTAACACAAGCTATCTTTGTTACAGCTGCCCCTGACACACTGTGCTATTCGAGAAACCCTCCAGGTATTTATATTGAGTCTATTGGTAAAACATTGAAACACAACACAATCTCATGCTTGAATTAATGAATAGCCGAAAAACACGATTCGTATGCAAGAATAATTGCGAAAAACTATTTCAATCTCTTGTAAACAAATGAGAAAATTGAGGTTTCTTACCTCCAGGGTCCGTAATCTGACAGATCTTGCACGCTACCCATTGACAGCCGGTTTTCCTACTATAGCCTATGCTATAACGTCAACAGTGACTTACCGGCACACATCTATTTTTTCTAGAGACTTGTTGGAAGAGTTGGCGGTTTATATACGGGAAGCAATCGATAAAAAGCAGGAGAACGTCAGAAGAAGGAGAAGAAGAGATGCGTTGAGATTGCAGCTCATGAGGCTGTTGGAGTACATAGCAGAGAACGGGACTTTGGGCATAAGTCCGTGCGTATTGGACAGAGATTCGCAGTCGCTGAATCCCGTTCTGGTCGAATTCGTAGAAGGGGTCAGATATTACCTGGAGAATGAGCCTGACAAGAATTCGAGCAGCGTGCGCGATTTGACCCTGCATTTTTGCTACTTCGTCAGGAAACTGATAAAAAATTTCAGCTGTAAGTTTCAATAAAAAACCATGCTTAATTTTTTTGAGCAAGTATAAGGTATTTCATTGCGCAGGTTGTTTTATATCTTTATCGCTCTTCTGACGACATGATGGTAACAAATTGATGATTCGTGTATGCTTTTTAATATGACTTTGGTACGGAAATATGAGGGAAACTGTTTTTCTGGCGACTTCGTATTCGTTAATGTCATGTTCACGATAATTGTAGGAGAATATAGTCGATGTGAAAATTTTTCAATATACCTCGATCGTTAATCGTGCTGATTAATATACTTGGTTAAATAACTATGATAATAGTAATTCAATAAATCTATGTTACGATCAATCACTGATATGTTGTTGAGTGATAAGTGATTATTGATAATTGATTGAAATACTTGAAACTCATACAACTTTCTGAAGAAGTATTTCTTCCTCTCATGATATTTAAACGTCGTGAAGACGACTTGAGGTTATATTTTACTGTTCATTGAACTCATTGCTCTCATAACTAAAAGATCAAGGATGAGGAGCGAGACAGTGTTTCGGCACACAAAGCCTTATCAGCCGCTCTCAGTCTACTGATGATATTTTACTGTATCATCTAATAGCAGTGTGTTTTTTGTTATTCTACGAAATGTTTTAAAGGGGTCAAAACCCTTATGACGCCATCATGTAGTAAAATTCAATATTTTCTTTCAGTGGAAGCGTGTAGAAGTATCCTGAAGAGAGACCTGAGACGCAGCCTTTTCTCTCTATTCACGAATTGGGCTGGTAAATATGGAATGCCTAATAACAAACTGTCTTTAGAGGGAGATATGACGAACAAAAAACACATTGAGTTGCAATTCGTCTCTTTGCAAGCCATGAGCTCTCTGTTGTGTTGCGGACCTTGTTTTGATTCGCTCTCTGAGGAGAGTTCGTATTATTTGTGGTTGGATGGACTTCTGAACAGTTCGGAAGAAAAGGTGAACAGAGTATGAATACTAACAATATAAGTTAGAGTAATTACCGAATAATGATTAATACCAGAAATTCTAAGCAACGTTTCGAAATATTTCCTTTCTTTTCTGTTCCATCATGACTGACAGTTTGATTTTCAGGTTTATAATTTGGCACAGGAAACTGTAATTTTACTGTTGGAATCTAACCCTGACGTATCCCCATTACTAGATTGGGTGGTAGATAAGTGCTACACTGGTACCTCTGTCGTAGCAGATGGTTGCTTCCTAGCTTTAGCAACCATATTCAGTGCAAGGTATGTTCTCAAAAAATGAAATAATAATACAACAGGGAAGTTTCTTTTGAATCAGTTTTATATTTCTAAATAACCAGAATAACCATTGAAACGATTCAAATCGTTAACATTCTCAGAGTACATCAATAAATGATTCTTGGTGCTGTAAACTAAGACGTTGAAGCAGAATATGGCGTAGATATTGTTATTAAAACTTTTTTACTAACCCTAGTAGACACTTTGAACAGGAAAGCCAGAAGACCTAGCAACAACTGCAAAAAAAGTTTTCTTTTCTCATACCCTTCCATATAAAGATAAAATAATATTTGGCTTATTGATGAATTACACACTGTATGCACACAAACTAGACAAAGAAAGAGCACTCCTTATCCCATTGTCAAACAAAATGAGTTTCTCAACGTGTTACGTATGATATTTTTTTAAATTTTGATGGGAAATTTTGCTTGAAGAGATATAATGGTCAGTTCTACAGGAGTTCTCTTTTTATTCGGTATTTTATTCCCGAAAAGTTGGACCTATAAACCCGTGGCGGAACTGCGAGCTCCAAGCAGGGACAAATATCGGTGGATCCTCCTCTTGAAGTCGGACTGATTGTCTCCCCTATTGGCGCTCTACTCTACGTAAGCAAATAAGCATCTCATTGAAAATGAAAGCAAAGCAATTGCGCTGATCACTAGAAATTCATATGGAGTGAAAAAAGCATGGCTTTCGGCCTGCAAGCCATCGGAATACGAGCCGTGGCGACGCAGAGCGGGGCCGATTTCCACCGGCCGGAGACAATAATACGAGGGCATACGGAAGACGGTCATGGACAGTCAGTGTTGCCAGGTGTGGCGATTTATCGCATTTACGGCTAATTTTTGTGGTGAAATGCGACATTAAATTGAATTTGGATCTCCATATTTGTATTCTGCTTTCCACATTTTATTTGTGCCTAAATTAAGATGAGTAGCATTACACGCCACTGAATGTAGTTTGCTGGAAATTCAACCGTGGGCAAATAATTCCAAAGCGAAGATGGAATTCTTGAAACATGATGTTCTAGGTGTTTCAGTTTTGACTGCATATGGGTGTGAGACTTGAGCTAGCCGTGTTTGGTGAACAAAGGTCATTCCAGGGGGGACATCTGATGACAATTCGACAGAGCATCGTCCATGATAATAATAGAAAAGTTATAGGTCTGCAACGTTTCTCAGATGTTGTAAGGTTTGCAGTGTTCTTGTGAGAGTTGGGTCATTGATGAGCCTGATGGCTTTTTTTTGAGCGGACTTCTTGGCGCGAAAGAGACATCCTAGCTTCTGAGAGGCAGCTCTGGCTATATCGGCAACTTAGTCATGCCGAGATAAACTGTCAGATACCGTAATGCCGAGCTTGATACTGAGCTGTGATATTGATGAATTGATTGGTAAAGTTCTTCCAGCCATAATGGGCCTTTCCAGTATCATAAAATTTCACCCTTTTTCGCTATAATGTTGTGAAGGGAAGTTAAAAACGTTATCCTGACCACATATTCATAGAGAAAATCTAACGATGAATGGATTATTTGATATTGAAAATGCTATTTCAATACCTGTGAATTTAAACGCTACTGAGCTGTGATGTCGGTGTCTTCTTGCAATTTGATTGGGTGGAATTCTGACGGCATCACTCCGCTGTTGCTAGATCTCTAAAAAATTCTTGAATTGATCCTATGTGCAAGATGGTACAAGGAATGGAATGATTCAAAATTACTATGTAGTAGGTTGATTGTTAATTCACTGCTGATCAGATACAATTTTCTCTAGACTTCAAAGTATTAGTTTCACGATTAGCTATGATGAAATGTAATGCAGGCATCTAACAGTAAGACGCTTTTTATATATTTAGTTTGGTTTTAGTTAGTTAGTTGAAATCTCGTTGACTAATGTTATAATCAACACATTGAACAGTATTACTATATCTCAAGCACCCATCCCGGAAAATTTAATCGCTAATCTGGCAACTATGTCTACGAGAGAAAGAGCTGAAGCAACTGGCGCTAACAGTGTTGCCATGTTAAAAATACCTCAACCCCCGCATATCTTCACTGTTCTTATTTCTCAATATTATTGGCAAGAAGGCAGTAATGCTTTTACTAAATGTAAAACCTTCAAAAACGATAAGATTTTCACAAAATTCTCGAACACACGATATGTTAGCTGGTGAAGTGAAGTAAGACGATTCAAAACTTCTGTAAGTTTCGAAAAGTGTCAAATCACATGTCAAAATAAAAAATTTGTATATTGTTTCTTGAGAATAATGAAGATTCAACTAAATTTGAAATGCAAAAAATATTAATTTCGACATTGTTTTTTTTTTTCCAGAGAATATCCATGCGATCATTATACAGCCATAATAAACGTGACTTTGATGAACACAGGATGTCCAAGACAAGTGGTTAGAGACACTGCTTTGCAGCTGCTTCAGTTATTGGACAAAAGATTTTTTGGTTGCGTCGGTCCATTGGCAGAAAACGATTTAGGTGAGTGTTTTTTGGCTCCTTGTGTCTAGCATTGTTTTGAATAAATTGAACAATACCATACCACTGCACGTTCTTAACTCAATATGGAAAAAGAAGGAACAGTTGATTGGAAAAGATCAATCATGTATGTATATAAAATTATCCGAAAAATTTCGAGCCATCTTGAAGACAATGAAAATAAACATTGTTCTTGATTTCAAATTGATATTTTCTCAATTTTGCTGTAATTGATTGATATACATTTGAAATAATTGAGGTGGTAGAAGTAGATTTTGTTGATAAGCTGTATATTATTACAACAGATAAAGAAATGAACCAAGCTTTATCAAATAAGACATTGAAAAATGTCGCTAGCTCCCGGGCTATTTTAGATCAAACGGACAACAGAGTCACTGATTTTTAAATTTCAAAAATTTCTTATAAACATCTATCTAATCTAACGTTAAATAAATAATAAATTAAAAAAAAAAGTGAAAAAAGGTAGATGAAACTGATATTTGTGCCTGCAAGTTCTTTTTTATTACAAACTCATTGTTGGCAAACGCACATCGATATTTTTCTTTGTTTCTATACTAACTTCACTTTTATTCCATCTAGTTTGAAAAAGAAGTAGCTGTCCTTGCTTTCCTTTCGAAAGTGTCTAATTTTGCCCTCTGTACAGTGTGTCCAAGTTTTCAATGCTTTTCCTTAATATCTGAGTTATCTTTGGAGATAGATCCTTGCGGTTTTCGCGGTTCTGTGCCACTTTTTTTTGTGAAACTCAAGGTGGCCAAATCACATTTTGCATAACTGTTTCCGTTTATGAGATACAAAGCGATTTTGAAACCCCTCTATATCTACGAAGGTTCTTCGGCGAAAATCTCAAATTAAAATCTTATCCCATAGAGAATTTTATGCAGAATTCAGTGGCGTACTAAATTTTTTTTCTGGGTACGGTTTTGCAGATACGACTCAAACTTTTGATTTTTCAAATGGGACACCCTGCATTTCATAAGCTCATTTAATTCCGCATTTTTTCCCCTTCGAGATAATATATGATTTAAAGATATAACATTTTCAAAAATGCTCAAAAATCACTAACACATTGAATTTTAATAGTGGGCTATGGATTTTTTATGTAAAAAAGTTCCAATTGAAGGAATATTTTCATCGATTTTTCCATGAAGAGGACAAAAACAATATCAACATTAAAACACAAAAGTTAGGTACCTGAAAAGCAACAAATAAATAGTAATAAGTTTATAATGTAGAATAAGCACCTGATAAAATATTTACTAGAACAATTGAATTTCGAAATTATTCAGTTATTTATTTATTGAATTGTTCAAATTGATAATACACAATTGACACACTTTCTCAATACGTCTTATTTACAGTAAGAGGCACAACAATCTTGAAGAACTTCGTGCAACAACAGACGCAGTTTTCCAGAAATTACAAATACATCTTTTAATGATTTTGAATGCGTTAGACGTATTGAGAAAGTGTGTGAGGAAAAATGGATATCAATTTGAACACGTCAATGAATAAGTTACTGAATAATTTCGAAACTTTTCATCACTATTTATTTGTTGCTATCAGGAAACTAAGTTTTGTGTTTTTACTAGTTGATAAGTGTTGGTATCGTTTTTGTCCGCTTTATGGATTTTGGAGCGTATTTGAGATTTTTATATTTATATATTATATATCATTTTGAAGGAAGAAAAATTAGGAATTTTATGAGCCGATGAAATACAGGGTGTTCAATTAAAAAAAATCATAAATTTGAGTCGTCCAAAACCATACCCCGAAAAAAAAAGTGAGTGCACCACTGGATTCTGCGTGAAATTATCTATGGTCTAAGATTTCAATTTGACCTATTTGCTGAGAAACTTCGTTGATATAGAGGGGGTTCATAAAGTATAAATTTTCAAAATCGCCCTGTATCTCAAAAACGAAAACAGTTATGCAAAATCTGATTAAGTCATCTTGAGTTTCACAAAAAAGTGGTACAGGACTGCGAAAACCGCAAGGTTCTATCTCCAAAGATAACTGAGATATCACGCAAAGCATCGAAAACTGGACACACTGTTCATGATATTTGAGATACAGAATATGCAACCAGTGTTCTGTTCATCTGTCACACTCACATGAATATTGAATGTGCTTTGCGTTTATTGACATGCTTAAAATAAAATGAATTGCCCACAATTCCACAAAGATGAGAGCTTCGTTTCTGAGTTCTTGGAAATATGCAAGTACCTACCTAAAACATTCTCTTAGATTTCACTTTCGTCTACATTTCGCATACATTTTTTAAGAAGAATTTTGATTGAAACAGAAATTGTTTGAATAATTATGATTGCAACAAAAGTCGAAAATGACAGTTGACAGTTCCTGCAAATGACAGGCCGGACAGGACTCAAACGACTGGAGGTGTGTTAAAAAAACTCTGGTGCCATGAAAATGTGTCCAAGAATTTGTCATGGTAACATGTTCAATATTTTGAATAAATCACAGATTGATCACAGATCATCAATCCGTGAGTAATCGATCATTTAGCGTGGTACACATCCGTACGCTACATGCCATTTTAGTTATGTGAGTGAAAAAACTAAATAATGGATCAATAGTACCTGTTTCCAGAATGTATATGTTTGGAAAATGATTACATGATATGAGTGAATCTGATAGCACAATTGTATATGATTCAGTTGTAATAATCATTATTTACAATCCATCAAAATTCTCTTTCATTAGATAATATACCGTTTTGTTTTTAAAACAATAATTAGTGGTGATACAATGGGAATTTTTTTTGGTGACACAAATATCGATTGTATATAAATGTACAATTAATTTCATTCATCGAATACATTCCTCTACAGTTAACATACAGGGTTAACCAAAAGTATGGAAATAGGTAGATATGTCGGTAACCGGTTTGTTACATTTTTTTTTTCATATATGTACAGGGTGATTTTTGAACGTGGCGAACTTGAAAATTTCATCGTCAATGTTGCTACTTTTTCTGTGATTCCGGAACTATTATTAACTTTCTTATTTTAAATGGAACACCCTGTACTTGATTGAATTTTCATATTTTTCCTGAGAAGCTGATTTCATCGATCTATCACACTTGGGATCTAGCGGGAATCAAGAATTTTTAACTTCAGAATTTTTTAGTGTCGAAACTATTCATTGTTTGTCGGCTTACATGTCCCTACCTAAACTCTTGATTTACTATCGACTCACATTTTATTTAAACAAATACAGGGTGGTTCAAGATTCAGAATTATGATCATCCCCTGTATCTGTTCCAATTAAATGTCAGTAGACTGTGAATCGAAAGTTGAAATAGGAAAAATTTCGATACAAAAAAATCCTAAAGATGAAAAATCTCGATTTTGAACACCCTATATCTCTGTAATCGTTCCCGCTACACCCCAAGTGTACTAGATTGATGACATCATCTTCTCAGGGAGAATATGAAAATTCAATAAAAATACAGGGTGTTTCATTCAATATAAGGAAGTTAATTATAATTCAGGAATAACTGAAAAAGTGGCAACATTGGCGATAACATATTCAAATCCGCCATGTTTCAAAATTTCCCTGTACATATATTCAAAAAAATCTAACAGAAGGTTACCAGAGATATTCACCTGTGTCTATACTTTTGATTAACTCTGTATATTTTGTATTGCACCTTTAAATTAATGAAATCTCTATAGAGATCGAGTGGTAACACTACACGTTTTATTACACAAAAAGTTTTTTCCGATTTCCAAGTTAGTTCGCTACGTCTCTTTCTAAATTTTTCCTCAGTGAGATTTGCTATAAATAAAAAATATAATACACTTACATATTACAGATATTAGAGATACATTATCATAAATATATAACATATACCTGATTTCATCAATACTCGATCAATGTGTATATTCAGTTGTTGTTGCTGTTTATTGAACAATGTACAGGGTGTTTGAAATTGGTATTCCGCAGCTTTGTAAATATTCACGCCAGACAAAATCAGATCAAATTTATTTTCGCTGTTATTTCTTGTGACAACTTCAATGGACTTTTGAATTTCTGCCAGATTTGACGATGGCTTGAAATATGCTGTCACTTAGACAGGAATTGAAATAGAGAGAAATTATAATCAGTATTTTCACAACAAAAAAAAGGGGTGTAGTAATCACCACAACCATACAACCAGACAAGCAGATCATTTTTCTGTCAAGAAAATTAAATCAGATATTGGTAAAAAATCCATCTATCCCAATGGAATGATACAATACAATTCACTACCAAATAAAGCTGATTAATAGGATTGAAAAATTTAACAGAGAATTCAAGAAACATCTACTCCTGTAATATTGACATCTTATCTCATTTTTATAGTTTTCTTGTACAACTACTAAAGTTTTCAATTGTGTACCTAACAGCTGAGTCAATTGAGGATCATTTTCATTTGAACTTGAAAAAAAAAGGATCCTTTTTGAGGGGGAGTCTTATTTTACTGTTTTCTTTATTTCATTTTGTCAAATATATTTATGTATTCACTATGTTCCCTGCTATAAACAAATGTTGTTTCTTGGGAATAATAAAGTTGATTGATTGATTGATTGATATCTACAATACAAAACAATTTTGGACAGCCTATATACTCCATGATCTATATTCTTAATATTTGTCCATGATTCGCTATTCATTTTTCTTAATTGACTTGGAACGTTATTATTCATTGGTCAGCATTATTATGGATTTTGGCTGGACATTTCCGAATTTTATTCTTAACATCCCATTTTCATGTCTTGCTTTGGTCTTGATGAATTAACAAGTTTGGAACAGGACACGTAACATTTAACCTTTCAGGTTTCTTTCATATCAAGTCTCAGTAGATAGTATTTTATTGCGTATTTTAAACCTCAACCATTTGTCGACTTTGTTTCGGACTTGCTTTAACCGTAACATGCACACAAACAGTTCCTTTTCGTTTGCAGCGGGATGATGAATGAGTTGGGGTTGTTCTGCTATCTGAAAATATTGAAAATGTTAGTTTTGTTTTTTGACCAATTTAGTTTGCGTTAAAAAACATGAAAAGTTATAAGCTCGGTAAGTCTTGAGGGATACACCCTGTGAACAGCGTGTTTTTAAGGCCTCTACCCCTCCCAAGAAGAAAAAAACTAGGGGCTCAAAGTCGGTCGACCACACTTCATATAATAGTAGTATATCATTTTACATATGTAACCGGTTTCGGAGCTACGGCCATCATCAGACAAATAATAAGTACCTAAAAGTTTAAAAAACGAAGACAATCAAATGTGAGTGAAGACTATAAAATCAACATACCGAACAATACAATTTAGACAAACATCATTGGATAAGTAACAATCATGCCATGGGTTGAGACATGGGCAATAAGTTGATTGATTTAAATCTAATGAAGAGCCAGAAAAAACTGGCTCTGATAAGGTCAAACATCATCAGATATCGGAGAGAAAAAAACTACATCATATTAAAAAATGAAAATGAAAATGTCACCACGACCGGCGGCCATAACAATTCGATCAGTCCTATAAGGAACAAGATACATTATAAGCAATTGAAATTTGACACATTGACGGATGAACGCAAAACAATAAAATTAAGTGACAACTAATGTCTCCACAATTTTTATAGTCTTCACTCACATTTGATTGTCTTCGTTTTTTAAACTTTTAGGTACTTATTATTTGTCTGATGATGGCCGTAGCGCCGAAACCGGTTACATATGTAAAATGATATACTACTATTATATGAAGTGTGGTCGACCGACTTTGAGCCCCTAGTTTTTTTTCTTCTTGAAAATACTGTGGACCACTTTGAGAAAATGGATGATTTTCATGATTTGCCTCTACCCCTCCTCTATTGATACCAAATTTAGACCGGTATGAATAACCATCAATATGATCAGTTTTTCAGTGACGAACATCGTTTTAGACAGTGTCGTAAGTTTTTATGAAAATAAAAAGTAAAAAATTATTTACGTTCGCGAAAATGTTGTTTAGATGTGCCTGTATTTTTGAAACCCTACATAGTAATCATATGGGGTTTTGAAACCATAAAGAACAATATTATGAGGTCAATTTTCCTGTAAAAAAATTCCTGATATGATTTCATAAAAAAATGAACTCTTTTCATTTTGATAAAAACTCATGGCACTGTCCAAAACGATGAAAAACTGATCATATTGATGGTTATTCATACTAGTCCAAATCCCAAATCACAAATCTGGTATGAATCGCAATAAGACTAATAGCCGAGATATAGAGGAGGGGTCGTTTGAAGTGAGACATGCTGTATATACCTTAAACTATCAAGAAGTTTATCCACGACTGTTGTATGAAACATTCATAATACATGTACTTCCTCAAGCAAAATCTAACCAGTTTTCACACTAGTGAATATTAGCAGTGAATAACCATTATTCATTGGTGTGGAGTTCCTAGGGTACGCGTTTTTACATATAAGGAACTTGAGACCAGTGAATAATGGTTATTCACCGCTATTGATGTGAAAATAGTATATTATTCAACAAGCATATAATGAGGGCTATTATTCACGAAGGTTACGTTTATGTTACGAGCCTAGAAAGTGGCATAATCAACCTGAGTGAATGATAGCTCATTATATGTGAGTAGAATAATATACTTTGTCCACGACTACTATTGTCTTTGATATATAAATTTATTTTCAACAACTTTTCTATCATAACTCATTTGACATTTAGAAAACTAAAAATTGAAGATACCTGTTATATTAATTATTTGTCAGCGACTGCTGTACTTCCTCAAGCAAAATGATAACCATTTTTAACACCAGTGAACATATTCACATAGATATTGTTTGAACTACAAAATAGCCAAAATACTCGAAGTGTAATGGAATGGAATTAAACAGTGAGGGAAAATCTCCTCAATAAAATGAACAACAATGATAGAATACGAGAGAAAAATAACTAGTGACTGCGAGATATTCCGGATATTTTGTTCATAGAAACTTTTTTCATTGAAACGATCTAACGAATCACCCTCTGAAGTTTCACACTTTAGTTAGGAAACACCCTGTTTATTGATCTAAGATTGAAGAAATATATTACCTATATACCGATCTATCACAGTACTCATTTCTAAATATAAAATAAAAACATGAAATTTACTATTTATAGGATTTGATATACGAAATGAGTTTATTCGAATGAAGTCATATAACCTGTGAGAGATATAATTCCCATATCACTGATACCAATGATTTTTTGAAAGTTCCAAGCTTATCAAGATCTCTTTTTGGATGTTCAACAGATATACTTCAATGTTCGACGTGGGAAATAGCCAGGAAAGATGTTGTTTTCTGTTGAATATTCAGAATGATATTATGTGCATATATTTATATGAAGGAGAATGCAAATTCTCCAAATACTTCAGAAGATTTTGTTTTCAAATTCTTATCGTGTGTGATCAATAGATGTAATTCAATGTTCGTCGTGGCATATAACCGGGAAAGTAATTGTTTTCTGTTGAATAAACCGAGAAAGAATTGATATTTTCATCACATAGATAATGCGAATTCTTTATATATATGTATCCATTTTTTTATGTTCATAATTATATCTGAGAATATTCCTTTTTAATATGTTATTACAATTTCTCTCATCTATTTGGTGACACTTTGCACGTATTATATGAAGCGAATTTTCGATTGAATTTTAATCTTAATCCTCAGACACAAGTACGATTCACTTTGTTTTTAATTAATTATCAACTTCACTTGACAAGCTTTATCAATTAGGTTCACAGTGTGATTAGTGGCCATTCGAATTTTCATTGATGATTCCCAGCTAGAACATCGATTTTTCAAAAATTCACTTTATTGAAAAGGACATTATTTCTGATTCGTCATTTGTTTAGCAAAATTGAACAAATTCTCTTATAAAAAATCTTACTAGGGAGTATCTAGATATACCTACTCTATTTCAAGTTATGATCCAAAGGTATCTTAATTTAAGAGCCCTATATTGAATAATATACTGGATGATTCCGCATATTCCAACAGCCTCTATAGGGCTATATGTCTATTGGACATCATTCAAACTGATGATAGAAAGTTTGGTAGATTGATAAAACTTGCATCTATGTTGATTTTTGATGGCTACTGCCCTTTGGTGAAAAGATATCTAACTTTGAATATTTCGGAAACAGCTGAACCAATGACCCATTTATTTATGAAATCGGAAACAAAATATTTTCCACTTTTATCGTAAATATATAGGGTGATTCGTTAAAAGTAAGGAAGTAAGTATTTGTTTTTTATCTTTGCGATATTAAGTAGTATATGTCCATCGTTGATATGTATAGATACCAACTGGCCATAGACCTTACGAGATGTCCTTCAGCGAATATGTGTTCTGTGTAGGCTTTGCTACTAACTCCATACGCCACCTTGGGAGCAGCACTGTTAATTGGAACACAACAGCAAATCGAGGCCGAGGCTGATACGAAAAAGTTCACAAACGAAACAAAGTACATATTTTCGTATTCTAATATCTACCAGTGGCGCCCTACAAATTTCTATGAAGCAAAAAAGGACTCGACACCTGAAAAAATATCTCCCTATTGCTTCTCACAATCACTCAACACATTGAATGATGTAAACTTTAGAACGTAACCTATGTTTCAAATTTGATCTGAATAGGAAATTAATTAGAGAAAACAAGGAAAAAATCTTGAAATTTTAACGCTTCGTAGATCGGCAAAAAGCGTTTGCGGACACATATTTATTGGAAAAATTATTCCTGATTTGGTCTGAAGAATAAACCCCTAAAATCTTGATACTGAGTTTTGAAACACCTTTTATAATGAAGATGCACCAGATAGAGAAGATATATATATTCCCAGATATAATTATGAAAATGAAAAAATGAATATATATACAGGGTGAGTCAATAGTGTGTTCTCCTTCGATATTAGCCAAACCGTCAGGTATATAAAAAAATCCGAATATAACAGTTATAGAATTTTATGAGAGCTATCACCTGAAATTATTTTCATATCTATAGGATGTTCGAATTCCAAGATATCGGTTGATGATGGGTGTTTTTAAATTGGACACCTTGTATATTATTGCATTTTTCAATTTTTTTTCAAGAGCTGATTTCATCAATGTATCACAATTGAAGTCTAGCGGAAATGATTACAGAGATATAGGGTGTTCAGAATCGAAAATTTTCAAATTTGGGATTTTTTTGTGTCAGAACTATTCATTATTGGTCGAAACGGCTCACATGACCCTATCTGAACGTTTGATTTACTATCTACTGCAATTCAATTGGAATAGATACAGGGTGATCAGAAATCTTGAATTTTTAACCACTCGATCTGTATTTGTTCCAATTAAGTAGATGGTGAATCAAAAGTTGAAATAAGGACATATAAGCCGTTTCGACCAATAATAAATAACACAAAAAAATCACAAAAATGAAAAATATAGCTTTTGACCACCCTATATCTCTATAAACATTCCAGCTAGTCCCCAAGTGCGATACATTGACGAAATCAGCTCTTGATGGAGAATCTAAGAATTTAATAATATACAGGGTCTCTCATTTGAAAACACCCATCATCAACGTATATCTTGGAATTCGAACACCCTATAGATATGAAGATAATTTTAGGTGACAGTTCCCAAGAAACCCTATAACTGTTGTATTCGAATTTTTTCTATATATCTGACGATTTGGCTAATATAGAAGGAGAACACACTATTGACTCATCCTGTATATAAAGAAATAATACATTGAGAATTCGCTTTCTCTATGTGATGAAAATATCAATTCTTTCTCGCTTCATTGCATTCGAGAAAAGTGGCCAAAAAGTGAACTTTTTTGACATAACAATGAAACATAAAATTTTCCCAAGTCCGGACCTGGATATTTTTTTCATAATATGCTATCTTTAATAGTTTCAGTAGAGACACGTCGCTGCCAAATTTCAGCAGATTACGACGAATCATTTCTGTAATATCGACTATCATCTTCGTTATGGAGGGTCAAAAAAATGTTTTCATATATATACATCAAGTCGTCTTGATTGCCCCTATTAACCATCTGGCTATGTGAATCTTCTCATGAAACACCCTGTATATCCATTTTTTTGTGTTCATAACTATATGTGAGAATATTCCTTGAACGATGTAAACTTGTTATTTTTATTGACCTTCAATCGCAGATTCGTGATAAGGTTTCCTCAATTCAGCATTTCTTCCCACGTCCTGTATGATGAATATCAATTTATCATACATTCAAAAACATGAACCAGATATTTCGTCGACGGGACAAAACCATTCTGCGTGAATGCGGAAGATGATTTTCCGATTCTACATAATAAATATCCTTGGCAATTCGATTTAGCCGAGGACATTGGATAACAATCGAAAAATTCTTGCCTCTTGCATCACATATTCCGAGAATTCTTTATGATTAGTCGGATCGACATTGAAAGAGTTTTCCACTTAGAAAAAAATCGTTTCAGATCACAGTCTGACTTCGACACTATATTGTTGAAAATATTTGTGGGATTTTCAAGTGATTTAGATGGGGCTCACATTATGCAACCGGCCTAATGTCCACCATTGAAATGGTTATTTTTCTACGGCTATAACATAAGAGTGCTCTTGTTATACGACGCTATACCTATATAGTGGAGTATACTACGGCCTTGCCAAAAATGCTATCTCGGAAACTAAGCGAGATAGAGGTATAGTTACTTAGGAGAAAATGATCCCCATCGAATTTTGAGCAACTTTGGTTTTTGTGTGTGGTCTGTCTGTCTGTCTGTACTCTGTGGTAATCATAAATCGATATATCTCCGGAACCCTTTGACATATCGACTTGAAATTTCGCTATCTTATTGTACTCAAAACAATATCATGTCATTGAAATATGAAGAAAATCGGCAAACTCTAAGGTGGTTTTTCCGGGTTTTTTCGATTTTTCACCGGAAGTTTCTTGTGACCACTCTACAAATCGCAAAAGTGGTGCGATCGATTTCATTTTTTGTGAAAAAAAAACTCTATCAGGGAGAGACGAAGCCTATTGAAATTGAGCAGGGTCGGGAAATTCCAAGTGAGTCTTTCAAGGAGATTTTCCGAAACACACGGTTCGCTTTAAAACGACATATCTCCTGAACCAATAGACTAAATCCAAATTTGAAAAATGCACCGTATGCCTCTTTGATGACGCAACAAATTATTATTTCACCATTTTTCCGTGCATCCAACGGAAAATGGGAAAACAAATGAAAGTCAAAACATCAAAATTTGAAATCCTTTCAATTCAATATACATATATTGGAAACAAATGGAAAAATCTAAAATTATCAGAAGTGCAAAGTTATCCACTGGAACATTTCCTACAAATTATTACCCATAATTTTTTCTGTAAACCCAATAGTACAGGAAATAAAGTAAAAAATATGAAAAAAAAATTTGAACGACCCACAGGGTACCATGAAGCTTTATTGAAAAACAAAAGATTATGGATAGATGAAGATCATCGACTTCCACTGAACCATAAAATATTTTTGCCTTTTGTTGATTGGAAGATGGAACAAAAGCGTTGAAAATTTTATTCTCAGATGATTCCAAATATCTCGAAAACAACTGGAAATATCTGAAAATATTATAGAACCAAAATTATTCCTTCTGATAGAATCTACAAAAAATCTGAATAACATTTTTCTCTGAAATCAATAGTTCGGGAGATACGATGAAAAAACTAAAAGATTTACAAGTTCCTAGATAATCACTTGCCAATAGAAAACGTAACAAAAAACCAAAGAAAGTAAAAAAAGCACACTCGACTGTCTTGATTTCTTTCGCCAATAAACTACGTACCTAGCTCACTCGACTGTCTTGATTTTTCGCCAATAAACTACGTACATATCTCACTCGACTGTCTTAATTTTTTGCCCATAAATTACGTACCTAGCTCACTCGACTATCTTGATTTTTTCCCACAAACTACGTACCTAGCTCACTCGACTGTCTTGATTTCCCACAAAGAAGAAATATGTTGGCATTGTTTTAACTTTCTTTTGTTTTTGTTTTTTTATTCCCTATTGGCAGTCGAGTGGGCTAGGTACGTAGTTTGTGTGGAAAAACCAAGACAGTCGAGTGTGCTAAGTACGTAGTTTGTGGGAAAAATCTCCAGTTCTCTGAACTTTCATAGCGTCGTATACACATCTTTGGTGCCTAATGATAGTTTCAATGTAAAAATATGCTCATGATATGGTGCCATGGCCTCTACTTCTATTTACATGAGCAATGATAAAATATCATATATGCTTTTATAGCGTCGTATAAATTATCTGAACTCTATACTAATCTAATACCTAATGAAAACTACATCTATACTAATCTGATACCTTTCAAAAACTACGTACCTCACTTGTTTTACTGTGTTCGATACATCAATGAGGTACTTTGTATGTCATCAATTTTATTTCCGTATCTGATATCACAATGACTCCATTGTGTTATTATTTCAAAAAAATCTCATCGCCCATGGAATGTCAAATTTCAAGCAATGCCAGCTCTGTCTTATAGATGAGCATCACATGACAGGAAATCAGATGGCTACAAGACGAAGAAATCGGAAATGCCGCTGTTCGAATTGGGCGAATCAAAAATTGGGTTAATCGAAAATTGGGTAAATGGAGAATTGGGTCAATCGAAAATTGGGCATATCAAAATATGTACCATACATACATATTATGTGTATCAAAAAATTCAAATATTTAATAATGATAAGCCCAGAATGATTCTTCATTCAGATTTGGCAATAACGCATCGTTCGGGTATATTCGAACCAACCCTTGGAGTGTACTCGATTTTTATTTTTCATCTTCACCACCCTGTATCTTGCAAACGAAGCAATTTTGAACTGAGGTAAGTTGCTTTAAATCGGCGTATTTTGACCTCATGAATTTGTGCTAAGATTTTGTACAGACCTTTTAGGAATGACACCCGGTATATTAATGTGAAGAACGGAAGCCGATTCATTCCCTAAACGTTCAAAGATAAGTAAGAGTTTGATGTATTTTCATTCGAACTTTTTTCAACTAAATTGTCAATTTGTCACTGACTATTCGTGAGAAATTTTACTTCAACGTTTCAAGTTGTGAAATTTGTTCAATGCATTGGGACATTTCTAATACGCCGCTATAACAAATATATTTGAATAATTCTCTTGTTTGTATTCATAGAAATGAAGTGAGAAAAAAAAATTCTAGGGAAATTGGTAGTGACTATATAAAATACACAAAATGAAAACATTTTTCTTCATTACTACCTGACAGGATCAATGTTTCTGTGCCTGTTTTCGGAGTCTTGCTGAAAATGCCTACTAGGGCCCTTCTGAAGTTTTGGCCGCTGATACAGTAAAGGAAGAAGTTGATGCCGAAATTGGTGTAGAACAGTTGAAGGCACCATTGTTGGATGATGGAGAATTTCTCTATGTCCTCAATCTCCATCAATTCAAACTGAAAATATAGAAAAGATGTTGATATTTCTTAGAAATATTCGAGGACGTCGTAAAAACATCATATCTCCCTTCTTATTTATCATCGAAGGTAATAATCAACACTTTGAAGCAGATAATTATTGCTTTACGTCCAATGAGCCTGTTTCAGTGAAATATTTCATTTCATTACTTTGAATTACTAACCCAAACAGATTCACTGTCACAAACCGTTTTCTCATAAGAGCAACTATACGAGGTGTGTTTGAAATAAGTGCATATACTCAGCACATCAATATGATACAGCCTAACGAATGTTCCCAAAATATCAGATTTCTCCTAATTCATCTAATTAACGAGAAATATCATCTTGAAAATTGAACAAAAAATTTAAATAATTCAAGTTTAAATAATTAAAGTCCGCTTAATACTGCCTTCCGCACGGAAATTTTTACAGAGGTGACGTCAGAATTGCCACAGTGTAAAACTTTGGGTGAAAAAAGGGGTCTCACCCAAAATTCTATCTCGATCCCTATTTTTTTTTTCATTGGTGCCATTCGATAGTATACGTCAAATTTTCCTAGAGTCTGAGATATTTGTATTCACATCAATGGCATCCTGTATAAGCTACGACTCATGTATTGTGTGTATCAGTATGTACACGTCAACGGTGAAAGTGAATTCATGTTGTTATGGTTGTTGAGAAATATGTCACTATTGGTGCTTATCGGCGTATTACGTCATCAATAACTAGCGTTTTTTATTGGTGTCGTAAAAAAGTAATCGTGGTGACTTGAAATAACGGATGATTGTATCAAATATTATTTATACACGGAGAGATCAATATGAACTAGGTTTATGGCATGAATTCTGAGGTACCTATCGATAAAAGGTTATTCTCTGATTCTTAATTAATTTGAGAAGTGTACCTAATCTACTTGTATATGTAGTGGTCTCAGAATGTCGTTAAGAAAATAGATAATTTACATTTTTCATGCTTGAGAAAATTGCTTTAGGAAACTTATTGCGACTAATTTAAAGTTGAATTCGAACAGCTTGTTGATTGATCGAATCCCTCAGGACGTTGTTATTGTGGGCGTATATCATAAGTAGGGAATCACATAAGTATTATTATGATGAAACTTGAACACATATAGGCTGGCACAATTTCAACCAAAATAACGAGATAGTGAAAATGATAATCCTTCAGAGTTGAATAAATTAAAGTGATAAGGAACCGTGAGACGTTAAACAAATGAGTTAGTTTGTTAGGGTATATAGCCTCTTTTCTCACGCATCATGATTTCTCAGCAATCTTTTACAATTTTTCATTCAGTTGCAATCTGTTTTGTAATGCGCATATAGTTTGGAAGTAAATGATTATCTTAGAGCAATATTTTGAGGAAATATAATGAGTATTTTCTTCCTGCTTTTTCAAAAAATTCCCAATTTTCACTTCATTCATTTTTTCCTTTTTTTTTCTTATTGAGTTTTACGATAATTATTTCACTTGAATATCGAGAATTGAAATCTACCCGAGATGGTTTATGATCTGAGAATCCTCATTCAATCTTATTGTGTAACTGTTTATTTTTGAAAATATTAGTCAGGGAAAATCCTGGGGTTTTCATTATTCACAATTTTATACTATCTACTGTGATTGCCTATTTGTTGGGTGCGTAATGCCACAACCTTTGACCTCATTAGAACACCGTAGAAAAATCGTGGACCTTTCACTTTTCTATAGATACTTCCATGGAAGTGATTCCATCACTAGCAATACCAGTCAGACAAACTCGACAGGTGCAGGCACCTTTCCTTTCGTTGTCAACCTTGAAATATGTCGAACAACACTTTACCAAAGCTGCAAAGCTTTGGAATTCTTTGCCAATGGAAGTGTTCTCAAGAACTTGATGTTCTTCGAAAATCATTGGGATTTCGGGCGCTCTAAGAGATGAATTAGAGTCAAGCACTAGTAGATTTCCGATTTCAGAAAACGAAATTCATCGTGAAATCCACGTAATTGAATCCTCATTTATTGTGCAAATGGTAGCGTTCTGTGTATTGGAAAACGCTAAGAGAGGAGATTGAGCCAGAAAAGAAGTCGCAGTCAGTACAGCTACAGCGACCTTATACCTTCTGGTCGTGCAGAGAATGGTTCTAAGAAACGGGTACTCTACAGCGATGTCCTGCTTCAGAGTAAAAGCCACTACCAGCCAGATGTTGAGGAAGCAGCCAGATCCCGGCCAGATAAACCTTGCTCTGGCATAATCCTGGCCGATTGAAGAGATATGAGTGCCTCTAGCCACACCAGAAACAGCGATGCCAAGAACATGTTATCGTTGACTGCTACCGCAGCCAAGTAGTACGAGGAAGATACCTTGTTCATCTTGGTGTTGCAGAAGATGAAGACAGTGAAGGAGTTGCCCGTGAGTCAGAGGAGAAGCGTGGAGTAGGATATATGACGCAAATACTCCAAATGGAAATGGTAGCTGCTGTGGCGAATCAAAATGACGTACAAGAAATAAAAGACTCACCTGTAATAAATATGTAAGGATCCGCATCACGTAACTAGGAAAGTTCAGGCAAAGAAACACTGTAGATACCACCAGCAGCATTTTGGTAACGTTGTTCCTCGAAATCTGATACTTCAACGCACAAATTTTCTGTCTCTCATTAGTCAACATTTTCCTCGCAACCGAAACACGAATGAGAGTCTTGCCGATAGAAACATTCAGGAAAACAACCACAGCAACAGGCAAAAGGAAAGTCGTCGCGAAATCCACGTAATTAAATATAGTCGCTGCGCTGGTCCATTCCTCATTTATCGTGCACACGGTAGCGTTGTCTTCCATGATCACTGTGTTGGAAAACACCAAAAGAGGAGATTGAGCCAGAATAGAAATCGCAGTCAGTACAGCTACAGCGATCTTGGCCCTTCTGGTCGTGCAGAGAGTGGTTCTAAGAAACGGATACTTCACAGCGATGTAACGTTCCAGAGTGAAAGCCACCACCAGCCAGATGTTGAGGAAGCTGCAGATCCCTGCCATATAAACCATGCTCTGGCATAACCCTGGCCGGTTGAAGAGATCCCAGCCGAGTGCCTCCAACCACACCAGGAACAGCGATACCAAAAACATGTTATCGTTGACTGCTAACGCTGCCAAGTAGTAGGAGGAGGATACCTTGTTCATCTTAATGTTGCAGAAGATGAAGACAGTGAAGGAATTGTCCGTGAGTCGGAGGAGAAGCGTGGAGTAAGGTATATGACGAAAGTACTCCAAATTTAAATGATAGTTGCTGAGACGAATCAAAATGACGAACAAGAAATAAAAGACTCACCTGTAATAAATATGTAAGGATCCGCATCACGTAACTAGGAAAATTCAGGCAAAGAAACACTGTAGATACCACCAGCAGCATTTTGATACTTTAACGCACAAATTTTCTGTCTCTCATTAGTCAACATTTTCCTCGCAACCGAAACACGAATGAGAGTCTTGCCGATAGAAACATTCAGGAAAACAACCATAGCAACAGGCAAAAGGAAAGTTGTCGCGAAATCCACGTAATTAAATATAGTCGCTGCGCTGGTCCATTCCTCATTTATCGTGCACACGGTAGCGTTGTCTTCCATAGTCACTGTGTTTGAAAACACCAAGAGAGGAGATTGAGCCAGAATAGACATCGCAGTCAGTACAGCTACAGCGATCTTGGCCCTTCTGGTCGTGCAGAGAGTGGTTCTAAGAAACGGATACTTCACAGCGATGTAGCGTTCCAGAGTGAAAGACACCACTAGCCAGATGTTGAGGAAGCTGCAGATCCCTGCCAGATAAACCATGCTCTGGCATAACCCTGGCCGGTTGAAGAGATTCCAGCCGAGTACCTCCAGCCACACCAGAAACAGCGATGCCAAAAACATGTTATCGTTTACTGCTACCGCAGCCAGGTAATACGAGGAAGAAACCTTGTTCATCTTGGTGTTGCAGGAGATATGAAGACTGTGCAAGAATTGCCTGTGAGTCAGAGGAGAAACGTGGAGTAGGATATATGACGCAAATACTCCAAATGGAAGTGATAGTTGCTGAGACGAATCAAAATGACATACAAGAAATAAAAGACTCACCTGTAATAAATATGTAAGGATCCGCATCACGTAACTAGGAAAATTCAGGCAAAGAAACACTGTAGATACCACCAGCAGCATTTTAGTAACGTTGTTCCTCGAAATCTGATACTTTAACGCACATATTTTCTGTCTTTCATTAGTCAACATTTTCCTCGCAACCGAAACACGAATGAGAGTCTTGCCGATAGAAACATTGAGGAAAACAACCATAGCAACAGGCAAAAGGAAAGTCGTCGCGAAATCCACGTAATTAAATATAGTCGCTGCGCTGGTCCATTCCTCATTTATCGTGCACACGGTAGCGTTGTCTTCCATGACCACTGTGTTTGAAAACACCAAAAGAGGAGATTGAGCCAGGATAGAAATCGCAGTCAGTACAGCTACAGCGATCTTGGCCCTTCTGGTCGTGCAGAGAGTGGTTCTAAGAAACGGGTACTTCACAGCGATGTAACGTTCCAGAGTGAAAGCCACCACCAGCCAGATGTTGAGGAAGCTGCAGATCCCTGCCAGATAAACCATGCTCTGGCATAACCCTGGCCGGTTGAAGAGATCCCATCCGAGTGCCTCCAGCCACACCAGGAACAGCGATACCAAAAACATGTTATCGTTGACTGCTAACGCTGCCAAGTAGTACGAGGAGGATACCTTGTTCATCTTGGTGTTGCAGAAGATGAAGACGGTGAAGGAGTTGCCCGTGAGACCGGTGAGGCAGAGGAGCGGCGTGAAGTAGAGCTGGAAAGTTGCGATGGCGATGGTGTTTTGCGACATTTTGGCGCGGGAGTTCGGTCGTGAATGGAGTTGGAAGAATCGTGGCGTCGGGAAGTTTGCCCGGTTATGTTTTTGTCGCGGAACGGTTGGCTGTGAATGTGGATCGCGACGCGATCGTTAGGCGTTTTAGAAATACAGGGCGTTCATTGGAGCAGGGAAGGCGCTCATTCGTCTGATATTTATTGAATGGACTAGAGAACGAAAATTATGACTCTTTATGGTTTATTTTGAATATTACCAACTACCTGTTTATTTAGAAACAAACAAACGGTACCTATACAGGGTGTTTGTTAATTACGGTACGAAACTTCTGAGGGTGATTCGTCATGTCCTTATAAGAAAAAAATTCCGAATACATATATCCGTAGTTGCTTCGTTTCTGTGATACAGGACGTTGAAAATGAAAAAAATGAACCCCTCTTGATTGGGTGAAAGTATTGAAAAGGAATATTCTCAGATATAATTATGAACATCAAATAATGGATATACTTATGAAGAAATACATTGAGAATTCGCATTCTCCATGAGATGAAAATATCAATTCTTTCTCGGTCAATTCAACAGAAAACAATCACTTCCCTGGCTATATGCCACGACGAACATTGAATTATATCTATTGAACACACACGATAAGAATTTGAAAACAAATTCTTCTGAAGTAGAGAATTTGCATTCTCCTTCATATAAAGATATGTACATAATATCATTCTGAATATTCAACAGAAAACAACTACTTTCCTGGCTATTTGCCACGTCGAACATTGAATTATATCTGTTGAATATCCAAAAAGAGAGCATGAAAAATGAAAATCCTTGGACATTGAGAATTGACATTATCTCTCAAATCGGATGAAATAACATGATGTATCATGAAGGAGAATGCAAATTCTCTACTTCAGAAGATTTTGTTTTCGAATTCTCATCGTGCGTGTTAGATAGATATAATTCAATGTTCGTCGTGGCATATAGCCAGGAAAGTAGTTGTTTTCTGTTGAATGGACCGAGAAAGAATTGATTTTTTCATCACATGGAGAATGCGAATTCTCAATGTATTTCTTCATAAAAATATCCATTTTTTTATGTTCATCATTATATCTGAGAATATTCCTTTTCAATAATCCCTATAATGTTAGAACATCGTGCGTACCTAGGGAGGATAGGGATAGGAGGTAGGTGTTGGAGTTTTTTTCTAACTTTCAGAAATTATAAGTTCTTGAAAATACTTTTGTTGTGAATAGTCGATATAATCTAGCGTATTATGTTTTTAACGACTATTTAAAAGTTTTTATCGCTAGTATATCATTCATGGTTTGTTCGTATATGATTCAAAGCTGTTAGTATACGTGTATATATCAGGAAATTAATATGAACAAAAATATGGAACCAATACATCCATTTATGAGTAGGTATTTCTTCAACTTATAAATAATTCGAACAAATTTAATGATGATATGAGCACGAAAAGATTATAATACGTTTCGACGTATTTTTTATGAACATTGTAATCATATCATACCAAAAGTAACTAAGGGTGAATAGCCCAGTTTAGTATATGTATAATTCTGGACTTGCCCGCATGTATGTACATCACAAAATTATCTCAGAATATGCTTTCTGTTTGATTTTCTCGTTCTGGAGATATTGGAGTGTTTCCAAAATGTTCATCAGTTATGTAGGTATTCAGTAAAAATGTTCAAGATACAGATCGACTCGTATTTTCCTCAACAAACGATATCTCAGTTATTTCAAAAATTTAGAAGGTGAATCAAAAACTGTTTTCAATATTGATGACAAGACGTTTTCATTAAACCCAGCGTACAATCTTTTTCTTCACAAACCTCAAGATATCAAGATATATTTTCAATCTGTTTCATCGAAATGTTCATTTTTTGGACTTGTCACGTATATTACTATTGCGTAATAATGGCTCTTTCTTGAACTCTTCATCTTTTTTTAAACATCGATCCTGTATATTCCTTACAGTAATCACTATTGATAGAAGATTTGAAATTTTTTATACATTCGTAGGCAAATCAAAAGTGTCTGGAAAATATGAAAAAATAAGCAATATTTTTCTTTGGAAGTAGGTAAAAAATACAGATTTTTTTATCACACAATCACAATCAATAACGATTATTAACGTATAACGGTGAACATGACATTGTATTTAACCTTTCGATCTGTTTTAAATCCCTATAGACATTGTGGACGTTGTTATTGTGGGCGTATACCGGAAGTAAAAGAATCAATTATTATTATGAGACTTGAACATATTCAGGGTGGCACAATTGAAATCAAATTGAAGCAAGATGATTGCATTTCGAAAAAGTTCAAGGATACTGAACTTCGTCTCGATTATGTCACTTTCTTGAATATTTTATTTACTCTAGATCCAATTTTGATTTTTCATTTACTCACTGAATAGAAAGTAGACGTTTGGTTCCAGATTATAAGGAACAAAGAGCTTCCCTTCCACATGAGAAAATAGTTATTTTTGTATCTAGAGTGCGCGAAATGCTACTTTGGTGATCGAGAACTGATTGTTTGCTCCCTTGATATATAAAAAGGTATTACACCTCGTTCATATACGAAAGAAATGAAATTTGGATACTGAATTTTGAGTTATGAGAGACTCAGGCACTTTTATAAAGAAATTAAAACTGGTCAAAGTGGTTACTGTTCTTTCATTTGTGTCCAAGAACCTGCCGGTCACTGTATGAATGAGAAAGTATAGATGTGAATATGGAAGGGTATTCCGGTTACTCCTCTCATTCATGAAATTGACAATTTGTATGGTAATTGCGAAGGGAAATTGAAGATCGGTTGTAGTCCCAATGTTTGAGTAGGTTGTTAACCAAAATCGATTAGGGCATCACACATTAACATTAATATTTGTTCGCTTCACTGAATGAAAAACATAAAATAAATAACTTATAAACTCAAAAAAGACTACGAACCCACGTTCTATTAGTTCTCGAAATTTAACAGCGCGAAGCAAAAAAAAAATGTTCATCAAGATGAATTTTACACTTTTTTTTTCAAATATTTTTTTGGAAAAACGAATTCCGGAATTTTCGTTTTTATTCACTGGTTCGAAACGTTACACATTGTGACAAAAATTAAATTATGGAAAGTAGTGAGTTTTGATGAGCAAACTCAAAGCCCAGAGAAAATTCAAAAATAGATTAACAAGATCATATAGTATCTACTCTACTAGCGATTTATTTTTTGTCCGACAAGGTATATATTCATTTTATAACAGCTGTTACGTGGCAACATGCCCACCGAATAGTTATTTAAAAATTTTGAAATCAAGTTCATAGACAAGAAAACTAGCACGCAAATCCAATTCAATGAAGGTGCATACAGCGTGTTTCTAAATGTCTTATTGGAAGAGATTATGTCTTGGCCTATTTTAGTACTAAAAGTTTCAATAAATATAAATCGTAACTTGATTTGTTCTCAAGTTGCTCACTACTTAGTAAAATACAAACTATATTATCCCCCTAACGGGGCCGATTGGCCAAATATGTTATTCCCAATTTCATTTACCCTCAAATTCTTACCAATTCATTGGAATATTTCCGATTTTTGCTGAGTAGTTAGTTACCTGATATTTGAATGAAACTAAAAAATCAAATAGTTTTCATCGAATTTGAAACCCTGTATCAGAAGTTATGACATTCTAGGGAGTCTCTTTCGGGCTCTCCTAGAGATAAAAAAATACATTCATGTGAAGTTCTTTCCTCAGATTGGTCCAGAATCGCCGAATATAAATATATGTTTTGTTTTGTATACATAAAAAGCAAGATTCTCATAGGTCACTGAGTTTTGATCGATAAAGCAAGTAGTTCGAACCTTCTAAATTATCGTTTCAGTGATTGAAAAGTCCCAATAATTCCAATAGAACATAATCTCACTCCCACTCTAATAATGTCAACAGTTTAATTATATATCTGACAGGAGCACCATGTAACGTCAAATAAAATATCACTCACAAATGTTCAACCATTTTACATAATTTGTTGTTATTTTCATTAGGGCCCCTTGATGCAAACTGACGTATTTGTCATCTAACAGGGTACGGACAGATCATAGCTCCTTTCTCTTTTAATCATCTAGTGACTTTGGTTTCGTGTATTGGCGTCCCTGACATGGGATTGCTGTCACGTCACATTCATAATCTTTAAAAGAGATCTTACAAAATTTTAATTTCATACTTGATCTTAATACGACATTATTCAATTCTGTTTTGGAAGGATGGTAAAATGTGCTGCGTTAGGCTGTTTCAATCAGTTGGATGGCAAATTTGAATTTGTCAGCTTTCCATCAAATGCAAATGAACATGGAAAGTGAAGTGACCGAATGGGGAAAATTGGTAAATACATCAGCAAAATATTCGAGGTAAAACTAATACGAAATAACATATTATACTTTCTCATTGTGCCTATTATTATCCACTCCACAAGTTTTTGGATGCATTTTAGTAGAAACATTTTTTATTAAAACGGAGGATTAAAAGGAGACGCATATGCCATACCATTCAAAAAATTATACCTACATTCAGGAAATATTGAATGTTCGTGAAAAATTGCAAAAAGGATTTCCAACATGAATATATACAGCACACATTACAGATGAGCACATTAGTTTGAATACCTACATGCAATTTTCCACCATTTCTCAATTATAAGGCTTAGTCTGAAATCAAAATTAATTTATTGATAAGTACTGCCTAAGAACAGTCCCATTTGGTAAAACGTATTAAACTTTCAGAAAAATTTGCTCACTGCCTCAATCCGAAATCAAAAACTCGAAAATTATCACCATCATTTGGATATAATATGTAGAGTTGAATGAGAAATTATATGTGGAAATTACGTACGATACGCCAATGTCCTCAATATAACCTAAAAAACAACAAATGTCCTAAATCTAGTGTTTATCCCCAGAAATGAATAAAGATGGAACTATATAACTGTTTCACAAACACTTTGAAGTGAGAGGAGGCGTGGATCTGTCGTACTCTGTTAAGATGACAAATACGTCAATTTACATCAAGGAACCCTAATTTTCATATTTATGATATCAAAGGTTACCAATGAGAAAATTGCGCGGGGTTGAAATAATTATATCTACTCATACTCTAATGTACTATTTTATGTTCAGAGAACCCAATCAAATATAACTTTCTTGTTTCAGCTGAAGGTGACAAGGGGAGAAGTACCTTAGATGCAATATTAGCGACCACTTACTGTCGCTCTCAAATCCATCTGTCTCGTCAGTTGGCATTATTGCATCCTGAGCTAACAATGCCGATGTTCTCAGGTAAACAGAAATACTGTAACAATATATTCTATCATAATTCGTTATTTTTCTCTAGAGATAACAGACCGATTTCGCTATGCCAGGCCAGAAGTGAGACAGCTTCTTTTACAATATCTGCTACCCTGGTTACACAATATGGAACTGGTAGATCCAAATATCCCACCAACTAATACCCATATGTATCAGGTTGGTTTCGACTCAATATTCACTTCAGTTAGAATTCTGTACACGCCTCATTACTAACTGCATATGTCACCTTGAGAGCAGTTGATTTGAATTAGGCTACAAAATGTTATCGAATGTTTGAGCTACTGTTCTGTTTTAGTTTTATGCGAACGAAATCGGCACAGAAAGAAAAGAAGGCTGGGGTTCTGCTGAGGCGACCGAAATGGTGTTGAACAACATCTTTTACATAACCGCTAAAGTAAGCATTGATTTCTCCATTCTGGCATCAACTTGAGACGAAACTATTTTTTAGTTTGGCGACTATCACCCGAAAGAAATCGAAGCCATCTGGGCAACACTCTGTACATCATGGCCCAACAATATGAAAGTCATCATCAGGTATTTGATCATTGTATCTGGTATGGCTCCATGCGATCTTCTGCCCTATGTAAGTTCAATATACAATATTCAACGAAATTAGTAAACTTTTTAACTTCAACATGTATGTATTTGTGAAATGCATTAAAAATCTCAGCAATTCAATAATACCGGAAGATATTATGTCCACCTTCGATTTTCGGAAAATTGTGTTTTGAAGGAAGTGATTTCAGTCATGGTGGTCAGGATTTCCTGGCAGCCACAAAGTGTTCGGAATCACTAAAGAAATAACATGAATCAAAATTATCTCCATTTTTTTAATGCCTATTTTTGTTTCAATTTCAAAAACAGCTAAGTATATAAAAAATTCATTTTCGTCGAAAAATATAATATTTTGCTGAGAGGATCGTTTTCAAAGTTTGCCTGAAATATTTGTAAAGCATTCATCAGAGATTTTCAGCCGAACCTGTGCATTTGTTTTTGGACAGGTCCGGTTAAAAGCACCGGTAGTATTGATGAGAGTGTTCGATTTCAACATCATTTTCTAAAATATTTTTTCTTGCGATTTATTGGGTCAGTGTTTCTCATACCACACCCGGTTTTATTTTTCGCTTCCATTTCGGAAACACCTTGTATATATCAAGTTAATTGAAACTTTTTGCAATCTACAATGAAGGAGAAATATCCAGTTCATTCTGCAGTTAGATTGCGTCAGTCAAAGAAATTAAAAATTTTATAATTTTAATGAATCAATATCAACTTCACTGAAAAGTTGCTGAACTTGAGGTCTAGAAACTTCTATTAGAAGGAACAGAGTGCTCTCTTTTTCTACTTTTATATATCTTGGATTCAATTAATCGTTTGATCTCTTCCCATTCTTTTCTGGTTTGAATTTTGCGTCACGAAACTAGAGTGTTCATAGAGACAAATCACCGTTCAGAAAACTAAAAAAGAAGTTGTTCATTTCAGGCAAAGAGGGTAGTTTTGTATTTGGCTAGAGTACAATCGGTGAGATTACTAGATGAGATGATGGTCGAACTACAGACAGTCGAAACTCTTAACTGTCTCATCGAGAGGACGGAAACGCCTCCATTTTATCGATTGACAGTCATGCGCAAAGCATCAAGTCACTCGGACGGAACGAATGGAGTGTCTGGACATGCTGATCCCAGTAGTAGAAATGATCTAAGTAATTCATTATTATAATCTATGTAGAGTAAATGTGGGACAATGACAAACATATCTACAACGTTGAATTCCAACAATTTTTAATTAATTCGTTTCAGGCATTGAAAAAGGAACGATACACACTAAGAGACATAGCGGGGAAGACCCCTCCAAAAATGCTGTAGCTAAATCAGATTCCAGCACAAATGTCTTTTCCGATTTTGCTATGTCTAGACCGGAAAAACAAAGAAATCAGGATGAGTTGACAAATTCACTAGAAGAAGTAAGTGGTCTCTTTGAAGAACAGCAAAAATACTATAACAATATGCACTTTATTCTCCTTCTTTGTGACATCAAGCTATGCATTTTGTTAGGTGGTCATTGAAGAGGATGTACTACTTCGAGACAAAGTTGATATGTCGCTGCCACAACCGCATCCCCTTCCTATGCCCGAATTTGGAGGTTATTTTGCTCCGTTAACCGAGTATTTGCCAGATAGTTCACAGCCAATATCCGGTTTCCATAGGTAAAGTTCCATATCAAAAGAAGGACATGTATAAGTACAACGTTAAACTCTCAATCTGATTTTTCCTTGGTCATTTGCTTTTATCCTGAAAACATGGTTGCGGCGAAACTCTTTCAAATCTCAGGTTTTTTAGGTTAGGGTTCACACTGTATATATTTGCGGCAAAGAAACGAGCCGAGTCGGACAGACCAGTTTTATTTTTCCCAAACTTGCTAGGTATCTGAAAACTGACAGATAAAACTTTAAATTTTGCCGCATGACTGATTCACAATAAAATGAAAGAAAAAAAGGAACTCAGCGGAGTCCAGTACTTGATTGTTATAAAGATGTTATCAGCATCAGCTCACCTGACAGATCGGGCACACTGCTACTCAAATAAACGTATTTCAGCGCAGTTGGAAACCACAAAATTCTATTCAATATCAGACACTTCGCTGGGTATAAAAGGAATTAATAATCTCTGATACGCAATGAATCAAAATTCACTAGGACCACGAAGAACGACAATTTCGTGAAAAAAGTGAACAGACTTTTTCGACGCTCTAAATAAAAACTGGCGTAGGTACCACACGGCAAATAGTAATCCGAAATATTTAGCTCCAGTGTAGTACTCGTGGGGCCAAATCCAGAAATGAAAAGGATGAAATTGGAAAGTTGTATGCTACTCTTTATCAGTTTCGCTACTTGGTTTATATCCATAACATATCCCTTGCTTCCTAACGCATTCCATGTTATTGAATGTCATGGAGATAACTTTGTGATTGAATCAAAATCAAATAAAACAGGGAATTTATGGCATTCGGCGTTTTTAATAAGACATCCACAATAAACATCCTCAAGCAAGAATTTGTCACTCTGAGCTGAGAGGCTCACGTTGTTTCAAAATGAATGAGCGACAGTTCATCGTTTCAGTACATAAAGTTTGTATCTGACAACAACGGGACAAGTTATCTCGAATTCTTTGCTCCTACAGCATAAATTTAGTATCCCAAGCAAACGCAACGTTCATAAAAACAGTGTTGTCACTTCTTCATCAAGAAATCTCTTGATTCAACAAATTGAATAGTTCAATGGTTGCCACTACAAGAAATGCTATGAACGTGTCAAGGACAATGATGATCAAAATACCCCTTCTATAACCCAGATCTGGCAACAGCAGATTTCAGTCGGTCATAGTCATGTAGTTCGTCATACTAGTATTCTTCAGTTGTCAGTTGATCAGAATTCAGTAATGCATGATCGTTTTTGTATGTCAATAATTCTGTCTCCTTGAGATAATAAGACCATGACGTTTCTTGAGAAAATCGCAGGCTGTCTAGTTTACTCGTAGTCACCCGGTATCATTTTCTAGGTGTAATGTAGGGGTGATGCTACTCTGTGATATAGTCGTAGACGGCATCGAGCTAGACTGGACCATCCACGTTCCGCTTATGTTACACATCCTATTCTTAGGCCTGGATCACACCCGTCCGCTAGTATACCAACACTGCAAACAGTTGTTGCTCAACTTGCTTATTGTACTGGCCCATCACAACGATCACTTGACCGTTTCACATGTATTGCTCAACAGCAAAACCAAGCAACTAGAGTTGGGCTTGTCTACTCCTACCTTGTCGTCAGTAATCGAACATGCTTTCACAGGTGAGTACATGATAGTATTGTCAGTAACATGAAACATTTTGATATCCGATGGTGAGTTGTTTTATCTAAGATTATATTTTGCAGAAGATATCAGTCGTTTCACAAATCCTTTTAATTCTCTATATTTTTTCTCAGTAAGGAACGAATTAAGACCTATTGCTATTAGTAATATAATATCTTTTCCCTTTTAACAAAAACCTGTATTTTTTGGGGGATTCCAGAATCTGATCCTTTGTTCAACGAATTTCTCCAACATCAGATGGGAACAAGTACTGCCGTTGAAACTTCTAGTAAATCAGACATACAAAGTTCTAAAAGCGAAGAATCAAGTAAGTCGTGTAAGTAGAACACTGATACCCACATTCTGAATTTTCTGAATTACAGCTGAAGAAAAAGAGAGTGTAGTACCACAAGTGATCGTGATACCAGAAACCGCAGAACCAGCGCCAATCAGGATCGAAATAACTTTATCAGTCCTCGTAAAATCCGTCATAGAATTCCTAGCGACTCGCCAGAACGCCCCACTATGGAACTACGAAGACATCACAGCGAAAGTTTGGTCTATAAAAAGTGCCGAGCAAATCGACATGTTCATGCAATACGTCCTCAAAATATTCAGAGAATCCTTGCCTAATGCCCACATCAACGAAAGATGGGCCCAAACGGCCTTACAGCTAGGCCTCAGTTGCTCGTCCAGACACTATGCCGGCAGATCCCTACAAATCTTCAGGGCCTTAAGAGTTCCAATCAGTTCCAGGATGCTATCAGACATCCTGAGCAGGCTAGTAGAGACAGTAGCTGAGCAGGGCGAAGACATGCAAGGCTACGTGACAGAATTACTCCTCACTCTTGAAGCGGCAGTGGAGTCTCTGGAGTCCGATTTCCGGCCGCTGGATTTCATGAAGGACTTCTTCAAGTCCACTCCTAACCTCAACAACAAAGAGGCGATTCCCTCGAAGCAGAACCCCGAGGGATCTCCTGTGAATATCACCGGTAGTCCCATGTTCAATTATTCCTCGCACGCAAGGAGTACAAGTTATTCCGTTTCTTATGGGTTGAGGAAGGGCGGGCAGAGCTCTAGTGACGTCAAGGAAAGAGGCAGGCACGAAACTGGCCTCAACAAGTTTTCGGCTAATCTGTCGAGATCTCGGTCTGCTCAGAGCCTCAAGATGCTGGGCGATACTGCCACGCAGGACGATAAACTGACTATTTTAGCTCAGCTTTTTTGGTTGGCAGTGTCTCTGCTGGAATCTGATTACGAGCATGAATTTCTGTTGGCTGTTAGACTGTTGGCCAGCGTGATGCATAGGCTGCCTCTAGATAGACCGGACGCCAGGGACAAGGTCGAGAAACTGTTGTCTCAGCTCAGATGGATTTATTTTCCTGGTGTTCATGCATTATTACTGAAGGTAGATTATTTTTCTATTGAATCAGTGTTATTCATCAGTTTGCAATGTTTTCATTATATATTTGCTGAATACGGAACCCTTGATAATTAAATGTAGACGAAGTAGATATAAATTTGAGGTATTCCTATCCACTCTCGAAATAAGAACTCCCAACTTGGCATAGTTTCAGTGCATCATCAAGAATATGCAGCAGTTGTTTTTCGAAATTATTTTCAATAGGTCCAATCAATCAATCAATTAATCAATATATGCTTTATTGCCATAAATACATTCGTATTTGTTGACAAAGCTCTTACATATACATATTTGAATGAAATATATTAAACAATATGCGATTCAAAGTGTGAAGCTTTCTGAAACACATTTGAAAATATACAATCAAAAGCTCGTATAAAGCCTTAGTCAAAAATTACAAATAAAAAACAACAAAGACGATAATAAAACATAAAATATTATTATAGAACTATCACATGTGAGAGCTCCTATAAAGCCATAGTCAAATATTTATAGAGTATATGTTGAATAAAACGATCCTTCTAAGAACTAATCAAGAAAGGAAGGGATACACAATTTCAGAGTCTCTGTGAAAAATATTTCTCGAGGGTGTATAGTGGAGTCTGAACGAGCAATATTTTCACCTTGGTCTGGAATTTTTGTTATACGGAATTTCTTTGATATGATTTGGCAAATGATATGTGCATGTCTGAAATATTTTCAATAATGAATAGAGACGATACAAAGTCAATGAAGGCTACGTATCGTATCTTTGAATGTTTAGATTGACTGCTTTTATCATCCCAAGAAACAATGGAGTTGTTCATATTAGGGACATATAAGTCACCATGTATAAAGATGCGATGAAATACATATAGAATAGAAATGAAGATCAAATATTATCAACATACATATTTCATGAAATTATCATAATTTACAAACGTGGATATGGTACCTATTCTTCTTCTCGGATTTTACGATTTGAAAAAAAAAATTCATAAGTCATGCCATATATGAGCATGAAGTTATATTTGAATTTCCCGCATTACGGGAGTAGGCGGGGCTTTATACCGTGTGGTGGCCTTTGGTTGGTCTGGCGCTGACTTGACGCAAGAAATATGGCGGGGGAGGGTTGGGCTGTACCGGCCCGACCACTACTGTTATTTGGAAAGCCTTGAAGAAGAGGAACTATTCGAAGACAAGACGATTAATGCACATTTTTATTTACACACTTAATTCGCATAAATATCCAGAGAACATTTTTGAAATAATTTTCTGATACTGTTAGGACTTGTGCCAACATTATAATTTTTTTCGGGTGACTCTGTATTTGGCAAACATCGCACATTGTTTAGTGTGATTCAGTTAATATTGTAATTCGCCTACATAACACCGTAGATATAGGGTCAGTACAGAGAGATGTCTGTACTGCCTTCATTGTTTACACTAACAAAATGATCCACCTCCATGTCAAATGTTGAAGCCAAATTAGGTCTTAGTTCTAGGCTGGTCCGTAGGCAGCGCTAGCCAAACTCAGCGAGTCTATAAATATCCTTCTTTCTGGGACAGGAAAATCACCCACTTTGATATTATGAAGGATGTTAAATAAAGATATTTTGATCTGGTCCTGATGCGTCACTCCTTCTTGCATAAAAACATCTGAAATAAATTCCGAATAAATTCTGCATTACCGATCTCTATCTTCCGCTACTCAACAAAAAGTAGTTGACTTTGTCGCTCACAGATGCCGCGGGCTATTGAATAGAATGTTTTGCTTCATTGCTCTCATAAGGATGGTTCATCTTGTTAGTGTAAATAACAAGGATCCATGCTATGAATGATGATTTGTCTTTAGGGATGCACTCACCCTAACATATACGAACCAGTGGTAGCCCTTCTCTCGCACTTCACCCCACTTCTGAACTTCGTTGTCGTCGACCCGTCACAAAGTATAGCGTTCCCGATGAACGTGATAGCGCTGCTTCCCTACATGCTCTTGAACTACGAAGATGCCAACGAACTTTGCATCCGAGCCGCCGAGAATATCGCTCAAGTGAGCATCGAGAAGAGTAAAAAACTAGAGAATCTTGGAACCGTCATGAACCTATACAGCAGGAGAACGTTCAGCAAAGAGAGTTTCCAATGGACCAAATGCGTGGTCAAGTATCTGCACGATACTTACTCACACTTGAGCTTGAACATGTTATCGTTCCTCATCGAAATTTTGGAAAAAGGTCCGAATAACTTGCAGATGCCCATTTTGAATATAATTCATTGTATTCTGCATCACGTTGACTTGGCATCGGCTGCCGCACAGCCTGTGAATGCCGACTTGCTCAAGGTCATAGTGAAGTACATCGAAGGGCCTAACTGGAAGGAAGCTTTGAAAATTCTGAAACTGGTGGTTAGCAGGTCCAGTTCTCTGGTTGCCCCACCGATTTCTATACATTCCCACTGGGAAAGCACTTTCACTTCGATGCCTCATCCCACTTTCAACGAAGACAATGTTTTCGCCAAAAAAGAATTGCCAGGTGTGTATTCCGAAGTTAGTGTCTCGTAGAGGCCTTAGGTCTTCTATCTTTTTGCAGGAAGGACAATGGAGTTTACTTTTGACATGTCTCAAACTCCGGTGATTGGTCGCAGGTTCTTGAACAAACCAGAAGAGCCTACCACCTCAAGAACTTCTGCGACTCCTAGAAGATCTTGTTCGATAAGTCCCGCCGATGCTTCATCTCAGTCTGGATGGAAGCGGCCTTGGATGTGTCAGGTATTCAAATGTACAGGGTATTCCAGATTAACATGTCATAATTCCATTGTTATGTGTCAGAATAATCTAAAAACTAATACATTGTTTTATTCAACGAATGTTGTCGATCCGCTCTGGGGGAGTATGACAAAAGTATAAAACGATTCTTGAAATATTTTTCCTACCTTCGTGCCAAGTCACCTCTCTTTTGAAACTAATGAATTTAACCATGAATGTTAAGGAGGTCTACAAATGGAATATGATGAATGAACACTGTAACAACTCAAAACTTCGAAACTTTGAAAATAATAATCTTTTATTTCCTCATATGACAAAACAATGTTTGTATAGGAACAGTCATTTTTCAGCCTAATCTAACGTTAGAGAACTAAAATTTACACTACATTAATTCAATTCTTGGATCGACATTATTTTATGGAATAAACAAGTAGGTACATAGTATGTGTAAAATACAGGATTACAGGTATAATAACGAAATAACACATTAAAATTCTTGAAATTGGTTAGCTGCTATTGAAAACGTCCCCATTTTCCATCATCATTTCAAATTCAGAGATGCTATATAGACTATTTTCTGTTAGAATATTGTGCAGTTTCTGTTTAAAGAGTCTAATTGGTAAGTTCCGAATTTGTTCGGGCAGCATATTGTAGAGTTGTACATCCTTATTAGATGTTCTTTTCAATCTTTTCTGAGGGGGTACCAGGTTTTGCTTGTGCCTTGTATTGTAATTGTGTATGTCTGAATGCATGGAGTAGATATTCACATGCGCTTTGATAAAGAGAAGTTTTTGATAAACAATAATTGAATATACAGTCATAACTTTCAATGGGGAGAATAGTGTTCTACAACTTGTGTTCCATGAGACTCTAAGGATACTCCTGACAGCAAATTTTTGCAATGTAAATATTTTTGATATGTGTACTGGGGCAGCATTACTCCAGCATTGTACGCCATATAGTAATTGTGAATGGAACAGAGCATAATAGGTAGTTAATGCGGCATTTATGTTAGAAATTTCACTAATTTTCTTTATAGCATATACTGCTTTCGATAGTTTTGAGCTTAGTGCACTAACATGGGCTGACCAGTTGAGTTGAGGATCTAATTGAACACCTAGGAATTTTATTGATTTTTCAAGAGAATATTCATCACTGTGCTTAACACTGAAATTAAGTAAATTTGTTTTGGTTTCATTAAGAAATAGCTCATTAGTGGTGAACCAATTCTTTGCTTTAGACATGATATCTTGGTAGGTGGCTTGTTGGTTTGTTTCCTTGCCAACTTCAATTGCAAACGTTGAATCATCAGCATACATGCATGAGATACTGTTGCCAAGTATTACATTAGACGGCATATCATTGATATAAATTAAGAATAATAATGGTCCCAGTATAGACCCCTGTGGTACCCCTCTTGTTATTGGCAATGCATTACTAGTATTTCCATCCACAACCACTACTTGGCATCTATTAGACAGATATGAATGAAAGAATTTTAGGCACACTCCACGCACACCATATCTATGTAATTTGTCAAGGAGAATTGTGTGGTCTACACAATCAAATGCAGCCGATAAATCTGTGAAAATTCCTAAGCATTGGTTTTTATTTTCGAAACAATCTCCAATGTATTTAGTCAGATATAATATAGCATCAACTGTGGATAACCCTTTTCTGAAGCCAAACTGATTGGGGCTAAGTACTTCGTGTAGGTTTATGAAATTAATTAGATTATTATATGCAACTTTTTCAAGTATTTTAGAGAAAGCTGGTAATATTGCGATTTGTCTGAAATTGTTTGGTATAGATGAATCACCTTTTTTGAATATAGGAAGAACTTTGCCTTGTTTCATGTTATTTGGAAAAACTCCCTCTTCTAGACATGCATTTATAATATGTACAAGAGGATTGGTTATATAGTTTACACACTTTTTCAGGATAGAAACACTGATACCATTGATGTCTTCAGTTTTTTTATTTTTCAAATTATTTATTATTTTTTTAATTTCCTCATCTGTAACTGGTTGGAAAAACATTGAATTTTTTAAGTAAGGATTTTTTATAAGAGTTACTGCGCGGATATCAGTTTTCTCCATATTTTTCACAATATTATCAGCATTGTTGACAAAAAATCGATTGAGTTCATCCACTGTCAGATTTTCTGGTAATATATTCTTTTTATTTCGTCCAGTTTCTTTATTGATTATGTTCCATAATGTTTTGGGCTTGTTGTCAGATTCAATAATGCGAGTATTATTCAATTGTTTTTTTGAATTTTCTAGTATTTTGAGGTATTGTTTTTTATAGTGATTATAGATCTGTTTATTCTCACCTGTTGGATGGTTTTTGTGCCACGAGTATAGAAACATCAATCGATTTTTTGCGTCAATGATTTCAGGTGTTATCCATTTTGGTTTTCCCTTATATTTATTTAATTGTATATGACTGAAGCTGAAGCTGTGATAGTATTTGTAGGTGTCAACAAAAGCACTACATTTACCTTCAGCAGAGTTGATGCTATATATATCCTCCCATGTTTCTTTTTTCAAGTAATTCAACATGGTGTTGATATTTGCTTCACTATACTTTTTTATTGATTTGAATTCAGGAATTTTATCAGCATGCTCCTGCAGGTCAAGTAATTGGCCTCTATGGTCTGATATACCAAGTTCAAGCACAGATACATCTGTAAAATTTACGTTTGCGAAGAAGTTATCAAGGCATCTATCATTTCGGGTATTTTCAAATACTACTTGGTTTAGTCCTTGGCTTGAAAAAATATTCACAACATCAGATGCATTTTTATCATTTGGGTCTAGAAAGCTGACATTGAAATCACCTGCTAATACTACATTAGCATTTTTTTTGTATTTATCTATAATTTGAAGTGCATTTCTCATGATATCTAAAAAGTAGTTAACGGCTGTATGGAAAGTTGATCTATAAATTGAGACTATAATGAGATTCAGTTGTTTTATGTAGCATGCAGACAGTTCACAAATTTTTTCATCTGACAAATTCGTGGTATATTGTCTCGAGTAGTATATTAGTAATTTCGAACCATAAGGGTTTCATAAACATTAACTTGAGAAACGTGCAAATCTATTAAAATGATGTGTATAAATATTGGATGTGAGGGTTCCGAAGTTAGTCTGGTCTGGGGCTACTCTTGACTTGACAAGAACTCGTCATAATGGTCATAATAATGTAAGTTGTTATTAGGTCTTTATATTCATTGTTGTTTATTCATATTTATCATCACTACCCATGATGTTTCATGCTTCAATGAATATTGTTATGTTTGAATAAAGTCTCATACTTTCAGTTACCCCAAAACTATTAGTGCCTATTCGAATATTACCTCTCGCAAACTATTAAGCCAAGTATTACCCCTTATAAATCGATATGGATGGACTAACCATCTATTTTATCGTGACATGGTGGAGGCGCCAAACAGTTACAGCGCTGGATGTGGTTTGGCTAGGACCACGAGAGACGCTGAATTTTAAGGTGATTATTCTGTACGGAAACGGTTTCCACTTGAAACCAAGTAACAATCAATTTTTGAGCTCAATTCATTCCATATCATATTTCCATAACATACTGATATCATATTTGCGTATTCTTCATTTCAGGAAGAGTGATAAAAAGTAGTGTTAATGTTCAAGGTTAAGGAGTATTTTCAATATTTTTTTATCGCTTGGAGCGCACGGAAGGGAATCCCTATAATGTTCAAAGAACATCGTGCGTTCCTAGGGAGGATAAGGACAGGAGGTAGGTATTGGAATTTTTTTTGAACTTTTGGAGATTATAACATAACTACTAAGATATTTTGAATCGAAACATTCTAAACTATTACTTGAATTATTAATTATTTGCATTCGCACTGATATTATTATGCTTCATATGGAGCATGTAGATTATTTGATATTATTGTTTTCATTTCGTATTGTGATAAAACTATAGACACGTTGTGAATGACTTATTATATTTTCAATTGATATAGGTGTTTCTGGTATAAGCATTGCATTTCTTGAATGATTATTATCAAATATAGAAAAAAAATTGAAATTATCTTGATTTGAGGAAAAAAACTGTCAAGAATAATATATAGAAAGAACTTTTTCCTAAATTCAAATGGAAAATAACAGGTAGAGGAAAAAGAATTAACAAAGTACAGAGATAAGCTTCAACCTTTGTGAGTCTGGTCTGTTGCTTGATATCATATATTCGAATAGAAATGGAATGATTGTTATTCAACTTTTCAAGCTTAATCATATATAAAATATCAAAAAATGAAGAATTTCAAATCTGAATGACTTTCTTACTTTGTTAACATCCATGATTCATGCTGCTATACTGAATTACTTTCAAATAAACATTTCCACTAGTGCCTTGATGAAATATAAGAAATTGACTTGAACAAAATAATTGAAATTATGAGTCCATTATGAGGAATGCGACCCAAGGAAAGAAGCTTAGGCGCCTTCACCATGTCACGATAAAATAGATGGTTAGTCCATCCATATCAATTTATAAGGGGTAATGCTTGGCTTAATAGTCTGCGAGAGGTAATATTCGAATAGGCACTAATAGTGTAGGGGTAACTGAAAGTACGAGACTATATTCAAAGATAACAATAATATTTATTGAAGCATGAAACATTATGAGTAGTGATGATAAATATGAATAAAAAATAATTAATACAAAGACCTAATAACAACTTACATTATAATGACCATTACGACGAGTTCTTGTCAAGTCAAGAGTAGCCCCAGACCAGACTAACTTCGGAACCCTCACATCCAATATTTATACACATCATTTTATTAGATTTGCACGTTTCTCATGAGAGTTCCTTGGTCAGTATTCATAGTTCAATGTCAACGGATGATTTGATTAAGGTAATGTTTATGAAACCCTCATGGTTCGAAATTACTAATATACCCTATGTTCTACTCGTGACAATATACTTTGAACTACAGGAAAGGTGAAAGAAGTACACCACAGTGAAATGTAGCACTTTTGAGAAGCCGATTTTTTTCACAACTAATAATTTTGAATCATCATTCTACTGTTCTCAACGTGCGAACTGTGACTAGACTGATATTTTTTTCTGTTTTTAGGGAAGAGTGAGAGAATGTCTAGTGAATCTTTTGACGACGTGCGGTCAACGAGTCGGTCTTCCTAAAAGTCCTTCGGTAATAGCTACTTTATCCGTTCCGAACAGCACCTCAACCCGTATTCTTTCCAGGTTATATTCAGTCAGACTTCCGACATCATCGAGAGACAATCGAGCATGGCTTCTAGCACCGAAGAAATGTCCGGCGGAAACAACGACATGAGCGGTGGGTCCAGACGGGACGATGCTGCAACTGAATTCGGCGTTTTCAAAGACTTTGATTTCCTGGAATATGAGAGCGAAAGCATAGAGGTTTGACTTTCAGAACTGGTAATGTATTGGCAGGAGTTTATCGTTGGCTTTCTAGGGTGAGAGTACTGATAACTTCAACTGGGGAGTACGCCGTAGACCGTTAAGTCAAGGCGAAGACGACCAGACTGTTACAAAACAGCTCGAAGATAGTTTCAGCGAAAAAACACCCATTTTGACAGTCCGAAAGGTACACATATGTCCTTTTAATCATAATGTGAGTGGTCGCTTTCAATGTTCCGCTTCTTTTATATATGCTCGAAATTATCAAAGTGTGAATGCGATTGCATGTCTTGTTTTTACTTTCAGCGAATGTTGGCCGAGGAATCGTCTGATGATGAAGTTGGCTCAGAATCACCTTTGGATGAAATTGCTATCGCTCCTGAATTCGATAATAGTATGATCGATAGCAGTTCTATGTTTCCCCCGTCCAGTTTAGCTTTGAGGGAAAATACTTCTCAGGTTCAATCTAGTGCACGATCTGATACCAGGTAGGTACTTTATATTTATATTTCCACCTCAATTTCAGCATATGTTCAAATGCAGATGAATAATTCGAGTTGTTTCGAATCTCTGTAGTGTGTCCGAGATAGTGAAAAATTCCGGCAAATAGGATTTCAAAATGCGTTTGGACTAACGTTATTGTAGCCAGTCAGCCATCGGAAAATATGAAAGATACAATGACATGCGATGGATAATCAAGTATTCAACTACAGACTCTTTGCCACACCCTCCTCAATCATTAAAAAAATGTTTTATACTACTTGAGCCTGCTGAGCTGTCAATTTGGAGTGGTCCAGTTGAATACTTGATTATCCATTGCTTTTATCTGTTATATTTTGTGCTGGTTGAGTGGGTTATGCAAACTTCTGGATGGTATAGGCTCGTATATATTTTTTTAGTGGTTCAAGTGCAGGTGATTTGGGTGAAGTTACACCGTGCAATGCTTCACCAAATTTGTCCTCTGCGATGAATTTGAGAGCGATTTCTCGGAATGACGTTCTAGAAAATTGGACTACATACATACAGACCAATATGCTGCAGACCCCTGCTAATACTCTTCAGTTCTTCCATCAGTTTCAAAAATTAGTTGTGGTAAGTTGAAAGAACTTACAGATACAACATTCGGTAAAACATTTATAGGATATACAAAGTGATCAACTTCAACATATGGACATTTTTTAATCGATTGTTCCCATCAAATTGAGTTGAAATAATGTGAGAATGAAAACATATGACAAAAGTTCCCGCCATTCATAAATTCAAACGATATGACATTAACTTATCAAGCTTGAGACTGACAACAAGTCTGGTGGGGTTATAAACGATACAAAATGTCGTTGCACATCACATGCACCCATTTCTGTTCTATTCTTGAACAGATTTCCATTAATAGTACCATACTGTCACAATCATATCACGATACTCCCTCGATATAATACTAAAAATGAATGACCCCAATTATGCAATAGCTTATAACCGAATGTATAATTCCTTAATAGGTGGTTCACAGGCATGCTTCACCAACATAATATTAATTGGGGACTGCTTAGACACTCTGAATGAACTGGACAGTCAGAACAGACTGACTAGCTTAGGTACCAGTATATACAGGGTATGAGGATAACGAAGTGGCAGATTCACTTGCCCGAGCAGGAGCAAGTGAAGTTCTGAATGAACTAAAACCATTTTGTGGCATTGCGAAGGCTATACAAATGTCAAGCATCAAATCATGGATGCAAATCAAATCTCAAGAATGGTGGAGCAATGCGCATATGGAAAGACACAGGCAAAGGAGTTTATTAAAAAATCATCGCGAATATTCAGTTTATCTACTGAGTCAGAAAAGAAGTTCAACTAGAAAATATAAGTGGGACAAGACATCGTATGCTCATCAAACACATGAGAACAATGGGAAAGGGAGAAAACAGTACACTTCCTTTGCTACTGTGAAGGCTTGTCGATACTAATGTTCCTTACGCTAGGAAAGGAAACATCTAGTGCCCAAAGATACACAGAGAATCTAATAAAATATCACCTATGACGGGGATAATCAAATAACTCTGAAATTATGTCGATTTCGTAAACACAATGGTTCTGAAAAGGTCGGGTTGTGGAGGCAATTAACTTGAAGGCCCCATTCTAATCTAGTCTAATCTAATATTGATTGACGAAACGAAAATGATTCTGACAATGATTGCTTGATAGTTGTGGATATTGACGATGTCAATTTCAAACAGTAGTTTGTGTAAAATCAAGGACAATTGTAGAACAATCAATTTCATGCAATGAATTCTTCTTTGGTGTCAGATGTGTATATCTGCTTGTTTTCATGAGTAGATCTGAGAATTCTTGAATAGATCATAAATTCTTCAATTCATTCTTCATGTTTGCAAATAGGTAATATCCATATTTTGTATCCTCACAAAAATCTCTATCCATACAAACATTTCTCTACGAACAAGCAACCTCAGATAGTTCGGAAATTTTAGTAACGCCATATTTTCCCTATGTTGATTTAGATCACGTTGTATTGAAAATAACAAGGGCTTGGTCGACCACAATCAATATTATTTTCGACTGTATGGTCCTATTTTCTGAGGCTACATAAGAAAAATTTATGTAATCCATTATTTCAAGGATATATGCTTGTCAGCCATCGAGGTCACAAGAGAATCCTGTTCCTACATGTCCCAGTCGGCAGTGAGCGGTCTACCTACCATCAAGCTAATCGGCTCCAGACTTTCGTCCATGATCGACATCATCAGCTTTCGTGTTCTACCGGGAAATTTGATTTGGTTCAACACGTTAGCCATCAGCAACTCGAAGTTTTTCGAGACTTTGAAGTATGGCATGTTGCAAGTGCAGGAACATTTGGAAACGTTTTGTGATAAAAGGGAGCAAGCAGCCATGGTATAGCTACTCTGAGAATACATGTCTGAGAATATGATTTTTTCATGGATTTTTTTTTTTTTTAGTTTTGTGATGCTGTCAAGACTACTTTGAAATTAGAACAACTTAGTGGCCAACAATCCGATTTTCATCACGAACAGTATCTGCTCGATTTAGGTAAAGCTCTGTACAAGCTTTATTTTCAACTTTTGCTGTTGATTGAAGCTGGCAATAAGATGGTGGTGACTCTGCATGGCAGTTTGAAAACCGCTGATGTAAGTACCAACTCAAGTGAATGATTAAGATATTCCCATTCTATCTTCCCTACTACATTGTTTACCACTCATTAAGTCAAAAAAATATCACATTTTCAACATTTTTTATGACGAAAATTACCTTTCAGTGGTGCTAGAACTCAATTCATGTTCCCATATTAAGTTTGGTCACAAATTATGTACCTAGCTTTCAGATATTTAGATGTTTAGCTGTTATATCTTGGCTTATTCATTTGTTATCCTAACCCTAGAAAATGTACAAACTCCTATTGAAAAGTTCATAATCAAAAATTTTTCATGTTTAAACACTACTGTGTCGATTCTGACAGATTCAGCAGTTGAAGACGAAAAGACGTTGACGTTGCTTCTGCTCCGACATCGACAACAGGAGTATCAATTTTTGCCGTTTTGTTATTCAAATCTTTGCTGCAATTTATATTTTGTGAGAAATTAAGAGTTTCGAATTCATTTTCAATTATTTCTGACTTGATAATCGGAAGATGTTCTGTAGGAATGGCATCTTGTTTCAAATATTTGTGATTTTTTGGAGGTGTGTAATTCAAGAACCGTACTTTCGCAGTTGTTTGGGAACATTTTTCATGAACATGTTTTGAAGAAATACGTGCTGTAATATGAATGTGATGATAATATGATAGGTGAATACTTTGGAATGAGGATATAAGGAATATAAGGTAGGTACCATAATTTGAGTTTATATTCTGTCGGCAGCTAGCTCCCATCGTTTCATTAGGTCTCCATTCTTGGAAAAGCAGAAAAATTCAATATCTGTGTCTTTTGTATGTTAGTTGGAATTTCCATAACCAGAAACGAAACAAGTAGGCATTTCGGAATTATTTCATTCAATTTTTGTACTCATATAATATCTGAAGTTCGAGACATCAATCACGAAAACAAATAACAGCAACAATGACAGTTATATCCCAGCTGACGTCATGCGCGGAACAAGACGAGTTTGAGCTTTCTGTTGAGCACACCATCTTCTCCTTCCACTATGAATGATACCATTTTCAATTCGTTGATGTTATTTGATATTGAGTAGGACCTGGAAAGTCATCAGTTCTGTGATAAAACATTACTGTTCGCGCTTTATCAAAATGATGGCTTAGGTAGGATCTGTTCATTCATTGATGATACCTATGTGGCTCAAGAAAAAACTCTCACCTGATGTTGTTGGTAGGTCATTATTTGTTGCCTCAAGCTCACGTTATCGTTGAGAAAGGAGTGTTAAAGAATTCACATACCTCCAGCTCTTGAAGAAGTGCATAATATAACAACAAACCAACAACTAACGAACTTGAAATTAGACAATCAACTCAAAATTATAGTTTTTCTGGAGTGATGTTTGAAAACTTCAACCTAAAATTGTCCATTGTGTGTATCACTACCTCTCGACTACTAAATAGGTTTCAGTTAGAACGACAATGAATGTGCAAGGACTCCCAAACTGTCGTTCGTAATATCGAGTCATGTCTCTTGGTCTTAAGAAACACAAGTTAAGAGTGTGTAATATATCTGACAATTTCTGAATGCGCACACTCCACTGAACCACTGTTTGTTGATAATATCAAAAGAAATTTTGAGAGTATTTATCAGATAGTGCTCTTCCAATATCGTGAGTTATTTTCGGATGATTTTTTTAAACTCAATGAAATTATTGGCAATCTTCTGGGACCGATTAGGGTATGGAAAACATTCTGATAATATCGTCTAAGTAATGATCTTTGAATTTCTAAGCTTATCAAGCATCGAAATGTCATTTCGGACCACAGCCAACTTCAGGTATTTTAATAAAATGCAATTTGATAGCCAATTGATGAACGAATATTAAATTGTGATACATAGTCGAATAGAGAATTTTAAGGCAAATAAGATAGGTCACAGAAATATACAGGGTGCCGTTTGAAAAAAGAAAGTTGGGTCTACTTTCGATCAAACAGGTGGTTGAAGAAAATTGTCATTGGGTTCAAGGGAAGCGCTATTATCGATAATATTACCCTTGTGAATTTCAATTTTTTTTTTATCCTGTGTCACCCGGCATTTTCTTTCCTTCAGAACGAGGGCCTTGAATCGTATGAATTGCAGTGGTGGGAGTTATGTTTCCTATTGTTCTTTTTTTTTCAGTTCAAAGATGTGACCATGGACGTTCTTTCCATAAAACATGCCCTCACGAGGGCATACGAAGACACTGATGCGGACGGGGGAATATCCTCGGGAGTGACTGGCAGCGTCAGTTCCGAGAATTTGCTCGCGAATTTGTGCAGATTGATCGAAAACGAGAAATGGACATCTGTCATTTTGTATTTCAAATTTAACAAGGAGGAGTTCATGAAAGAATTTGACGAGCTGTGCGATAGAGAGAACAACGTGATAACGATATTGAATATTTATTGTAAGAAGCTAGTTCATGACAAACCAGGTGAGTCAATGAATTGAAGACAATATTTATTATTTTATTTACAATTATATATGTAATGTTGTCATTACTAACGTCATTGAAGGTTGGGAAGTGTCACATCACACACCTCTACTTCCCGAACTCACTTCCAGCCCTCACTCATGTAATAAGTCAGGTATATTCAGAACGAAACATAGATACATTAATTTTGATCGAAATATGATTGTAGCGAATGAATGTAGATACGAGAAGAGCGTAATTAGGTGTTTTGTAGCTTTTATAGATTTTTATTACTCAAAACTTGATTGACAATATCAAAAATTCAAAATCAGAATTCAATTGTATCAATAAAAAAAATACTCATGACAACGACATAATACAAAGTGATCACCTTCAGATCCAACATCCTCCCACCTTTTGCAATGTGAATTGCAAAACTAACTCAAAATTTGAAACGGTCCGGGTTCTTCACTGTACGTCCATGCCTTGTCGTGATAGTAGGAATCTCTACTATCTCTTCATTCTCATTTATAGTTTCAAGATGTCTCCTTTTTTGGATTTGTTTCTTCCCTCTCTTATTCGTCTTCTTCTCGTCCATATTCTTCTCTTCGGTATTCGCTTTTCCCAATTGATTTTCTCCGACTTCTTGTGACGATACTTCAAGTGGAAATAATCTCTGTAGTGCTGGAATTAATTCTTTTTTTCCTCCGACTTTTACTCTGGCTACTCTTGAAATGTTGTCCTTTCCAGGGTATAGTTCCATAATCTTCGCTTGGGGCCAGGTAACTCTTTTCATGTGGTCTACTTCTAGAAGAACAATGTCACCTGCCCAAATATTTATCACGTTCTTCGTTCCTAGATTCACCAGGTTTGCTAGGTACTCCTTCCTGAAACGAACTCTAAAATTGTCTCTGATTCTTTGTAAATATCTGTATCTCTTCAGCAGATGGTTTCTTTCAATCAAATCCAGATCAGGTACTTCATTGCTGGGAATGCTTTGTATGAAATGTAATGGGGTCAACGGTATCATATCGTCATCATCTGAAATATAGGTCAACGGTCTTGAATTGATTGTTGCCTCGCAGTCGCATAGTACAGTCGATAGTTCTTCGTAACTGACAATTGACTTTCCTAAATTTCTCCTGAGTAACTCTTTCACCATCCTTACAACTCGCTCCCACCATCAAATAATGTAGCAAATGAATGTAGATACGAGAAGAGCGTAATTAGGTGTTTTGTAGCTTTTATAGAATTCAATTGTATCAATAAAAAAATACTCATGACAACGAAATAATATACAAAGTGATCAGCTCCAGATCCAACAATGATGGTTGTAAATAAAATAGTATACAAACCTCGGTAGGAAGTTTCATTCCTGTCTCTAAATTATAGCTAACTAATCTCACGACAGGAATGAATCACTTCCCACCTTGGTGTGTAATATACTATTACGATTTCACAAATAGGCGGTTCAAAATAAGCGATACGCTGTCTTGCTGATATTCAAGTAACCAATTGAAAGTACATTGATTGTTTGTTTACATTCAAGCTTCCATACATTTTATCGAAAGTTCAGTCACTGTGATATTTTTTCTAGTTTGCATTCTTCAGTAGAGTATCTATAGTCATTATTGCTTGGTTTCACAAGTTTTCTGCATTTCACAGAAAATTATGATTTCAATCAGTGTATAATTGAAAAATATTCTCCCAACTTTGAGGTTGAATTCAGTTTCATTTTATTCCCAGTGGAGTTACAGAAGGAAATTGAAAAATCAAATCCTTACTCGAAGGCAAAGCACATTATACAGGGTGTTTCAAAAAACCTGACCCCCTTGCTAGGGTAGGTAGAACACTGCAAAATAAGTTGGGTTTGCTCAGTGAAAAAATTTCGTAACGGCAGCCGTTTTCATGATACAAGGTGTTGAAAAAATGATTTTTTTACACATTTTTCACGATTATGTCGAAACTACTGGCAACATTGTATTGAAATTTTGTATGGATGTTTCTTGAAATCTGACACATCGCTTGAATTTGTTTTTATATCTGACTCTCATAGAGGGGGGTAGTTACACGGTTCGTACCGAGTAGTTTAGAACATAACTTTTTTGAGTTAGATTTTTCAATCAAAAAATTTTATCGTTTGAAACGTCTTATTGTAATGTGATAATTAAATTTCCGATGAAGAAAAACATTCCATGTCTGACTTGCTGACAATTTTTGTAACGTTGTAGTTGAAATTTGTCACGTAATAGAAGATAACTTGTTTTTTTCTGTGACGGAAAAACAAATTGGCATTTCATCTCTGTTGGCAGGTTATAAAATGTAACTTTTCATAAATTACTTTTTTCCCAGATATATATCACATATATATATACACTGTTGATGGCTTTTGTTGTGCTATAGTTCCGAAAAATAAGTTAATAATACCGTCTCCGAGAAAGAACTGCAAGTCTTTTTATCTCCATTCGACTTCGCGGTTACGTATACTACTAAAAAACCATTAAATTCGAGATTCTTTGAAATAAAATCACAGAATCAGACTGACAGAAGTGACATCAGATATTTGATAACTTCAAAAGAATGATAAAGATGCCTACAACGCAGGTGTCCCTACTGTTAAGAACTTAAAATTTCATGTCGATAATTTTTAGATTTCAAAATAATGCAATATCTTCTCAATATTGATTCGTACTTTCTTCTGACACAGGAAAAAAAGTGTATTACACACGGGAAAAATATTAGATTTTAGTTCACGGTTTTTTGTCTCTCTCCGCTACGCAACGGGAGACAACATAACCTGGAGCTAAAATTTACTACTTTTTTCCAGTATAATAAATAACAATTGATTGATTCTCTGTTTTTGGAAAATAGCGTGTGTAAACTTTTTTATACCTTGAGTGTTTTATTTTCAGAATATTTTGTGATAACAAATCAAGAGTCCGACTTGGCGGACGTTTTTGGAAGACTGTTTCAAGTATCAGCGGCTGTGTCTGATCTAGAAGGGGTGTTGAAAGATCAGCCTAGTAAATCTTCAGATACACAAACCAAATAATCTAGAGGTAGATGAATGTTATTTCTCTATATCGTATTATAATAATTATATATTGCATTTCCAATTATAGTGAAGGGTTAATGCAATTCTATTTTTGAAATCGGTTGTTTTCTCTAGTTCACCTAGTAGAATTCATCACGGTGTTCTTTGGCACCTTGTATATAAGAAGGTGAAGAAGAGTTCCAGTGTTTTTTGAAATACCTGTTGATCTATCAGATAGGTATATTTCAGTTTGATGGTGCATCTCCATCTTTCTACTCAAGTAAAACTGAACATTTTTTTAAATTTTTTTTCTTTTTCAGATACTTCTAATAATATTTTACCTATTATAAATGAATCACCCTATATCATTCTTATTGATTATGCGAATGAATAGAGTGGCATTAACTCTCTGATGGCTCTAATTATCATAAGTTGTGTAAAAATAAGGTATTTATAGAATTTTTATGTAAGAATACGACAACGAATAAATATTATATTTATTTGTTTCTTTTATTTCCACCTTCTCGACGTATTTTTGATCGTTTGCAATTAGACAGAAAATAATTAATGACTCCCCTTGGAATACAAGAGACGGCTCGTGAATATTTGAGATGGGTAGGTATTCATGATCGAAATAGTTCCTAATTATTCTCTAATCTAACATTCAACTAAATGAAATGAAAAAAAAAATCTTGGTATGAGACTCCCTAAAAAAAATCTGTTGAAGAAATAAAAAAATGGTGATTTCATGTTCATCTATGTGAAAAATAAAACAAAAATCTACAGAGAATTTGACATTTATAAACGATGAACAATGAACATATTAAATAGGTAACAGTTCATATAGGCATGAAATATAAGGGAGATTACAGATAACACTGATTACTGATCAAAGTCAAGAATAAAACAGTGGACACCGCTATAACTAGACTGCTGACTGTATGTCCCACGAATATAGCAGGGATTCCCTTTCGTGCGCTTCAGGAGATGGAAAAACCAACGATTCGAAAATCTCATCCAAATTGCTCACCTGAAAAAAACTTCTGAATTCGAACTGTTATACATGAAATCGACTTATGCAAGTGCAGTTCGAAAATATTCGAGTTTTTGACCTCGAGTTAGTATCTGTAACTCGGCAAAATCTGTGGGTAGATATATTCTACTTTCACAAAAAGAGAGAAACTCAAAGTCATTACCACAATAGTTCATAAAATGAACGAAAATGGTAGATAACGAAAAAAAAACTACTTTCCTGGCTATATGCCACGCAGAACATTGCATTACATCCTCCCGAAATCTATGCGATAATTTGAATAGATTAATAAAATCGCAAGTGTTTCCTTCCTAAACGCCGAGCTGCGCCTAAGTGGTTCAGGAACGATTGACTACCTGCAGACCGGTTTCGAGCTGTTGGCTCTCATCAGTGTAGGGCTGTCCCATATAGCTTCTTGACCGCTATCTGGTGCGAACCTGACCCGTAAACGCAGCTTGGCATTTATACTCCATGAGGCGTTCAACGTCCGCGAAATGAACGCGAACGCCGAACGCCACGAGAAAGAAAAATTCGAAAGTCGTCTCCACAAGTTTAATGGTAATAAGTTTGCAGTCAATCCTGCTCCAATAAGGTTTGAGGACATGCTTCGGCAAATCAAATGGCCATCATCAGTCAAAAAAAGAGTACACCAAAGTACATATCTTGGACTATTCAGAAGATTTTACCTAAGTAATTCGACTCAGAGCCAGGGCGAATGAGTATTTGTTTTGTTCGTTTTAAACTAAGGGTTGAGTCCATTTGAAAGCAGTATATTATTATTGCAAGATTTTGGAAATTCAAACTTATTTACTTATGAAAAGAGGATTCCTGTCTATTCTTTACTCCGCAAATACTGCATTTTGTGGTTAGAAAACTCAGTCTATGAAAAATAAACAAAAACTTAAACACTAAATTATTGCACAACTAAAAATGCATCGTCATCAGAGATCAACTGGTGACCTGCTCGCTTACGTCTCACATATATGGCAGCAATCTATTGAAAAATATGGTGAAACCCGAGGTGAAACCTTAGCCGTGGCACTTGATATCTCCAAAGCATTCGATCGAGTCTGGCACCACGGACTCCTCGCCAAGCTTCCATCTTATGGCTTGCCTTCCCAGCTATGTTCTCTGCTAGCTAGTTTTCTCTCGAACAGGTCTCTCCATGTAGTGGTCGACGGAGTTTCATCTGACTCTCTTATCATAAATGCTGGTGTTCCGCAAGGATCAATTCCAGCACCAACACTATTTCTACTCCATATCAACGATTTCTTGGAAGCAACTTCATGTCCAGTACACAGCTTTGCGAATGATAGTACCCTCCATACCGCCTTCTCTTCCAGGGCTACAATACCAGCCAGGCAAATCAGAAACGAACAAGGGATAAATTTTGACTACATGAATATGGACTTGGCAACAATTCTCGAATGGGGATCCAATAATTAACTTGGTAGATTTCAATGCAACCAAAATACAAGCATGCCTTTTCTCTAGAAAAGCCGATTTCGGGCCAGGAGCTATTTCACTTCCAGTCAGCTGCTTATGATCTATAAGGCACAGATCCGACCTGTCCTGGAATACTGTTCCCATATTTGGAGTGCTGCACCCAAACTACTCTGAAACTGTTGGATTCTGTCCAAAAGAGGGCAATTCGTCTCGTGGGTGATGCCTCGCTTACGAACTCACTCACTTCTCTGGAACACCGTAGAGAAGTTGGTGATCTGGCTCTATTTTATAGATATTTTCATGGACGATGCTCTTCTGAAATATCAACGATTGTTCCTCCATTGGCAGTCCCCGCGAGATTAACCCGTCGAGTTGAGTCTTCGCACCCCTTCGTGGTCACTTTGGAGACCTGCAGAACATCTCTTTCCAAAGACTCGTTCATCCAACGAACAGCAAGGCATTGCCAAGGGAGGTGTTCCCCGATCGAGGCATATAACCTCAAAAAATTTAAGAACACCAATTCCTACCTTATTTTCCTTGGTTCTCACGATGTTCTCTGAACATTACAGGATATCCATTTTCGTGGGAACCAGAACATAAGAAAAAAACAAGTTCCGTATTGTTTACAGAAGTTGGTCCCGCTTTGAGGACAGCTATGTTTCATATATGAGTAGTAGATATATGAATTCACCCGAGATTTCCGGATTGTGGGATACGACGTGTAGCGTTCTAGATAGTAGATATTTCTGTGGCCCATCCATCCTGACGAGCCGCCTTTGTAGTGAAACTCTGTAGCTTCTTTCTCAAAATGTCAGATGTTATCTCAATTCTTAATGGCAAACCTTTCGTGAAAATGTCGAAGAAATTCAACAATTATCAGCGTTGCGGAGGCGTAACTTATGTTACTGACATTATAAATAATTATAGGTAAATGCTAGCAAGTCTTCTTCTTCGCTTTCCAGGTGTATACGGGGACCTTTATTGACGATCTGATAGCTCTGTTTCTAGGCGTATCTGCTTTTTTGAGTTCGTGTGTGTCATAAATAATAATCTTTCTTCTGTGACGGGAAAACAGTTCGTAATTCCATCTCTGTCGACAGGTTATAGAGTCACGTTTCATAAATCAATTTTTTTCTGTGACGGGAAAACAGTTTGGCATTTCATCTCTGTTGGCAGGTTATAAAATGTCACTTTTCATAAATCAGGTACTTTTTTCCCGTGGGAAAAAAGTGAGTACCTTTTCCCGGATATATATCACATATATATACTGTTGATGGCTTTTGTTGTGCTATTGTTCCAAAGAATGAGTCAATAATACCGTCTCCGAGAAAGAACTGCAAGTCCTTTATTTATCTTCCAATAGACTTCGCGGTTACGTATATGAAATGATTTGTCAAAATTTAATAATTAATGCTTTCAAATATTTTATTATTCATCAGTTTATTATAATTGTATAGTTTTAGATATTATTGTTAACTATACTTCCTTATACCAGAACTTGATTCTGACTGGAAGTAACATTTTCAATAAATAAATAAATAAATAAATAAATAAATTAAACAACCACTAAATTCGCAATTTTTTGAAATCAAATCACAGAATTAGACTGACAGAAGTGACATCAGATATTTGATTACTTCAAAAGAATGATAAAGATGCCTAAAACGCAGGTGTCCCTACTGTTAAAAACTAGAAATTTCACGTCGACAATTTTCAGATTTCAAAATAATGTAATATCTTCTCAATATTGATTCGTCCTTGCTTCTGTCACAAAAAAAATAGTGTATTATACACGGGAAAAATATTAGATTTTAGCTCACGGTTTTTTGTCTCTCTCTGCTACGCGTCGGGAGACAACACAACTTTTTTCCCTTGTATAATAAATAACTATTTCTTATTTCATTGACTTCTAGGTATTGCAGATGTCAGTAACTCTAATTAATTGATATTCAATGAGATATTTTGATGTATGTGCATAGCCAGTAGCATTATTAGAAATTTATGGAAATATGGTGTTAATCTTTCAGAATAATCTGAAGAAATTATCATCTGATTTGTTTGCCTTGATTTACCTATAAATAATTCCTACATCATATATTTGCGAACAATGAAAATATTACGTCGTATCTTCAAATCAATTATAGAAGTCAAAATCTTGAAAAAAAGCATAATTCGAGAGCCTATTATTCACCTACTATGAGTAGTATATACTAAAAAAGTTGAATTGACAATCAATTATTCATAATCCGTTATACAATTTTCGTATTTCTAGGAGCGGTTCCTTCCACCTGAAAAGTATCAACTATTAAAATAATCGTGATGCTCTGATGATTCAAAGAAATGCCTCGTCATTTCACGTATTGTCGGCAAACAGCGTAACAGCGTAACTTCCATTTTCAGCCGTTATTCTGTTTGCCGGAGGGTTGATGATGGAAAAATATCCTTTCTGCATATGCATAAGAAGGGAGACTATTTTTCGCCTAAATGAACCTTCTTCCTAGAAAGTTTATTTTTTAGAAAATTACTTGAGAGAACAGAAGACACTACTGCTTCTAAACATCCTAAACTGACTCGGCCTAAATGAACGAAATTTAGAGTAACGCTGTTTGCCGGCAATACTTGAAATGACTAGGCATTCCAAAGAATGACGGATTTCACTGTTTGACGCCGACATACCTATATATTCCCTTACACCATCAGAAAGTAGAGATTTCAGCAAACAAGAAGCCAACCGTTTTGTTTGTTCATTTGAAAAGGGTGCTTTTTTGATAATTATTAAGTCGAAAAAAGGTGAAAAAATGAAAATTTCAAAGAATAAAATTACATTGTATTTGGGATATGAAGAGATAAGTTTTCATACAATTTCGTGAAAAAGTTTTTTTTGTGATATAAAAAAACGAAAACGCGGTTATTTGAACTTCTCACATTCTGAGGTTATGTGAAAAAAGTGTTAGGACAAAAGTTATTGATGAATTTATTTCCTACAACTTTTCCGTTTCCATAGGACTTAATTTTGACGGAAATCTGGAAAATCAGTTTTTTATTACCTTTTAAAGCTCAACCCTTACCTCTTCCCAACCACAGATCGTCTATAAATTATTTTTCTCTCTCAGTTTTGCCATATATTCTCTTCTTTTTCCATTGGGTTTCATCCTACTATAATTTTGTCACTTTTTATCATTTTCAAAGGCTCCAGCACTGTTCTAAAATGGGAAATAGGTAGATACAAATGAAATTTTTTTGAAAATATATGGATATTTGCAAAATTTCCCTCTATTGATGTGTTCAAATGGAACACTAACATTCAATTATTCATAACCTATTCTGAAGAATTTCGAATTCCATTTTTGAAGTAATATAAACTACTCAACACTAATTTCGTCGCACACCAAAATGTCGCCCCTGTTATAATGTGAATAACTTTTTTCAGTTTAGAACAATTTGAAATTGGTTCACACTGTTTGATAGTCCAGTCCTTCAGCTATAATCTCGTACTTCATTGAAACATAAGGGTATTCACATGAAATCTCTACATGGTGTTTTCCGACACTGTGCAAAATTTCGGAATATTCAAAAGGTTCTCGAATGGTGAAAACATTTTTTTTCTCAACTTCGACAACAGAGGCATGAAGATGATCTCATTACCTCGAGATGTTTCGCGAATCAACTTCCTATCTCTCTTATTTACAGAGTGATCTCAAAAAATCAACTTTTTGGTTTTGCAGCCATAACTTTTTTCCACGTCAACCGATTTTAAAAATCTTAGGCTCATTTTGAAGATAAAACTTCAGATGAAGAGATCTGAATATCAGAATTGACTCAAGATGGCTATCAGAGATCTAGAGTTTTCTTGAAAGTGACCCAAATCTGGAACGCCCTCAGAATCTCGGTTGGGAGGAGAATTGAATGAAAATCAACTTGTTCTCGGAAAAACAATTCATTCTGGATGCGTCCATATTTTCCTCGCTCTCAGTAGTCAAGAATTGTGCGTGAGAAAACACAATTGAAACATGTTCTTGCAAAAATATCAGACCGTTTCTCCTCTGTAATGCATGGCCCGTAACCAACGTTACAAGAATCACAATGGACTGACAAACCCGACTAGCTAAGGCTCATCATAAAACCAACAACCCTATGCGGTCTCGCATTGTCATCAACGAGAACAAAGTTGTCACCCACATTCGCGTTAGATGCGGCATCGAAACTATCGAAATCTGTTTATGATTCGAAAACGACCTCTAACCTGACTTGTCAGTCACTTACTCTGATTCTTGTAACGTAGGTTACGGGCCATGCATTACAGAGGAGAAATGGTCTGATGTTTCTGCAGATTTCCTGAATCGGTTGAAGTGAAAAAAAGTTATGGCTGCAAAACCAAAAAGTTGATTTTTTGAGATCACTCTGTAAATAAGAGAGATAGGAAGTTAATTCGCGAAATATCTCGAGGTAATGAGATCATCTTCATGCCTCTGTTGTCGAAGTTGAGGAAAAAAATGTTTTCACCATTTGAGAGCCTTTTGAATATTCCGAAATTTTTTTGTACAGTGTCGGAAAACACCATGTAGAGATTTTATGTGAATACCCTTATGTCTCAATGAAGTACGAGATTATCGCTGAAGGACTGGGCTATCGAACAGTGTGAACCAAATTCAAATTGCTGTGAACTGAAAAAAGTTATTCACATTATAACAGCTAGGGGCGACATTTTGGTGTGCGACGAAATTAGTGTTGAGTAGTTTATTTCATGTTAAGCACTACTATAAGTTACTGCCTATTGGTAGTTATATTAAATACGAATTGACACTATTGGCCCAGTGCCGGCTGAATTATAGGCAAACGATTACAATATGCCATACAATGGGCCGACGTTCAACCAGTGCAGCTTGACCATTGCCAGCAATCTGCCGATCTATCATGTACTGGGCCAGAAGGCGGCCAGAGATTTGATGTTTGCTATGTTCTTACGTGAAGACCTGATGACAACATCTATACATACAACATACTAAACTGGTCAACATTGATAACGTCGTGGTCAAAGTAGAATAACTGACGAATTTAATTACCAATTTGAAATTGGTGTTCACCGATGATTAGCCTAATCTCTTGAGAGTTTGTTGTGGCAATATGAAACTTCTGTAATTTCAGATGACATTATTGCTACAGGGTGATGATTGAATGGGTGTAAAATTGCATCGTGGTCGTCACCTTACCGTTTGAACAGATAATTTTTTTATTTTTTTTCTCACCTGTATCCTCTTGATTGATGCTTTCTATCGAAATGTATTCGGAATTCTTAAATTCAGGACTTTGATAATCGTGTTATGAATATTCATTCAAAATGATGCATTTTTTCGACGATTAATTGAATGAAATTGGAAGTTGGAATTGTTTTTCGATGAATCAACATTGTATGAATAGTCGTCGGATATGTGATTGTGTTCGAACACAGAAAATTCTGAAGTAATCTATGCAAAGTGATACAAGAAATACTGAATGATGGAATGGAGAATAACATAGTCTTCAGTAGATGAAACATCATTTTCTCTGTGTTACTCGTGAAATAATGGAGTGTTACTTCGTCATGAGGATGTCTGGTGTCTGACCTCGAAATGGTTTTGTAATTTCTCGGATCGAAGGTCATATAATGAAGGTACGAATTTTTGAAAAAATGATGCATTTTCGTTAAGATAAATTATGAAATTCAATATATTACGATTGTAGGTCCAGAAGTATAAAATTTATATTTATTCTTGACGATGGATATACAAGCTGCGATAAAAAATATGTCCAGAGATTGTTCCGGGATGGAGAGAAATATGTTTGAACGTGATGACAACCGCTATGTTCCGAAAAAGAAATATAGTGTCGGTCATTGTCGAGAATTGTGAAATGTATAAATACAGTAACTTTCATGACGTTTTTACGAGGAAATATAATATATTGGATTGACTTTCATTCCAATATGTGAAGTCCCTTTCAAATTACCTCATATAAGCCTCATGAGAACTTACTGTATTAATCTACATTAGTATGAAAAACATTTTATCGAATCAATGACAATTCTGCAGTCTCTTTCATATTTCCTCGTATAAGCCTCATGAAAATAAGTTTCTTTGGAACATAGATATTTTCATCACGTTCAAACATATTCTTCTTCATCCCGGACAATCTGGACATATTTTTTATCGCACCTTGTATATCCATCGTCAAGAATAAATATAAATTTCATACTTCTGGAACTACAATTGTAATTGACTTTATAATTCATTTTAACGAAAATGCATCATATTGATTGAATAGGCGTACCTTCATTATATTATATGACCTTCGATCCGAGAAATTACAATACCATTTCGAGGTCAGACATCCTCATGACGAAGTAACACTCCATTATTTCACTATAGTAACACAAAGAAAATTATGTTTCATCTACTGAAGACTACGTTATTCTCCATTCCATCATTCAGTATTTCTTGTATCACTTTGTATAGAATACTTCAGAATTTTCTGTGTTCGAACACGATCACATATCCGACGACTATATATACCTACAAGGTTGATTCCTTGAAAAAGAATTCCAACTTCCAATTTCATTTAAGTAATCGTCGAAAAAATGCATCATTCCGAATGAATATTCATAACACGATTATCAAAGGTCTGTATTTGAAAATTCCGAAAACGTTTCGAGAGAATGCATCAATCAGGAGGATACAGGTGAGAAAGAAAAATAAAAAAAAATTATCGGTTCAAACGGTTAGGTGACGACTACGACGCAATTTTACACCTATTCAATTATCACCCTGTAGCAATGTTATCTGAAATTACAGAAGTTTCATATTGCCACAACAAACTGTCAAGAGATTAGGCTAATCATCGGTGAAAACCGATTTCAAATTGGTAAGGAAATTCGTGAGTTATTCTACTCTGAATTCAGGCTATATTTTGGACCACGACGTTATCAATAATGTTGACCAGTTTATATAGCGTTCCGCAAACTCCAACTCATGCACGCCGTCAATCCTATACGCCTGCTGACATGCCTCAACGAATCATTCGAGAAGAATTCGCACTGAAGAGTCCATCGAAGATAGCAAAAGTGTTCCGACTTTCCCCGTTCGCCGCATCAAATTTCACCTGTAAACGCCCAACGGCATATTTCTTCGCGCGTAAACGCACAGAACGCCAAGTACCAACGTCCGTCGATGTTCAATTTTCTTCGGCAAGGCCTCCGCGACCAAGTGTACTTGATCCTTATTACCATAAAATAAGGCACGTCATGCTGCCTTACTTGGACTCTGTGAACTTGAACTAAGGCCGCTGCTACTTAGTGCCATGTTTTTCGGAGATAAATCCTCGAATATTAATAAATAGCGTGGGAACCTACTGCACTGATATACTTAGTTCGTTAGGCTAATAAGTGAATAATTGTGGTGTATATAGAGACAAAAGTGGGCCGTGTGAAGTGAAATTATGAACGAGTGTGTTGAGGGAGTCTGTGAGATCGAAGAGTTCCATGGATTAAATCAGCAGAATTGAAGTAAGTCTTCATCGCTTTGTCAATATTTCTTTGCAATATCGTATTTGAACAATTATTGCTGAATTCTGTTGTGCTTCTTAGTCTTCTGTTATTCCTTCGGACTGAAAGATTTTTCGTGAATTCCCTTCATCTCGTTTAGCACATGATATTGGTAGACTACACTAACTTTTTTGGAAACTTGATCGAGTTCTTTCATGTGTGGCAATCTGGTTCCATTCACAATATTGCAGAAGTTTTGGTAGCTTAGAAATATTCAAGCTTTTTTCTCCGAGCTTCAACCTCTTGGCCCATCAACACTCTTGCACAGTACCTATTGATGGTACCTATGCTCGGCATTTCCGCTTCTTCTTCTTCTCTTTGGGTTTATTGGATTTCTGTCTCCTTTCGGTAACAATTTCTCCAGATCAGGTGAGTAACTTTTTCAAGAATATATACTTGGTTATGTAATAATATTATCACTCGACTCGCCACATAAGACACCGATTATCTATCACAATGGCATGAAGCCGAGTCATCAGTGTTCATAAGATTCGATCGTATGTACTCTTATCCAGCAAATCCGTTGCTGATCTGGCCTGGTTATCGGCGTAGAGATAAAAGAGCCTGGTATTTCTCACACATACACAGTTCATAAACCTCACATTAAATATTGGATTTCAATCCAGATCAGGTAATTAGAAAATTTTGGACTTGCACACACATTAACCTGAGTTTTGACCTGGAGACGCCATGTTTCTCCTCCCGTGACCAAAAGTCGAATCCAGCATTTCCGCTTGCAATATTATTGCCACATCTGTCCTTGTCTGGGTCCTCATTGCCCAATTTTTAGGGAACTATGAACAAAGAGAAAATCACGTATCATCAACCCCCCATCCTTTCTGTTCCATTTTCAAGACATGGATATCTACTAACCTTGAATTTTAGATATGCGACAGACCACTGATACCAGGAGTTCTGGTACAAAGAATATTGCCCTGATCTTATTCTCCTCTGATCTCGAAGGAAAGTGCGGAATACTTCAAATTCAGATATTCATTTTCCTAGACCTATATTCATCATAGCTTATAGTAGGGGTCCATAGTTCTGTTATTCGTGTGGCAAAATGCTATAGGTCTATTCTATGATTCACTCCCTCGATTCTGATCCTGATGTAGACCAGGAAGATCAAGGAATGTGAGATTCACTCTTGGTTCTCGTCGAGGTTCTTGTATATGAATATTCCAATCATATTTTCACAACATTCCTGAATGACCCAGGTTTATTTATATATTCAGATTTCTTCAATAGAGGAATAATGTCTTTTAGTTCAACCCTACAAGCAAAGTTGATTGAAGGTTACTATCGATTCCATCGTTATCTACTTCTTTTTGTGCAACTGGCTGTAAACTTTTTTTTTGCTTCAGTAATGAAGGCCTAGTAGAGCTGTTCCCCGAGGCATTTAACATCCAGAAATTTAAGAAGAACACCAATTCCTACCTCATTTCCCTTGGTTCTCACGATGTACTCTGAACATTACAGAATATCCCTTTTAGTGGGAACCAGAACATAAAAAAAATTGTGATTAACCCTTTTTCGACTGTGTATTCTTTTTATTCTCTTTCATTCAGTCACTCTCTGATGAGTTGAATGACTATGAAATTTCGTAGATTCATTTTCTATGATTATTATAATAATTATTCCGATTTTTACTTGATATCCTTTGGACATGCTTTTCTTCATTCTTGAGCAATACGACGCTTGTTCGCAAGCTTCACACATTAGTGTCTGTGAAAATTAATTAAATCGTTTAACTATGCGAATTAGACTTCATGTTGGGTCATTATTAATTTTAATTCGTAATTGCGGCATGTAGGTGTTTTCGAAATTCATCATTAAAGACAATGCTTTTTGCAATTATCGCATTCATAAATGCAATATGCATACATTGCATATATACAAAGAAGGAAACTTAATTAAACTATATTTTCTGAAAAGATAAAAAATCTATCAATTTGGTACACAACCTGCAAACGACTAATAAGAAGTATGATTGGGCATTGTCAGATTTTATACAGGGTGTGTGATGCCAGAATTCAATATGGTTGCCATGAGAACAAATTAAGTTTTGGATCTGGGTTAAAAATGTAATTATATTCGATAAAAAAAATAGTCGTTAGTTTTTCGACAATAATTTTCACATCAGATTAATATTCATCAGCATTAAACAACGTTATAGTCACTTACATTCAGACAGAATGAGTGACTTCCATAATTTATTTCGGTCAAATACAAAATTCGACTCTTTATGTTAAATAGTGTATATTTGAAATTCAATCTCCTGTCCTATTTGCAATTTCTCAATTTTGGTGAATACGCTTACGCCAAAATTGCTGTTTCAAACCTGCGCCATTTATTGAAGTCCGTTTTGAGAAGGCCCAAAGCATGAAAACGCAATGTTGGGATATCCGACAAACTTCGATACGAATCCCAGGGAGTGAAATATCTACTAGAATTCAGTTATCTTTGCCCAAAGGTTTATCCGAATTACTAACGACTTGGCACATTTTCATGAAATTTTTATGATGTTATTACCATCTTGAATCAGGTATCCTGAGGTTGATGACAACTATACCGGCTGTCTCAGAGGGTTTGCTCACTTCTTTACTTTTTTGCTTTGACCTGCAAGTAGGAGAATATAGGAAGAAGACGTGAAATTGAAGTTTCTAACAGATGGATGATGACAACTTCATTCAACTACCGGTTTATACCGAAACGACTTCTGATTCTCCTTTTGGCTTTTGTGTTGATGATTTGTAATAACTATGAAACGCTTGTGTCTGAATCTGGCTCTATTTGATTTTCGAGGATTTGCCTACTGATTCACCTATTATAAGTCACTAACTACCAAATATGATGATGGCCATATGAAGTCGTCTATGAATAGCTTCACTTCAACAAGATGATACAAAGCCGGAAATCCTAGAAAATTGAGCTGTTGGAAAAAATATTCAAAACCTCATTTAATTATGCTGATACAATGATAATCCAAACTTATCTACACGTACGAATTATGCTGGTACCCTTGGATTTCGCAATGGCTTCGATTCATAACTCGAACAAACAATGATAATAATAATTATAATGAACCTTCTAATGACCGAAGTCTACGTGTGCAAGAATTATAGGTTGCCTACTAAAAATAAGGTTGATGGTGGATAAACCTGCGACCACCGATAGTGGTAAGATTTCTTGAGAAGATTCTGAAAGGTACTATATAGGGTGTGTACGAACATACGAATAAGTGTGAATAAGTGAAAATCGAGAGGTAGGTAATTAGGCAATCCAACTGAGGTTAGAATCAATATGGCGCCTGGTTGGCACCATATACCGGGTGTCCCAAGCTATCGTATACATGCAATATCTCGTTTATTTGACAAGATAATTGGAAAATTCAAAAAACTGCATTGAATGGCATTGAAGTACCTTCCTAATGACACATAAAAAATCTATTACTTTCTATTTTCAAATGGCACCCCCTGTATGTTGTCATTGAAAATTGTGTGTCATTCTATAAGGTTACAACGATAGCATATACTTGGTATTATGTTATTGATATAACAACAAAAACAGCAACATTCAATGTATGAATTTAGACTAAAATATCTATTATGCGGCTCAAAAAATTAACTAAAAATTACAGCAAGTGTTCAAAATTATTTTGACATCTGAAGCATCGGCCATTTGAAACAAAAAACTTGAGCGGAGGCAATTTCTCATTTTCATAAGGATAATTAAGTAACTCGAATCTAGTCACAAAATGTTGATACTTTTGTTGTTATCAATGAGAAAATACCAACTATACGCTATCGTTGTATTCCAAATTGAATGACACGTAATTTCCAATGACAATATGTTTTTATATGTCATTTGAAAGTACTTTAATGCCATTCAATGCAGTTTTTGAATTTTTCAATCATTTGTCAAATAAGCGAGATATTGCCTGTATACGATAACTTGGGACACCCGGTATATGAAATCAATAGAATGATGTTACTGAGACTATTATTGAATACTCACTGTTTGTGATTCTCTTCGGTTATATGACTTGTACTTTTGATACCAATAGAAATTCGCATATATATAAAAACAATATTTCACATTTAAATAATTTCATTGTGTGCGAACCAATAATGCATAGTTTGAGAGGTCATCGGATTGCCTAATTGTCATATATTTTGGAAAAAAAAAGTTCACATCAACTCTGTCTAAGTTGGAAGTAATAATGAAGAACAAAAATTTGTATTTTCCATTGTTCAATCTAATAAAAATATGAAACCAGTGGCGTACAATTATATTCATCAAAAATATCGATACGGTAATTTATACTGCGACGCCACTGAAATTATTAATTCAAGTCTAATAAAACCGAAAGAAGCTCCATGTTTACTGTTAAAATAACAAAATCACCAAGTTTCATTGGAATCGGCAGAAATACTTTCGAGTAACTACAATGAGAATACGTTTTTTGATGAAATTAAAATCCTTTTCGTCATTTTTTTCATGATAGGATATACCTATATACCGGAATAAGAGGAAAAAGTGGGTACCCACTTGATTATCTATTTATTTTAGTGACCACATGTCAGTATTAAACGTGTGAAGAAGTCCATACTTCTCAGAGTGTTGTGGTAGAGTAGTTGAAGGAAGAAATCTCTAAGTCATCTCCACGACTTTGAATGGGTTAACATGGTTATATGTTACAATATGGGGGACATGTCAGTATCATTATATTGTACAGGTCTTTTGTTATTCATTTGAGGTCATAACGTTATTACGTATCCACTATGATAACTATAATAATAAGAAGTTATAATTGGATATCCATGTTAAATTGATGGGTGTTAATATGCTCATATAATGATCGAAATGGCAATGAATATTCTTGAAGAATGTCTTGATTAAACCGCTATTTCAAGCACACTGTGATCATATATTGATTGAAGAGAGAGTTGATGTTTGGA